CCGTTTCAAACCCTCTGGGGAAGAGATGACAAGGGATCACAAGAAGGACACTGTGTAGAAGCCAACATCCACTTCGCACCGGGACACCCTCGGAAACGGCCCCACTAACCACTGAGATAGTCCCACCCCCCGGGAAAAACAAAAACCGAGGAGTATAGGAGCCGACCCCCAAGCGCCCAACCACCCAGGTCCGGCTTGAAGCAAGTACGAGGGGGGGGGGGGAGGCAAAAGGACTTCAATGTCTCGACCCCACGGCCAGAGCGGACCTTTCCTCGGAAAAGGACCTGGAGTCTCCCTGACCCTTTAAAAAATGGGTCAATGACCCCAACATTTTGGGTGATGACCCCATTTTTTCAAGGGTCATGGAGACTCCAGGGACCCAACGACCGCGTCACCCGCGCGCTTTAACTTTTCCGAGACCCCCCAGATCGATCGATCGATCGATCCGTCCTCAACAAGCGCTGCACCTCACTCGCCGAATCCGCTGCGTCCTGCAGCAGGGAGTTGCCGATGTAGAGCACCGAAGAGGTAGCAATCCACTCCCGCGCGTGGATGCCACCCTCCTGCCACACGTACCCATGTTGGCCTCACCAAGTACATGCTTATGTACCACTTGGCACAATAGCGACTGATCCTTTTGATCCCTTATCCCTTTCATCCAGCATCCCGGTTTTGCGCCCCAAAACCCCCCAAAACACGCGTCTAGAGTGGATTGCATTTGGGTTTCACCTTTTTGCCGCAAGACTCACTTCCTAAGTGGATGTGCCGAACATATTGTGTTGGACACATTCTCTGGAGGTGCTAAGAAACAAAGGGACAAATTCGGGAATTCATGCGCCGATTGCATCGTTTGCGACCCCTGTCCAAGAAGATGCACGGCTTATCCGCCGGATCGGTGCCATCCGAGTAATCGGTGATCTCCAGCGCATGCAGCGGCCGGCCCTGCACATCTGCGGGTCCGGGGGAAGTTTGGAAGTTTCTTTGAGGGTCCTTCGGGTTGCTGTAACCCCATCGCCACCTGTGAGGTTGATTTGGGTGTCTTCTTTTTGGGATATCTCCTTTTTTGGAGCATTTGTGTTTTCGTCAGGCAAGTGGTTGGTAAGCCGGTTACAACCCACTATTCATGCTTATAAAGTCTCAAATTGGTGGATTATAACCAGGCATACTAACCTAAGTACCACGCCCCTTTGAGTATAGCAACCAAGGGGTTCCTCGTCCTAAAACGGTCTTCCTAAAACGATACACTCTCTCCAACTAACATAGCACCTCACAGAGGGTCGCTTCAAGAGGAAATTGATCTTCCAGGGAACCTCACGCAGGTGCTATGTTAGTGGGAGGGAGGGTAAGACAATGCGATCTTTCCACCACGTGTGATTTTTGCTTGACGCCCAACCCGCCGAACAAGTTCTTCCTAAACCCACCGCCTGGAGCTGGTGATTTGTGTCAAAATTGGGAGGGCACGTTAACATGGATTTCGATTTTCCCTATGGGCCTCCATTCAAACCAGCCTGAAACGGGAACCCTCCAAAAACCCACAAACTGCCTTGGTCGTCGTGGGATTCGTGTAGTCTCTGAAAAAGCCGGCTTCTCTGAGCAAGTGGTCCGACCTTTTGAAAAAACAAAAAAGGTGGTGTGTTTCCAGAAAGTCGCGCCGGGGCCATGATTTCTGTGAACTCTTCGTTGTTGCATCTGGTGTGCGGTAATTTCATGTGGTTCTTCAAAAGGCAAAAGCCTTGTCGTCAGAATCAACCCATGAGTTTAGTGGTAGTTCTCCTGCCTATGCAACACCAAAATGTTGCCCACGTTGCCCTGAAGGAATCGAGAGGGACCCTGAATACCAGGCCCAGAAGTAGAATATACAGGAATACTGTGGATGGTTGCGAAATCCATTTCGCACCACCGTTCAGAAACCCTAGAATGATGATTCCCCTGTAAATACCAACAAACAATGGCTTCCCATGGTTTCAAAGCGGTGCAGGATTTCGTCCATCCACAGTATTGTTTGTTCTGTGCTTCACTTTGAGTCACTGGTCGAATGTACTCTATCAGTATCCTAAGTCTACCCCATGAACCCTGAAAGAAACAACATTCATCAAGCGCCAGTTCGAACAGTTCAGGGGCCGTCGCTTGGTGCCTGTTCAAGTGGGCGCCATGGCTGACGGATTCCTTTTTTGTGGCGAAATGACCCACCAAAAAGTGGCACAAAGCTTGGTTGCTGTTGACCTATCTGCAAACAGTGTCTCACTGTTTGTGGGTCCAATACCGGTCCTTTCTGTTTTAACAAAGAAGTTCAAGCCCAAAAAACCGATCAAATAATGTTTACCCCATATTCACCAACCCACTGCTTATTAATAGGGGGTGTTCCACTGCAAAAGCGGTCTGAATCCCCACTAAAACTGGGGAAACAACACCGCCCGTATTGATAAAAAGGGGTTGATTAATCCGGGGTCAACTTTGACCTAATTGCTATAACTCGCATGTAAGTCTTTAGTGGGGTTCGCCTTATGTTGTAACCCGGGCAGACCACTTCCAAACTGAGCCCAACATTCTCACAAAGCAAAGGGGTCTTTTGGGGGTCCAGGCTGGTACCCCCTCACAAACCGACTAAGCGATGAATCTAAAAGGGACACCCCCATATTGATAAACAGGGGTTTATTAATTTAATCCGGCGTTAACACTAAAGCAAAGGGCTCCTTTGGGGGTCCAGGCTGGTGCCCCCTCACAAACCGACTAAGCGATGAATCTAAAAGGGACACCCCCCATATTGATGGGGTTTATTAATTTAATCCGGCGTTAACATTAAAGCAAAGGGGTCCTTTGGGGGTCCAGGCTGGTACCCCCTCACAAACCGACTAAGCGATGAATCTAAAAGGGACACCCCCATATTGATAAACAGGGGTTTATTAATTTAATCCGGCGTTAACACTAAAGCAAAGGGCTCCTTTGGGGGTCCAGGCTGGTGCCCCCTCACAAACCGACTAAGCGATGAATCTAAAAGGGACACCCCCATATTGATGGGGTTTATTAATTTAATCCGGCGTTAACATTAAAGCAACGGGCTCCTTTGGGGGTCCAGGCTGGTGCCCCCTCACAAACCGACTAAGCGATGAATCTAAAAGGGACACCCCCCATATTGATGGGGTTTATTAATTTAATCCGGCGTTAACATTAAAGCAAAGGGGTCCTTTGGGGGTCCAGGCTGGTACCCCCTCACAAACCGACTAAGCGATGAATCTAAAAGGGACACCCCCATATTGATAAACAGGGGTTTATTAATTTAATCCGGCGTTAACATTAAAGCAACGGGCTCCTTTGGGGGTCCAGGCTGGTGCTCCCTCACAAACCGACTAAGCGATGAATCTAAAAGGGACACCCCCCATATTGATGGGGTTTATTAATTTAATCCGGCGTTAACATTAAAGCAAAGGGCTCCTTTGGGGGTCCGGGCTGGTGCCCCCTCACAAACCGACTAAGCGATGAATCTAAAAGGGACACCCCCATATTGATAAACCGGGATGTTGTTTTTTTTTTTTTTTTTTTTTTTTTTTTTTTTTTTTTTTTTTTTTTTTTTTTTTTTTTTTTTTTTTTTTTTTTTTTTTTTACGGCGTTAACATTAATAAGCAAAGGGCTCCTTTGGGTGTCTAGGATGGTACCTAGGCCGGGTGTTCAACAGACTCACCGCGCCTGCCAGCTGCGCCCGATCTCGGTCAGCCTCGCGAAGCGCGGATGCGCCGCCGCCAGGTGCCGCAAGAAGACCAAAATGTCTGCGAGGGGGCGGTAGTCCTGGAAGAAGTCCGTGGCTTTACCCGACCTCAGTATGGAGTGGTCGCCAATTCAATCCGATGTTCTATCCCTGATTGTATGGCACATCAAACGGGCTTCTTGCTTCTTTTGTTTGGCAGTGGCGAATTGAAGTGGGCCAACTACTTGAAGGGCCGATCGATTCGGAGCATTCAGGCAAGTGTTTGTAACGCCTGGTGAGATAACCCACGGAAGGGAGACTCACAAGGATAGCTCTTGTGAGTTACCACCATGGTTATTACCCACTAACTACCTACATTGCCCCTTTAAATATGGCTTCAAAATGGTGTGCTGGCCAATGGAGTCCGATGTTCTATCCCTATAAAGAACTTCACCGGTGCAATCCCGGCTTGCCGTGACGACGGCTTAATTAATCCACACATGGCCGGGTTCAGTGGTCTTTCGGAGCGGCCAAAGCTCCGGCTGCTTCCCCGTCTGCGAGGGGTCCCTGCAATCATTCAAAGGGTTCTGCGCGAACAGCCGCCGATGCGACGCCATGGCCGTGCGCCCAAGCCCCGAGCAGCGCGACAAGGGCTCGAGCCAAAAAAAGCAAGGTCTGGGGTTGCTCCCAGATGCACTGCTGAAAGCTTAACTTTCAGTGGGTTAAATTCGGAAAACCCCTCTAAATTCAACACACAAACAACTAAACACCTAAGGCAACGGACAATTCGTTGGAAACCGCCAAGACAAAAGAGAGGAAAACGCACACGCGCGCAAAGCCTTTGCCCCTACCCAGAACGAACAACCGCTCCAGACGAGAAGCGTGGGCTTCCAGGCATGAACAGCACAAACTTAGAAGTGAAAAAGGACCATACAGTGGATGGATGCGAAATCCATGAAATCCACCACCGTTCAGAAACCATGGAGTTGAAACCAGAACCTTGGCTTGTATTTACAGGGGGATCGAATCATTCCAGAGCTTCTGATAGTTGGTGCTTACTAACCACTTTCTAAGTACCCTGCCCCTTCAAATATTGGCAAGCCACTGGAGAAAAAAGAATCAAAACAACACACATGCCCCTTCAAGTATTGGCACACTGAGACAAAAAAAAATCTTAAAACAACACATCAGAAACAAACACAGAAAACCACTGAAGAAAACAAAAGAAACAAAAACGGAAAACCACCGGGGGGGGGAAGAAAAGGAAAGCAACAACAAAAAAACGCGCGCTCGGAAAAGGTCAGGTGCTTTGAGCCGCCTGGTTCACATCCGCGTTGCCCAACACCAAGGTCTTGGCCACCGTGGGGAAGTCGTTGGAGGCCGCCATAAGCATCGCCGTCTGGCCCTTCCTCGAACCCGTGGCCGTGGGCGTCGCTGGGTCGCTGGGTTTGGCTCTGAGATGCCCGAAACGGAGCGCAAGTTGGGCTTTCCTGGGGGTTCCCTTTACAAACAAGTTGCTTCTTGGGCTTCCCCTTTCCTTGGGATTTTCTTGAAGGGGCGATCGGAAGCCTGGTTACAACTTAGGAGACTTCTAACCATGGCTTAGGTTCCCCCCACCAAAAACGGATCGCAAAGGGTAGTTTTACTGTGGTTTTCGCGTCTTTGCTTGAAAAAGGGGCGATCGGAGCAAGCCGGGTTTTTTGGAAGGTAAAAAAAAGGCGATCGGAGTAAGCCTGGAGTTTTCCTTGGACACCTTAGATCTTGGGTCCACTCCGCCCGACGAGATCCAGGTCGCTCCCGGGCTTGGCAACCAAAATTGATTGAAGCCAAGGAACGGAACTGTTCGACAATCAACCCCCAAATGGGAAACAGGAGGTACAAACTCCAAAAAACAAACAGACCAGTATCCGCAGATTGGTTCATCTTGAAGAAACCTTTAGTCTCTGGTTCTGAGGGGTGAGGGAATAAACTGGAAGTCGAACAAGGAGTCCAAGAAAAAGAAAACCACCAGTTGGATGGTTGACTTCCGATCCAAGTCTTTCCCTGATCGAATCTTCAAGTCTAGGGAACCAACCTGGACTTCCCCCCCCCCCCCGCCCTCCAAAAAACAACAACAAACACACCCCGCCAAGCCGGAAAACCCCCAAACCCAACAACACAAGAATCCCGGCCTCCGGCCCCGATGCCCAACTATGGACTCATTCGACTGATTTGAGCTCTCGTCGTGTTGACTCGTCGAGTTCCTGGAGTCTCCTTCTGACCCAAATCAAAAATGGGTCAATGACCAACCATTATTTTGGGCCATGCCGAACCATGCTTCAAGGGTCAGAAGGAGACTCGTCGAGTTCTGCCAAAGAGCGCGCCAGTCATGTTGACCTGCGCTTTGGCTTCCAGCAGCTGCTTCGCAGCGTGGGGCCGATCCTCGGATCAAACACAACTCGATCCGACCAAAGACACCCTGCGGGTGGAACCGGAAAAACTGCGAGAGGTCTGGGTCTGTCCCTTTTTCGGGTGCTCAATTCTTGTTTTATTTTATGGTTGTTTTGGTGGGAGGGGGTCTTAGGGAGACTGGTGATAACTGTCATGCACTGGGTACTGCAAAAGGTATCAAGGATAACCCACTCCCAACGCAACGGTTTACCGTCCCCTGGGATTACAACCACCATTAAAGCAAAGGTAGAACTAATATAACCACCATTGCTTGCCGTTCGAAAGTAACTCATCATCTAAGTTGGGTCCCCTCGGTTGCAATTGTTTTCTCAGATGCCCAGTGGCCATGGGGCAAAGAAGAGTTTAAAGGGGAACCCTTACCCAAAACAAAAGCTGAAAAAAGGGCGACACTGGGCAACTGGGATCAGGTGGAGAACTATCCCTGGTAACCCCAAGTCAAGGAGAGTCTGCTGGGAAAAAATGGGCACCACCGGGCAACAGAGTTTTCATGTGAATCGGTTGAGGAAGCTTCGTGGGTAAGGCCGCCCAGTGCCTCCAGCAGTTCGACTGGAAGGGCTATGGCTCGGACTGTTCGGGTGGAATGTGGCTGCATGTTGTGACACCCAACGTTAGGTCCTCCAGTAGAGAGGTTAAAATATGGGTACCCCTTTTTCTGTAGTCTATTTTAGTAGGGGAACCCTCTCCCAAGGGTTAAAGGGCACTACTGGGTCACCTAGAAAAGGTGATCACCTGTTGGGACCTTGACTAAGTCAAAGACCAAAAAAGCGAAAAGCAACAAGTCAAAAGGTCGATTCGCTTGGAACAACTGCTTATCTGCTTCTGGGGAAACGAAAACGCATCTGGAATCTGCTGCTTTGATGGCTGGCCTTGACTTTTAAGGTAGGGGAAGCGAAAGGGCACTTCAGGTTCGGCCACTGGTCAAAATGTGTATCCTCACACCTTGAACACCCGCGAGCGCGGTTTGGTGAGGCACTTTACAATGGAGGGGGTCTGGAACCATGTGCAACGGTGAAAGGCAAGAACATGCCTTTGTTGGTACAAGGGCTTTCCATTTTGGCAGATACCCTTGGGATTCTTTAGGATGCCTTTGAAGGAGCAGGGGGGACTCTTTGGTGAGCATCATTTGAGTTCTGAGGGTGACCAACCACTTTTCAGGTGGTCCCCCCCCAAAAAAAAAAGCCGCTTGAGTCATAATCAAAACCCGGTATTAAAATGGTCGACCCAGAACCATGCTTCAAGGAGTAAGAAGGCGGATATCCGCAGCTATTTATGGTTGGGATTGTCCCTTACTAACCTTCATCTTGGAGTCTCCTTCTGACCCGAATCAAAAAGGGTTGGTCAATGACCCCAAAATAATGGTTGGTCATTGATCCATTTTGACTCGGGTCAGAATCAGACTGCAGGTACTTCATCTACCCTCCCTTACTAGCCTTCATCTACCCATTTTTTGAGTGTGGCTCAGTTGGTACTTACAGCGGCGATCGATTCAGCAGGTCAGGTAAGCGGTTGTAATATGCATGGCTCCGACCCACGCCAGCCATTTCCCCCGGGTTTTGAGGACGTGTGGCCCACTTCAAAGTACCAGCACCCCTTTGGGTATGGCAGAGCCGGACGGTTCTGAGGCAGACGCATGAGCCGACACGATGATGAGCGGGCTGAGCCCGTCAATGGACTGTGCCTCAGAGTCTTTGCCCAATTGGGACACTCATATCTGGGTGTGGCTCAAAATTAAACAGCTATTACGCAGGTTTTAGTCTTTGGTTCCATTTACCCAGGTGCCATTTGAGTACATTTTGTTGAGCCACAGCCATCTGTTTTCAGGCTGGGACTTGGTGAAAGGCAGTTGGAAAGAGACAAGGAAAAAGGTTTGGTGCCCTTTTGCCTAGTTGGATTGCAACCTGCCTTCTTTTGGAAAGCATATCCCAACCCGATGTCTCAGCACTGGGGTGTTCGACCAACTACTGGGTGAAACCATGACCCACTCAGTTGGCTCGAAATGGGAAAACTTGCACATTGCCCAAAACCAGACCGACCAGTCGATTGGTTCTGACATGCCCAACTTTCCAGAATTCCCTAAGTATCACAAAGGACCCGCAGGAATCTGGATCGACATTGAATGGGTTTGGACCTCCAAAAGGCCTTTGTTGAGGTCCCAAGATTCGTAGGGTTGTTGGCCAATAGATCTTCAAAAGACCTAGGAAAACTGACTCCCAAAAGGCGAGCACACATGTTTGTAGGCAAAGATGTACTGTGAATGCCGAATCCTGCCAAATTGCAAGTAATCCATGCCAAGCACAAAACCTGGAGAAATGTTCCAAACAAGTCGACGAGTCAACAAGTATGAGTTGCAGGTACTTCTATGTTCGAGACAGCAATTGCTGTGTTTCTATAGTTTCACGAACCATTATAATGCTGTATACAGTTGTGAACATGGCTGACTACCTATGTCTACATTGGGGAAAGGCAGGGAAAATAGAGAAAGAGCGAGGCAAGATCGGATGTAGAGAGAGGCGGAAAGAGGGCGGGGGAAATAGAGATGGAGGGATAGACAATGAGAGCGGTTTCGAGCGGTTTCACATGCACAAGTCCATAGTTGTCCTTGTTACTGCGAGGGATTCATGCTTTTGTCATGGCTGCGTGTGTTTGCCTTTGCACTCAGGACAGACAGACTGGTTTACCAGTTGTTTGAAATACCGCATATGAGAGGCTTCACATGGGTATACGATGAATGCTCTGTATACTCAGTGAGGGAACAGGGAATCGCTCTCGTTAACCATAACTTTACAGGTATCCTTCCTTGCCTCACTTCCCGAGTGCACTGGCCCAATAAAGCTTCAAGCGTTTTGCTTGCCGATACCATGGTTTTCCCAAAAACGGATGAAGTCCAGGGGGAGTTGCCCAATAGACGCTTTTTGTGCTTGTGAGTTACATATCAGTATCTGCGTCCCTAACTGACATTGGATTTGGTGACTTACCCCATCTGCGAATGATATATTGGTGAGGGCGTCCCTTTACCGTAGATGACAGTATATTGGCAGTGTGTGTGATGTTGAAGCCTGCCTGGGATCCAATGGTCTAAGGGTTGACCCCCGCCCCACTCTGTTTCATATTTGCCCCCCCTTCAACGACATCTGGCCAACAATGCGTACTAGATGCAATTGGGGACCCCTTGGTCCATATAACTTACATGGGCATTTCTGTCCGGTCCGCCAGCCATCTTTGAGGATGTTTCCCATGAAGCAACACGACACAAACTCAAAGCACAAACATACAACAACCTAGCCGGTGGATTTTTGAGTGATTGAATTGAAACCAAACAATAAGTAAACACAACGCACCAGCCGACAAAGCAAAACAAAACAAAACAAACCAAACAAAGCTCTCTGGACATGTCACGCGCGATGTCGATGAAACCGTTTTGGGACCCGCATGGTGTTTTGGTTTCTCAGGGCCCCGCATTCACATCAGCTTTGTGGAGTAGCAGCAGCTCCAACCTGGGACATGTTCACGGATTGTTTGTTCGTGAGAAATCAGCCCCCGTCTATCATTTATGTGTTTTCATCTGCCTAAGCCCCCTGAGAAAAAAAAAAGAACAACACGACAATCTGTCCAGCAGTGATAGATTCCCTTTAACACCAACCAGGAAATAAAAAACAAAATAAAAACACATCTTAAGGAAATGGAAGTGTGTCAAGTAGTTCCTGGCATCTCCAGGGATTGGATTGGTGGTTTGGGGATGTGAACCCCTGGTTTTTGTAGATTGTAAATGGGAAACCACCCCTAACCACCAAAGTACCAATCCAAACCACTAAATAACGGGAAGCTGAACCCTCAAACAAAGACACACTCATTTACTGGTTTGGCATGAGTTGGAAGCATCACGGGAGCCAGTGCAAGCCCATAGTGACTAGACCTTTGCGGGGCCACAAATGACCAGGCATGATTTGTCCCCGGCACTCCCTTGATGCTCTGAATCACTAGATCAGTACCGGGCTTCCTTGGTGGAGGACCTTCTTTCAGGAATCCGAAAAGAAGAATGCTCGGGCTTGTTAACCCGTCGACAGTGAGAGGTCCCCAAATTATGTAAGGACCTCGGACCGCGCCTCAAACCGCCGCGACCCTTTTTTTCTTTGCACGTGGGAAATCCATGGAACAGAAGGCCCTGCAACAACCATTCTGCCTGGGATTCTGTTGCCGCCAGTTATTCCAATGGTTGGGTTCAACACGCAAGCATTTTCAAACGGGTCCCTAGTTAAAACTGGCAGCCATGGGATTCTCTCAAAGATTCACTCCCCCTTGAAACAAGCAAGACCTCAGCTTTGGCCAGAACAAGTAAAGGATCGCGCCATATTAAGCAGACCAGTACGTTGCCCCTACTCCCCCCTACTCCCTATACACATTTATCGGAGGATGTGACCATGTTAAGCCCCGAGTATAACAGGAAGTACTCTCTATGGCAACATGCTTTTGTATTTTACTGATTTTTTTTCTCGGAAATGTACCCTAACAACAAGTCGGTGTTTGGAATACTTTTGACAGAAACTGCTTTTTCAAAACATACCCCAACAAATGTGTTTTCTGGAATGCTTGTCATAGAAGCTGTTCTTTTTATTATTACTATTACTATTATCATTATCATTATTATTATAAATATTATGTCAATATACCCTGACAAAACAAGTGGTACTTCGAATAGGGAGTAGTTTCGCACCCGGGACACTCACAGACTAGGGCTCGCCGCGTGGATTTCCTGCCAATCACACCATCCACCTGCACCTGGCGACTGCAGCTATCGGTGGTTGCAGCTTGGCTCAGCGAATCCCAGCCAAGCAGCTACCTCACTTGGTTGCTGTTTCACTTTTTGTGGGTCCAATGGAGAAGATCCCTCTGTGCTTGATGTTTGTTCTTCTCTCCAAAACAACTAGAAGTTTCTGTGGGTCCAATGGAAAACCCACAGTTTCCCAAAAAGCTACAGTCCAAAGATCCAACCAAATAACCATAAAGCTCCAAATTGTCCCCTTGACCTGGCACATGGAAGAGTGGCGATCAAAGCAAAGCGGCCGCACTTCCTCACATTGGCCAAAAAGCGTCCAGATGGATGGATGGACGGACGGATGGACGGACGGATGGACGGATGGATGGATGTGGGTGAATAAATGGATGGCTGAGTGGCCGTTCCGGCACTGCAGCTTAAGGTGACCGTCCCTCCCGCCACTAGGGTTGGAGGAATAGGTCCCCGACACTGGCTGCCTCCAGCAAAAGGCGTCCATGTGATATGTGTGTTTTTGCATCTAAAACCACCTTCCTAAAAGCATGGCCAGTCCACGAACTCGGGGAAGCAGCTCAATCGCACAATGCTTGCACTCGATTACAGCTACCGGGGGTTCACCGGATTTACATGATGGTTTCCTCTAGACCGTGGCCTGAAGAGCGCGCACGGGCCCCAAGATTCTCTAAAAAATGGGTTGCTCTCCCCAAAATCATGGTTTGTGAACCCCTTTTTCAGGGAAGTTTGAGGGTCCAGGTACCAACTCCAAATAAGACGGCCCCCTATGGGCCCCCAAAATGGTGGTTTTGGTGGCCCTGCGGTACCAAAAAAAAAGGAAAGGAAAAGGATAAAAAAGGTGCCAACCCGAATAAAGATGAAAACACATCTGAAACTGACAAAGGCCCGGCGCTTTGCAACGCAGCTTTGGGCACAACTTTGAAACACACAACAAAATGTCCAAGACGATAAAAGCCTGGGACAAACTGAACAACAAAAAATCCAAAACCCAACACAAAGCCCCAAAAAACAAAACAAACACCTGACACTTGAAAAAAAAGAAAGTCCAAAACCCAAAAACAAAGCTCCGACTTGCCGACACCCGGACTCGCCTTCCGCTCGCCCAGTTCCGGGCGGGGGCCTCAGGGCCAAACACTTCGAAAAATCCGAGAGTCGGATCCGAAGTGACAGCTGCTTGGCCGGTTCAAAGGGAAAACTGATTTCTTTTGTTGAGTTCAGACTTCAGACCCCTGGAAAATATAATCATATTTCCAGTACCTCGATTCTCCTTCTGACCCTGGAAAAATGGTTGGTCATTACCCAAATTAATGGGGTCATTGACCCATTTTTAAGGGGGTCATGGAGACTCCAGGTAGTGATAATTTCCTTTTAAAACCAACAAGAGAAAAAAACATCTTAAGCAAATGGAAGAGGTCAAGGGAAAACGCGCACGAGAATGGTTGGCCCAATTTAAATAATGACAATCCTTAGGCAAACAAAACATTGTACGAATCCCAGGGTATATCAGGGGGAGACCTCCCCCAAAAAAGGGGGTAAAAGGGCACAACTGGGGGACCAAGAAAATGGATGGAAAACCGCAGGAAAAAGGTTCAACCAGACTGCTAGCTGCAATGAAAATTGAATGGAAAACCCTTCTGGTCCACTGGGATGTTCCAACAACTAAGTACCTGAAGTCTTAAAAAATGGCTCGTCACTACCCAAATAATGGTTGGTCATTGACCCATGTTTGATTCGGGTCAGAAGGAGACTCCAGGTAGCAAACCCCAGGCAAAAGGTCCCTCCAAGGCTTCCATGCCCCGCGGACACAGTGGCCCTTCACTTCCGGAGGCAAAAATCACCTGAAACCGGCTTGCTACGTTGCAATGACCAAGTTGGATGGAATTCCAAGGCGAAGGGTTAAAAAGGTACCTGGAGTCTCCATGACCCTTCGAAAATGGGTCAATGACCCCATTATTTTGGGTAATGACCCCATTGTTTAAGGGTCATGGAGACTCCAGGTAGTTTAAGTCTGGCAGCGGGGGCTGGCGTTGCCATGAAGAAAAAATTGGGGGGGGGGCATGTATCCAGTGGATCCTAGGCGTGGCAAGCCCCTAAGCCTTTGACCCAATTTCTCTTGGGAACCCTTGATTACCCACACAGGTATCATGATTGGAGTTCGGCCTGGTCACAGATGTTTTTGCTTGCTTCACTTTGAGTCGCTGGTAAAACGTAAAATGCGTCGTACGTCTATTCCAAGTAAATGGGACAGCGGGTTGTAGGGAGTCAAACATGTGACACAGCCAGATGCGGGCGCCCGTTTCCTGTATCACGCACACGGAACGAAACAAAGCAAAAGCCTTAGAGAAAACTCCTTTTGGGCATCGGACCCCCTAGTTGTTGATGTGTGTCCAGTGGCTGAGCCTTTGCTGAACATGTGCATTTTGCCCCCCTTTCCTTCTTGTTTTTTCCCGGTCGTGGGTCCATTTTTGGCGGATTGAAAGGGACCCAAAAGGCAAACTACAAATCCTTTTTGGGGGGGTCCCTAAAAAAAACGTCTACCAGCATACTGTGGATGGACGAAATCCTGCACCACGTATCAAACTCGCGAACGATGATGTCCATGTACAGTAATTACCATGGTTTGCCATGTTTCAAAGTGGTGCGAACGGATTTCACACCCATCCGCAGTCTGGGAATCAAACACACCGCCCTGAGCGGCTGGCCATCCGACACTGCGGCGGGCGAGTTCGTTGCATACCTCGTGCGGAGCGAGGCTCGCTGCATCGGGTGCCGCTGAGTAACATACCTCACTTCCTGAGTGGATGGGCCAAACAAAGTTCAAACTGTTGGTTTGCCTCTACAATGGTCTTCCCACAACTTCAAGTCCACGAACTCCGGGAATGATATATGGATAATTTGCCGACAGAATTATGAGAAACAAACAACCCAGCCAGGGTGTCATAAATATATGACGTCTTTTTGTTGAGGCTGCGCTATAAAGGGGTTGCTTTGAAAGGAAGCCCAAAGGAAACCACTCATTTTGGAGGTTGCCTTATTTTGAGACAAACCCACATGGACCCAGAACCAAGTCAAGAATCACAAGGACGGATTTTCGCACCGATTTCTGGCAAGGGGATTGTCGGATGAAATACCTGGAGTCATCCATCCAAATCACAACTTGCTCGTGTGATAGGCAGGGAATGAGGAAATGAACTTGGGAATTCCCCTAAAGAAAACCACAAGTTGGATTGTTTATCCCAGGCTCATTCCAACTCATTCCCTGCCTATCGCAGCAAGACAAACGGGCGTGTCTCGAGAAGCGGTTCAGCGTGTTGGGCTGTCTAAACTCGGCTGCTTTCTGCTCTGCTAAAAGTGACTAACTTTTAGTGGTTTAGTGGAAAACCCATTAGTTGGCAAAAAGTTAAAGTGCTAACAGCCAAGCAAAATGCACCAAAGTAAAGCTTACTTCCAGGGGGGGATCCGAACGAATCCGAATGTCATGGCCCCAGGCGCACATGTTGACCAACCTCTTGGAATGCCTTTGTACCGTAGACCTATAATACATCTCTAATACGCAAACAAATACAAGCAAGTGTATGTATATGTGGAAACATAACCTGTGCACGGTGTGTACGTGTATACCAATTTGTATGTGTACAATCTACATGCACAAGTCAAGCCACCATAGATCAGCAAAGAGGAGGCGAGCAAACGATCGGCCCGGGGTGCATTAGAGGCGTCCAGCCCTCGCCGTCCGCAGCGTTCACCATGGACTTCCTGAACATCCAGATGAAAACAACGGGTGGATGCCCTAAATATTGCAAGGCATCCGCCGTATCCCAGGAAGGCCTCTGTAGATAATCCTTCGCCTTTCCCTTTCTTTCTTTTTCTTTTTCTTTTTTTTTTAAGGCGGTTCCCTTGGTGGCCCATCCAGAGAAATGGCATCACTGACTAGGCGTAACTCTTGGGTCCCGGTAAACATGGCGTCGAGACGGGGCACCGTCTCATGCACCTCAGGGTTCAGGGAGTCTGGAGCCTAGACCCTAGACCCCAGACCTAGACCCCAGACCCTCCATGGATGCTAGACCCTAGACCCTAGACCCTTTCTGAGAAGTCTGGGAAAGCTGTTCCTGAAGTCTCCTTCTTCTGACCCTTGAAAAATGTGGTCATTACCGTAAATGTTGGGGTTGTTGACCGGGTCATGGAGACGCCAGGTTAATTATAGTCCCCCAACCGAGAATCATAGAAGCAAAAAAAGACCTTCAAGGGGCAGCAGGATTTTCCCCGGGAGCTCGGTATGATTTGCCCAGTGCCTTCTGAAACCACAACAAAAGGGGGGCGTGTTGTTTTGGCCTAGCTCAGTTTGTTTCCCAGCACTTATTGCATCCGCAGCATGTTGGCTCTGATTCGGTGGCAGTTGGGGGTTGCTCGGGGCTGCTTTCATGCTGGGTGGTCATAGCTGGCTTGGATCGTACTGAGTGTGTGTTGAGTTGGTTTGGGGTTCATTTAGGCTCAGCACAGCTGACCTGCTGTGGGGTCGGGTTAAGGTGTTGGGTGTGCTGTGGCTTCACGCTTGCTTTAGGGTGTGGTTGCGTGAGTTTTTGGGCTAGTTTTGGTGGTTTGGGGCAACGCTGCAGAACCAATCCTTAACCAGGCCTAAAAAAACCAAGCCCTAAACACCTGATCCCAACACGGGGAGTCTTCTCAAATAACAAATTGCAGCAGGGGGATTGGTACTCTTTGAGTATGTTTTTTGGTACCGCCTCAAGTTGGCAACGAACATCCACGGCCAGGACCCATTTGTCTACTCGCCCGTCCTGGCGAGGAGGAACGCGACAATCTCCACCTCGCACCTAAAAGCGACTAACTTTTAGTGGGGTAAATACGGAAATCCAACCACTAAAAACCAAATGGATCTAAAAAGCTAAGGAACCGTGGGGAAAAACAAACTGCTTGCCCAAACGCAAAGGATGCCCAAGAATGATGTGCTTTTGTTTTTTTTTTGGGGGGGTTCTTTTCAGGAGACCAGCATACACCCTGCCAATGGAGTGGTCAACGCCTGGCGCTCTTGCCTGTTGCCACCCGAATGGTCTCAAAATTGGTGAATGAACTAAAAATGGCGGGCTTCCCTCTACCTACCCACAAAACACAGCTGTTGCCCGAAGGTTTCCGTTTGTTGTTCCCTTAAAACCAGCCAAAAGGGGCTTCCTCCTAGGTTTCCCTTGTGCTTTCCTTTGAAACCAACCAAAAAAGGCTTCCCACATATTTTTTAAAGTTGTCCTTCAAACAACTACCAACGAAAACGGGGTTCCCAACACACGTTTCTCGTGGGTTTGCCAGTAAAGTTAACTTCAAAGTCAGATTTTATAAAATAACGACATATCTAAATGGGTTTGTGTCAAATTAGGGGGTACCCCAAAAACGGCGGGTTTCCTCTGCTTCCCCATTAAATAAGCAACCTTGAAAAGGGTACTCTCAAAAGAACAATGAAAATGGTTGACCCCTCAAAATGCGCGGTTCGTTTCCTTTCAAACTCACTGCACAAAGGATGCCTAAGCGAGGTACTCAAATGGGATCCATACAATCGTCCGCCGAACGTCCGATTCCAAGCGACTGATGGGCCGCCGCATGCAGCGGAGTGCTGCCGTCGGCGTTGGTCTGGTCGACCCTGGCCTGTGGAATCCGAAATGACGGGGGGGGGGGGGCCTTCTATTGCAGCCTGACCCTGTGCTTCCAAACCCTGAAAAGTCGATAAAACCCGGGTTTGTCACGAAAACATTGGTTTTCTGTTTCAGAACCCATGCCAAACCCGTATTTAACCCGTGCCAAACCCGTATTTAACCCATGCCAAACCCGAATTTTTCGGTACTGCTTTGGAAGACCTGGGTTTTGTCCGAAAACCTCGGTTTTGTCCGCTGACCCTACGTTTTCTTCGTGTTTGGAAGCACAGGGGAGGGGTGCACTGGGGTTTGTGTTTGTTTTTGTGTTTTTTTCTTCGGGGAGGGAAGGTAGGTGAAGGGCTCACTGTTCATTGTGTTTGTGGGGGAGGGGGTGATTTTCCTTTCATTTGGGCATGTGTCTTTTGTTCTGGGGCTCGGACCTGCAAACTGCCGCGGCTTTCCGTTTCGTTTCCACAACAAAAACTACCAAAAGATAGACGGGCGTCCCTCAGCCCATCGATGGCTGCGAGTGCCCAGTGGCATTCTGTGCTCGGTGGGCACACAACTTGACCCAGCAAAAATACAGAGCACCAGACCCCGGAGTCTCCTTCTGACCCTTCACAAAATGGGGTCATATAAGGTCGTGACACCCATTTGCAGGGTTGGAAGCAGACTCCAGGTTCTGGTGTTCTGTTTCAAATGTGTCTCAAAATTAGGCACCCGGTGGTTTTCGTTTGGTTTCCCTTTACATCCAACCGACAGTATCTGGGATTTTGGACATGGAACAAAGCAGTAGGGGGTGCTGGCAGGTTTGCTGTTTCAGATTTACCCCACCCTGCTGGGCCGCGCTTGTGAACCAATTCTGTTTTTCCACCCAAATGACCCAGAAAGGTGTTGCACACAGGCAGAACAAGGCGTTGGTGCTTGGAGTGTCCAGGCTGAAATATAAAAATGTTTGCAGTTTCTGGCGGTAAGTTTGTAGAAAGTGACTTTCGTACACCCAAACGCCCATCCCCCCCCCCGCTGAATGGTTGAAGTATGAGAGCTCTTCACCAATCCAGTGGTTGAACCGTAGTGGGCAGCGCCCCAAGCCAATTGGCTCGTATTCTTGCCATTGCATCTACGTATCAACCAAGAGAAGATGTAAGTTGAAGGCCTCCTTTATTTGGGAACGCTTCCCCTTTCCGTACAGTACTGACTCAGGTGTTCGGCCAGGTTGGACAGTTGTTAGTGACGCAAGTTGAAACCCGCTTATAAGTCTCTCGAAGAAGAGCTAACCTTGCGATTTGTAAGTTTATATCCCAGGTGGCCTTTTCCAGGACAACTAACTGTTCAAGTCTTCGCGAAAATATCAACAAATTTCCAGCTGTAAGTTTGATTTCCTTTGAAACCAACAAGGGGAACATAAACAATATTCTTTTCAGCAAAAGGAAGCCTAACAATGCGGGGGTTCCGACTCCTGAAATTCATGGCGTGGCCCATTGAGGGTGTTCCCCAAGCATTCAGGCTAAAACAAAAGCAAGGAACCTTCAAAGTTTGGCCACCCACCGAAATGTGATTTCCTAAAACCAAAAGGGGTTTTAGATAAACATATCATTTAAAGGCAAACAACATGTGATTCCCTAAAACCAACCGGGTTTTCATAAAACATATTCTTGCAATGGCAAACGTAAGTTTAATTATGTGAATCCCTAAAACCAGCCGGGGTTGCAACATCAACATATTCTTGCACAGGCCAAGGGAAGCGAGTCGCTGGGCGAATCGACGTGGCGTTCTCTCCGTCCTGCTTGGCCAACAGCAGCTCCACCACCTCCATGTGCCCCCGCTCCGCTGCCAAGGAGAGCCTTGGCTCGCACAGGGCGACGCGAGGCTCGTCCTTGGGGCCGTTGACGCCACGTTGGGATTCTGCGGAGGAAGCAAAACGAACACACACCTGCCCAAAGGACCTGGAAAATAACAGGTTTCCAGGGATCCTTCTTTCTAGGAAATCACCAAAAACCCTCGGGAAATGGCTGGTTTTTGAAAAGAACGATGGCTGAAAAGAATGGGGAATCAACCCCTAGAAGGTTCGTTCACTTTTTGGGACAATTACCAAACATTGCCAAATCACAAAAACCAAACGGCTATAAGGTCGGCTTTGGGCAAGTTAGACAATCAAATGGATCTTTGTTTAAAGGGTGTCACGTTTAAAAGGGGAACCAACATGAAAACCGAAGCAACTTTTTGGGGAGACCCTCAAACAAATCCAACCATACTTCTGGGGGCAAGAACCTTGCGTTAATGGGTGCAATGAGGGGTCCAGGTACGTTTTCTTTTGCAGTTCCAAAGGAACACCATTTCTGGGGGGGGGGGGGGGCGGGGGTTCTCCTTTGGGTTTTCCAAAAAAAAATGACAAACTCTAAAAGAACGGGGGTCTCCTTTGGGTTTTCCAAAAAAAGAACAAACACTGAAAGAACACGATAACAATAATAACAAAACAGACGTTTTCCTTTGGGTTTTGCAACAAACACATCACAGTGGTATCTTCAACATGGCCTTCCTACAGGCCTAGAGGCGGTGTCTTCCCATTGGAGCTGGCAGCTTCCTCGATGCTGGCGTTGGCCTACGCGCTTGGCCACGCCCAACCTTCCATTTGCGATTTTTGCCCCCCTGGAAGAAATGAGAAGTCCAGTAGTGAAATTGGTTCCCTTTAAAACTAACTGGACAACATAAAACTGATTAATTTCAGCAAATGGAAGCAACAAGCTCAAACAAAGGCGCTAACAAAATGCGCCGAGATGAGTGGAGGAACATCTTTCGGTGCAAGGCCCTTTTCGGATATGATCTGATTCAGCTTCATTTAGTCTAGCCTAAAAATGATGATCAGCCTCAGAAAAGGGCAAGCGCCGTCTTTCAAAATCAAAGGATGTGCCCTTCAACTTCTGGAAAAACATGTTTGTTTTGTGTGGCGCCGGGGCCTGCTTTTGTTGGGCCCATTTGAGGAAACACCCACAAGAGGGGACATGAGGGACATGCGCAAACAGCAACATGCTCCATGCTGGCCAGCATCACTCTGTGTGTGTGTTGCTTTGCTGTACGCCCTGTGTGTCCGAAACTTGGGCCATGTCTTAAGTGTTACGGTGGATGCCCTAAATCGCCCTAAATATTGCAAGCAAACCAGAGCTTTGGTGCCTAAGGATGTACAGAGTGACCCATTTCAACCCTCATCCTAAGAAGGTACCACCATCCCCCTGGGTGGTGGTGTGGAAGGGCGAAAGATCAAAATCCCTATCAAACACGTCAGTGAATAGGTCCGCCTTGATGTCTTTGTCGCAGTACTGTGAATAGGACGAAATCCTGCACCACTTTGAAACCATGGTTGAAACCATGGTTTGAAACCACGGTTGGTTGCAGAGGGAATCATCATTCCATGGTTTCTCAGGTGGTGCAGGATTTTGTCCATCCACAGTAGAGATCTCTCAACACGTCCCTCCTCTTGGAGTTGGCTCCAACATGGCAAACTGCAAGCAGAGAAGCAGCTCCAGCCCGATAGGGTATCCAAACAAAGAAACAACTACAACAGAGTACAAACAACGAGCAACTCCAACCGGACACACTGTGCAGAGAAGAAAACAAAACAAAAAAAAACGCTCAGGACTCAGGACTCACCAGGCAAACTTCGCCAGGCAGAGAGCGTCTTTTGCTGCGCTTTCCCTCAGAAGCGCGTGGCCAGGCCTCGAGCAGAATCTTGACCACCTGCAGGTGGCCCTTGATGCAGGCCTAGCTTGCTCAGATCGGAGGATTCTTCAGAAGTGGGGGTTGATCAAACGCTTCTTTACATGGCTGTGGGTCAAAAATAGGGTACCCCCAAGATGGCTTGCCCTGGTAAGTGGAAACATGGACCAAAACCTGCGGTGCCCTGGTGGTTTAATTTTGACCCATACCCACATGGGCTGGCCGTTAAAGGACACCACCCAGAAAACGGACTATTCATGTGGCTGTGGGTCAAAACCAATGGTACCATTTTGGAGTAAGTGAATTCACCACCCATTTTAGAACCTATTTTAGTGGTTGGATTGAATGGGATGTTCACTGGGGGCTAACCGGGCTTTTGATTTTGACCCATGGCCATTTGGCTGTTCCAAAAATAGAGTGTTGGCCAATCCCATAGTCCCTATTGGGAAACCACGACCACTTTTGGAACTCAAGGTAAGGATTCAGGATTGCCTGTAAACGGCCCAGCCAAGAAACAGTAATCTTAACCCCGGAATAATAAACCCCTGGTTGATTAATAGGGGGTGTCCCCTTTAGTAGGCATTCATCACTTTTAGTAAGGATTCAGGATTGCCTTTGAACGGCCCAGCTAAGAAACAGTACCCATGGTCATTTGGGGGCCAGGAATGTTGATCAACCCCCAAGTAATTTGGGGCCAGGAATACTGACCAACCCCGATGTAACCACCCGGGTTTTGGGTGTCATGCCTGTGCTTAGCAGGTCCAGGTATCCACAAGGATCCACGTGCTATTTGGGGATGCATTTTAACTGGAGACCCTTTGGTGGACATCATTCACATAGGGAGTCTTGTCCACCAACAACATGTGAGGGTGTTCCGCATTGCATTTCGGAAAGTGGTTAGCAACATAAGTTAAATTCCGCGTATTTGCTCCCTCAGTGGAGTTAGCCTTGTTTGTCGGTTTTAGCTTAGGCTACTATCAACTTACTTACTTGACCGAACATCCAAGGGTCGTCTAGCAGTAATTAGGACCCCTTCCCCCCACCCCATTTTAGCAACCCAGGGATCCGCACATACACACTTGTTTTCATCGAACCCTTAGACCCACTCCGTGTTTTTGTGGCTTTGAGGGCACCTTTCTCACCTGTGTTTCAGGGGTAACCCCAAGGGAGACCCACCCATGTTTGTGGTTCCTCATTTTGACGCATACCCACCGAATCTTCACCTCCAGAGTCAAGTGTTGGCGTATAGTTCCACCACAATCCTACCTCAGTTGCCACCGAAACCACGGAAGCTTGATTTATGATGCAAGTGGCTTTTAGGAAAAGCAAAACAGAAAAAAAAATAAGTTTTGCCAAACCCCTGATGCACGGGTCCTCTTTGTTTGAAAAACGCTTTGCCAAACCCTGGAAGCGGCAAGCTAAGCTTTGCTCGCCGCCCGGTCCCCGGCTCGATGGTGTTCAGGTCCCGGCCCAGGTCAGGGCGTGGTAGCCGTCCCCTGATTCGGAAGGTCCAAAGGGCCATTAGACACCCCGGGAATTGGTGTTTGGGGGTCGCAAAACCAGGCTGAGGGCCTTCAAAAAAATCGGGAGCGTCTGGGTAGGGGTGAAAAAGGGGTCATTTAGTGAATCCTCACAAAGTAACAAGGGACGCTTGGGGGAAAATGAAGCATTTGGGCAAGAACTCGTTGCCCAAAGAACTCGTCCTGTAACAGGAGGAAGCTGTTGGTACTCCTCGGAAAGATGCATGATTCTGTCATCGTTCGAGTGCCTCCGAAATGCGTGACATTCAAGACTGAGGGCGTGTTTTGGAGTGCATAGACATGAGGGGTGTATTCCCTCCGCTCTTCAAAGTTGAACGCTTTATGATTAATGGGAAACACAGATGTTCAACCGACAGGATAGAGCTGAAATATCCAAACAAATAGCATTTTTTTAGAACTCATGACCCCTAGAAACGGGTCGTCTCCATACTGCTTTCCTTCAAAGCCGGGTTCACCATTCTGGGGGAACCCCAGCAAAGGCTGACTTAAATGGCAACCCAAAATAGCCAAAACTCGAATATCACTCAAAGCATTTGACAGCCAGACCGGGGTCCTGGTATGAACCTCCAACATAGTTGTCCCAAGGGAAGTGGCGGCACTGCTCTGCCGGATGAGTCGCGCACCGTCCTTGGCGGCACAGTTCGCCTCGGAGGATAGAGAATTGCGAGGATTACCGGGCCGCATACATAGGATGGAACTTGGGGATAACCAAGAAAGATGAATGGGAAACGTTAGCCATGGTCATTTGGGGGTCAGGAATGTTGATCAACCCGCACGTTGGAAAGCACATGTTCTGGTTCTCTTTCAAGTTTAGTCTACCATTAAAATACAAACAACGTCTTGTAGGAGACCCCAGTTGTGTTGCAAAACCGGGGTCCAATGTGTCAACGCTTTGGCGCGAAAAACAAATAAATATACAAATCTCCCGAGCTGATCCAAGCGAAGCGGCTCGGACTCTCGCACGTAAGCACCGGGTTTGAGAGAACGCAAGATGCTGCCGCTTTTACTTGCATGGGTATACGGACTCTTTGGTGGACAGCATCGCAATTGCTTTGGGAATGGCACTTAATATAAATGAAGGATACATGGAGAAACTGTGGCGTCTAAAACAAAATGGAACCACTGACGCAGGACAACTGCAATTGCTTCTATACCAGGGGTCCGGCGCATTTCGGTCGGCCAACCAATCAGCTTTTCAGGGGGTTCATTAAAATTCATAGCCACATACCAGCAAATTCAAGCCAGCGAAGCAAAGCCCAGACTGGCAACTTGGCAGTCTCGCTCATTTGCCCAAAGCCGACCTTTTGACTTGTTGTTTCTTCCTTTTCGGCCTATTTTTGGTCATGGCCACAAAAAAGGTTGACCTTCTATTTCTGAGTCCTTTGGCCAATTGAGAAAAGGATGTCCTACTTCTCCGAATGCGAGCTTTCAAGAGGTTTTAAACTGTTAGAGGAATCCTGACAAGAGGTCCGAACAGCGTCTTCTCTAGCAACCATCAAAATCCCATGCATGGTTTTCCGTTAGGTTGTTTCATTTTCCGGGCCAACACCGGGGCCCTAAACCCAAATTTCTTGCCGAGGTGGTATCCCCAACCGAACTGTTTTGCCCAGAAAAATAGGCAAAGACCTCATATCAGCTTCCCTGATATTGGTCGGTTGGATTGGTTGCTTGGAGGTTAGGGGTGGTTTACCCATACCACGAATTAGGGTGTTGCCTCAGTTTTCTTAGATGTTCAACCAACTTATTAAGTAGGTTATAACCGTGGTTCTATTCGGGTAACTGAGGTTGGACCCCAAAAAGCCATGGTTCTAACCTACTTACTAAGTTAGTTAGAACATTCCAAGTTGGGTAAAAACATAACCAACACACGACCAACACTTACTTACTAACCATGCTTCTAGCCGACTTGCTAACTTGGTTAGAGCATTCCAAGTAAAAAAAAAAAAAACACTCAGATGCCCAGTGACCATGGGAAAAAAAGGGCATCCTTTTCTTGGTTGGTTGAGTTGAAGGGGAAGCCTTCCCAAACAAAAACAAGCAAGGGCGCCACTGGGCAAGTGGGGAAACACTTGGTTGCGGTAACGACCCCCCCCTGCACAAACTGGACCACTTTTTTGGGGTTGAGTGGAAAACCCAGCTTGAGTTCAACCAAAAAGTGAAAGTCTAAAGATCCAAGTGAGTATGTACCAACCAAACATGGTCTTCCCAATAGTAGTCAAGCGGGGAAACAGGCATCACCGAACGAAATGGGCCAGGTACGACACGAAACTTCTTCACTCAGTCCGGCACCCTGTGCCGTAGGAGCCACGACACCGTCTGTGGCATGTTGCGAGTAACCGCCTAAGGCATGGCCGGAGGACTCGGGTTCGAATATGTTTGCTTGGGATTTTGTAGGGGCTGGCTTAGATCCCAGTTCTTGTTGGACTGTTTGGTAGATCCCAGTTTTAGATCCCTGGTAGATCCGGCTTAGATCAGGTTCCTTGTGTTCCGTTTGTGTTTTGGGAAGATTTGGATCAAACTCTGTGCGCCGCCTCCATCATGAACAGGACTGCTTGCTTCACTTTGAGTCACTGGTAAAATGCGAAATGTATCCCAAGTCTGCTCCAGTTATGTGAGGACTTATGGTTGGTGGTTTCGGTTGGTGGTTTTGGATTTGAACCTCTTGTTCTTGTGGACAAATAGGACACTATCCGGGTTGCTCCAACCCTCCCTGAGCAAAAGGTCGTTAGACTGGTTTGCTTTTGTCTTCCAAAGGCCTCTCCGGGGCGAGTCGGTCACACGTATCTCACCAAAGACCTGCATGGCTGCCCCATGAATAGGGGTCTGGACAACTAATACTCCTCCAGTGGAGAGATTGGAATAAGAGTTCCAACTTTTTTCTGCAGTCCATTTTAGTAGGGGAACCCTCACCCGAAAAAGGGGTAAAAGGGCACTACTGGGGGACCTGGAACAAGTCCCCGTCCCCTTTTGGCTTCCTTTTGGGGCAAAGTCTCCGTCCGAGGCGCCCCTTTCAGCCTACCGGCCTCAGCGTTGTCAGCTGACACATCAAAGTTCTGAAACTGGGAACCCGAAGGTTCTTTCCGGAATCCGTGCCTGGAGTGTCCCTCTCATCCTTAAAAACCTGCGAGCCATGACTCGCAACTTGGGTCTTCTCAGAAAGAAAACCAGACTCCAGGCATACAGATTCAAACCCGCCACGAGGTACCAAACACCTGGCTTGGGGCTGGGGAAGCTCCGCTTCTTTGGGGAAGCTCCGCTTCGTTAACCTCGAGACTCCCCCAGCGGCCCCCAGTCCGTCAACTCGGCGCGGGGCAATGTGCAAGGGAGTGGCGCCTGTTTCGTCCTGAAGTCCGACTTCAGATGATGGCTTGATGGCCCCCACGGGAAAATGTATGAACATAGGACTGTCCTGTTAGGGGAAATAGATGGGTTTCCCTGGTGGATGATTAAAGCACCAGGTAAACCAGGGATCGCCATCGATGCTTCTACCAAAACCACTAAAAAGGACACCTATGTGTATGAATCTTGGCTATGTCAAGAGTTGGAACCAGCTCAAAGGTGGTGGTGACCTGAAACCCCACCGAATTGTGATGTCAACTTGATTTCAGGCCCCCGAACTGGAAGAAACGCCCTCAAGAAACCCTGGCGGATTTTCCGGGTGGGTGAAACCCTCAGCTCGGAAACAAACAGATGCCAGCTGCTCCGACGCAAAAACTCACCATAAATAGGGCGACGGGGCGAAATAATTAGAAATATGGTTCTCAAAATGTCCCCTACCTTGGCGCTCACTTTACTTCAACGTTTGATAGCTGGACCTGCCCCGGGAGAAATCTGATGCCCCGCAATCCTAGATGAATCGGTGGGGAGGAATCTGAGAATTCGGACCCCAAATTAGTCCACCCATCCTACTTTTTTCGGGTAAACCCCTCCAAAAGCGATGGATCCCCACAAAATCAGGCACACCCCCTATTAATAAACACATCGCTTTGTTCATCCGTTTGTTTTTTTCGTCATTCTCCCCCATGGATCCCAAAATCCGACTCCAGAAAGAAATTGGAGGCCAAGAGCCCTCTCCTTGGACTCCAGGTTCGCCTTCTGTTTGATCAAGTGCTCCAGAGTCACCTCTTGAACTCATGCAGCTTGGTGGCATCCTTCTGGGCTTGTGACCCCCTTTTTCTCCGGTGGCGAAATCTGCTCCTCTGCTAAAAGTCACCAACTTTCAGTGCTTTATGGAAAACCCGCCTAAGTGGGCAAAAAGTTCTCAAGTCCCAACATCCCTTGGCAAAAAATGCACCAGTGTTTTTGTTTGTGGAGGAAAAAACCCTTGTGGGCATACCAAAAGTGTCCCTGCCTGCACTCGAAAATGAACAGATGAAAACTCAAGACAAAACCAAATCGTCGAGTCGAACCACAAACTACCAAAAAAGGCGCGGCGACTTTTCGCGCTTTCCAACAAGGGAAAGAGAAGCACTACCCTGGAGCTCGCTTGAGTGGATTGCAACCATTTCCAGGAAAGCCATAGGTGACCCTTCAACTACCGTGCTTTGGAAGCATTTGGTTGGCTTGACCACTTTCCTTTTTTTTTTCCGAAAAGAATGTGGGCTTGTAAAAAAGAAAAAAGAAAGGAGCCCAAACAGCGCTCTCAGTCTGAACCACATCGATGTGGTTCGAAAGTCGCGCAGCGAGGGTATCACTATGGCGACCTGCCCAAGTGAGAAGAGAATCTCGTGCTGGGATCTTTTGGTGGACATCATCTTCCATTTGCTTAAGGCCCCTGAAAAAAAAAAAAAAACAACTATATATGTCCAGTAGCAAAGCCAACAGGGAAAACAAATTAAACAAATGGAAGTCATTTGGGTGGTTCCCTACTTAAGCATCCACAGCCTTTTCAGGGTGATACAGCTAAGGGCGGCATGAGCATGAGCGCAAGACCGGCCTTGTGACCCCCACTTTGAGCAGGGTAAACTTGCGTGCAAAGTGACAATTTGGACTTTTGGTGGCAAACTTGGCCGAAATGTCAACTTGTTCTGACCTCTTGAAAAACAAAAACTAACCCTTGTGAATGGAATAGAACTAATCTGAATAAGTAGAAGCATCAATTTCTACCCAAAGTAACATCCAAAACTGACACCTGTGCTTGCTCTGTGCCGCCTTCTTTCTGGGCATGGTTTCTGGACTCTTGTGCCCTACACGGTTTGCTGGAAGGTTTCTGGGGAGGCTGCATATTGCACTTGTCGGTCACCCTCCTTCAACAACATGTCTGCCAGTTGCGAAGGAGCAGTGCACAGATCAACAACTTGATGCATGCTGGCATCTGAGTAAAACTGCTCTCGAACCTGAATGTGTAACCTCTTCATGCTGACCCCGGATTCATCAGTCTGCTTCATGAATAGGGGCGGTGTTTGATCCGGATAACCCTGGTTTCCCACTGGTCGGGTTATTTATGCGTCCCCTTGCACGGCACCCGACCAAAGACACTTACTCCAAGATGGCACATCATCGGAAAAACAAATAACAACACAACAATAGGAACAATGCATTTTTTGGTCACTATCAGCACATCCCCAAGAAACGCTCTTTCCCATGTCCAAACTCCCGTCAGGTTTTGTCCCAAAAGCAGTGGTATGGAATTATAGCAAGGTACCCTTTAAACAGTGCCGCTCCCATTCACTGCCTTGTGAGCAGGTACAAACTAACTTATTTTGACCCCCTCTGTGCACCTTTTTCTAGAAACCCCGGACTAGTAAACTGCTGGTTGACTCCCTTTTAGTGGCAATCACTTGAGGGAAACACCCCTATGAATAGGAGGGGTGTAGTAATCCATGGTCAATGCTAGACTTGGCTTTTCATCCATGCACTGCAAATAACACCTTCAGACTCTGCTTCATATGTTGAGCACCCTAAGATATAACCCTATTCTTCTGGCGGAGATCCTGGAAGCTACTCAAAGGGGCGATCGGGTACTTAGTAAGTGGGTAATAACCATGTTTACACCCCACTTACCATGGTAAGTTTCCTAAGTGCATTGTAGCCAGGCTTACTAGCCACTTCATGTTGACCACATAAAACTAAACCAACCAGTTTACCAGTAAAGCCGGCAAGCCGGGTGGCGGAAGTTTCAAAAATATAAAAACTATAGTTATCTTTCTCTTTCTTTTCTTGACTCTTTTTCTCCGTCATTCTTCCTTTCTTGCTTTCTTTCCTTCCTTCCTCCCTTCTTTCCTTCTTTCTATCTGTCTTTTATTTCTTTCTTTCGTTTGCTTGTCTATCTATCTTTCTCTACCTATCTATACCTAACTACCTGTCTATCTATCTCTCGTGTTATCTATCTATCTGCTTATCTATCTATCTATCTATCTATCTATCTATCTATCTATCTATCTATCTTCTCTATCTATCTCTCTATCTCTCTATCTATATATCTACCTATCTCTCTATCTCTCTATCGATCCATCTCTCTATATCCCTCTATCTCTGTCTCTCTCTCTTTCTCTATCTGTCTCTCTCTCCCTCTTTCTTTCTATCTTTCTATCTCTCTATCTCTCTTTCTTTCTACCTATTTATCTCTCTATCTCTTTCTCTATCTCTTTCTATCTATCTATCCATCTCCCGCGTATCTATCTATCTATCTATATATCTATCTATCTGTCTATCTCTCTATCTATCTATCTCTATATCTCTCTGTCTACCTATCTATCCATCTCTCTCTCTCTCTCTCTTTATCTGTCTATCTGTCTATCTCTCTATCTATCTATCTATCTATCTATCTATCTATCTCTCTATCTCATTATCTCACGTGTATTTATCCATCTCTTATCTCTCTATCTATCTATCCATCTGTATTTCTAATTATCTATAGATCTACCTATCTATCCATCTCTCTATCTACCTCTCTCTCTACCTATCTATCTATCTATCTATTTATCTATCTATCTATCCATATATGTATTTCTCTATCTATCTACCTATCTATCTATCTCTGCTTCTATCTATTTATCTATCTCTCTATCTGTCTGTTTATCGTTTATCTATTTGTTTATTTATCTCTCTCTCTATCTCTTTATGTCTCTCTCTCTCTCTGTCTATTTATCTATCTATCTTGCTCTCTGTCTCTCTCTCTCTCTATCTATCTATCTATCTATCTCTTTCTCTATCTCTTTCTATCTTGACTTCACGTACTACTTTCGTACTTAAAAGTTGCGATTTTCGAGCCCCAGCTACGAAAGTGGACTTCGCGTACTACTTTCGTACTCAAAAGTTGCGATTTTCAAGCCCGGCTGCGAAAGTGGACTTCGCGCACTACTTTCGTACTTAAAAGTTGCGAGTTTCAAGCCCCAGCTGCGAAAGTTGACTTCGCTTACTACTTTCGCACTTAAAAGTTGCGATTTCTGAGCCCCGGCTGCGAAAGTTGACCTTGCAAAAGTGCTGCGCCTGCCACGAATTCTGCACTTGACCTTGCGAAAGTGCTGCACCTGCCTCGAAATATGTACATGACCTTGTAAAAGTGCTGCGCCTGCCACGAAATATGCGCGTGACCCTGCGGAAATGCTGCCCCTGCCACGAAACGTGTACTTGACCCTGCGACAATGACGCCCCTGCCACGAAATCTGTGCCTGACCTCGCGAAAATGCTGCCCCTGCCACGAAATCTCCACGCGCCGCCTTGCGCGTCCGTGCCAATGGGATTTGCGATGCGTCCGTGCCAGAAGTAAGAAAATGCCGCGCCTGTCACGAAATCTGCACTTGACCTTGCGAAAGTGATGCACCTGCCACGAAATCTGTACCCGACCTTGCCAAAATCCTGCGCCTGCCACGAAATTTGAACCTTGCGAAAGTGCGCGCGTCCGTGCCAATGGTCCCGGCGCGAGCCCGTCCCGAGCCCGTCCCGAGACCGTCCCGAGACCGTCCCGAGACCGTCTCCGTCAGACGCCGCGACCGGGGTAGCTTTCAGCCGGCCGGAGAAGCCAAAACCCGCAGAGGGTTGCACTTTTTGCAGATTTCTATTCCCCCGCCACACGTATACGCACGTTTTCTCGCATGCATTCATTCTTTCTTCATCCCATCTTTGCGCAGAGCTACCTTTCAATTAGTTTCCGTAACTCGGAAGTTTCCTTCTAAACTTCCTTTGATTAGTAGGGGGGTGTCGCTGGGTGTGGGGATTCAGAGCACTTTGGGACGGGCCAAAACCCACCCCCTATGAACAAACTGGTTGGTTTATTCATATGGGGTCAACATTACTAGGTACCCTGCCCCTTTAACATATCTTAGGTTGTACCCCAGGAAAAAAAAATGGCACAAAGCGAAAAATAACATCATGCGAGCCTAGAGGTAGGTACCCCATCGCCAAGGGACCATTTGGCCGTGGCTCAAAAAACCGGTAAAAGGAAACATGGACCACAACCTGCCTAACCCCTGCTGTTTAATTTTGAGCCAAACCCATTTCTCTCAAATGTGGGTCAATGACCCCAAATTTTTGGGTAATGACCCCATTTTGCTAGGGGTCGGAAGGAGACTCTAGGTAGGTACTAGGTACCCTGCCCCTTTAACATACCAAGGGGGGGGGGGAAAAACAAAAAATCATCCGAGCCTAGAAGTTCCCCGACCCCTTCACCAAGGGACCATCTCTCTCAAACTGGTTGGCCCTTGGAATCCACGTTGCCTGGTCCTCCATGAAGACCGCCTGCGCACCCGATTCGATCACCAACTTCCAGGTATGCCAATGCGCCCTGGAAAAAAAATAAAAACCTCCCTCAGCCTAACATGGAAGCTGCCAAAAGGCCGATATAAATGGAACCAAGTCTTTTCAAGGGGTCCTGGAAGCTTCCATGTTAGAATAATTTGGTACCCTATATTTTTTCAGGACGTCTATTTTAGTAAGAAACCCTCCCAACCAACAAAGAAACGGTAAAAAGGGCACTACTGGGGGACCTAGTTGCTGTAGTGAAATCGATTCTCTTTAAACGCAAACGGGGTTTGAACAAACACATATTCACTGCAGCAAATCGAACGCCAATCCTGCCCCAAGCGCACAGGTCCAACCTGCTGACTAAAAGCTGATGCGCCGATTCGCTGATTCGATTTGGAGCTTCCTGAAATCCCAGGCTTTGAAAAGTTTAAGGTTCCAGCCTCTAAATGGAAACTTTGAAAGGGACCTGAAAGGGGGAGCTTGGGAGTTGTTGGGGGCAAAAAGTTTGTTGTTTCCTTGAGAACCCCGCTTTTGAAGAAAAGGCCAACCCGATCCAGGGACTTGAAAACGGCTGAATTGAAACATGGTGTGGCATTTGCGGGGGACCCCCAAAATGGTGTTCCCTTTGGTTTCCCTTTCAAATCACTGTTAACAAAAGGGGCACCCTGACAAAACACACACACACGTAAAATTCGGGCTTGAACCCCAGGCTGACGGTTTCATCAATCATGAAAACTATTGCTTAGCTACAGGTTCTCTCCACAACACGGAAACCTGTGTTTGTGCTTTCTTTCGAGAACCCTGAGAATAAAAAGGGGACAACCGCTGAACACCTAGCTGCAACAAAAAGATGACCCAAAATGGGTCAACACCCAAAATGAAGGGGTCAGAACAGTCATAACTTAACCGCCCCATGTTTCAAACTTAAAAGAGACTCCAAATACCTTGTTGAAAACCTGTATGGCTCCGCAAGTGCTTGGAAATTGATTGAACCCCTCTGGATCCTTAGGTGCCAAATACAAAGCCTCTACCTGGAGTCTCCTTCTGACCCTTGAAAAATGGTGGTCATTGACCCATTTTTGATTCGGATCAGAAGGAGACTCCAGGTAGGCTTTGGTAGGCTTCCTGGAGTTGTGTGCGCGACCTTGCAGGCTGCTTGGGACATGTTGGACCCCCAAAGGACCGATTCCTTTTTTTCTGCCGAAACGACCCATAAAAGAAAGGGGTACCAAGGCAGAAATAAGTCTAAGCCACACTTCCCCATTCTGAAGAGCTAACCCAGTTATCAACTTTTGGGGAATCAACCCTTAGAATAAGGGGTCCATTGGGGGTCCATGTTGGAATCTCGGTGTTGTGCACCTTGGAGAACATGTGATTTCCCTAGCCCAGTGTTTGCAGGCAAGCCATTGCAGTGCTCACTTGCCCAAAGGACCCAGAAATAAAAGGTTAACCTTTTGGGGTAAATGGACCAAAACTGGAAAACCAAAAGGTTAAAAGGTCGGCTTTGGGCAACTGAGAGTGGGTAACCAGGGGAAACCATCAGGGAACAGTTTGGGGGAAAAAACACACCGAAGATTTACCTAAGCAAAAAAAAACCGAGGTCAAGTCTAGATGACCTCGAAAACGACCCCAATATTTTGGGTACTGACACCATTTTTCAAGGGTCAGAAGGGGATATGTAAAACAAACAAGCAAGCAAATGGAAGGATTTACAGGGATCCTTACATTATACACCTGAACATTGCCTTGTAAATGGTGGTTTCCGTTTATTTTGGTGGAAAAAGCCACGTTTCAAATGGGCAAAATGTGTTTTTAAGGAGCCCTGATTTAGGTCCTGGGACCAAATCCCGGCAGCCGAAACCCGCCTGGAGCAGCATTTGGCCCATCTCCTCCTCCTGAGACTTCCGGATCCGACTCGAAACAAAGTCTCGCAGCCGGCGACGCGGTTTTCACCCGAGCTGACTGGTTCTAACATGGTCATAAACGGTTGATACGTCCATGGAGTCAAAACTCCTGATGTGGCCCGTGGTCTTCGTTCCATCTATATAGGAATCATTATGCTGGTTATTCAGGATCCTTACTAGCAGGTGGATGACCGTCCAACTAATAACCCTAAGTGGGCCTGTCTCCCAGCCCAATCAGACGGTAGAGCCAACCAAATGGCCAACTTTCGGCTTTTTGGCACTCACGTGTTGCCTTTTCGGCTTCCTTCACTTTACCGCTCACGCGCCCATCCATTCGGCCTGTCAGACAGAGCTGCATGGCTGCATGGCACGGACATGCGCAAGTAACGAAGACTCAGCAAGTTTCAGGGCTTCATGGCTTTTGGGATTCAGCCGCCAGCTGTGGTGCCCATGTGGTGCCCTGTTGGATCTCGTCTTTCTTTGAAGTTGGTGCCCTGTTGGAGCTGAAATCCAAGAGAAGGGGCATGTGCAGGGATCCCTAGAAATCCCTGCTGTGGATGGTTGCGAAATCCATTTCGCACCACCGTTCAGAAACATTGGAATGATTAGATTCCCCTGCAAATACCACCCTACAGTGGCGTCGCATGGTTTCAAAGTGGTGCAGGATTTCGTCCACCCACAGTATGACAAAGAGGTGCAATGGGTATGAACATGTGTATGAGACTTAGTTGGCCACTTGGTGGACATTATTGCAGGGGGGCTTACGTCCACTGACCGGTTCACTCATTCCAACTCGCGTCGCCTAGACGGGAAGCAGCTGTAATCATGGCCATTCCGCTTGTCCTACGAAAGGGACCAAACATGGATTTAATGATGCTGCTCCATATTAGCAAACCTTAACCTCAAACATGTAAACAACTCAAAGACGATTCCAGTACAGTGAGATCCTGAAATGGCCCTCTCAAGGCAAAACAACAAGTCATTCGCCCTCTCAACGGTTGTTTCAAGGCACACCCCAAAAACATCAGTATGAGGAATGAGGACCGCTTTCCTTGGTCCATGTTCGACGCGACACATAGGATTCAAGCCACCATTAAACCAAGGAAGGTTCATATAACGACCGTTGTTTACTACTTACCGTTCAGGATGGCCATCTAAGCTGAGTCCCCTCGCGCCATTGTTCAATGGGAATTGGTGGAACCCTGGGGCTAAGGGTTCAATCAACTACCTTCGTTTGGAAAAGTACCAAACAACACCTTTTAAGCCCTACAAGTCCCATTTGGAAGGCGGTACTTGGATACCCTACTTGGATGTTCGGCCACGTTAGAGAGGGGCTCGCCACCTGTGCTAAAACCCGCTACCAAGGTGAACTCCACTGAATGTGGGACTTCTTGACGCGGGTTACAACCTAGATTGCCAACAACTAAACGTTGACCCCAGACTAATCAACTCCAGTTTATCAATATGAGAATGTTCCCCTCCCAAAGTGGTCTGATTCCCCACCAAACCCACTGATGAATAAACTCAGGTTTTGCTTTCTCCGCGGTCAACCTTGGCGAATCAAGCGCCCCCAAGTCCTCCAGTAGAGAGGAGTTTAGAATAAGTTGGTACCGACTTTTTCTGTAGCCAATTTTTGTAGGGGAACCATCCCAACCAAAAAAGAAAGGGTAAATGGGCACCCTTCCGCTGGGGGACAAGATGGCCCAAGTAGGTTGAGTATCATTTTCGTCCGCCAGCCATACAGGGATCCTTACATTGTACACCTGAACATTGCAACTTGTAAATGGTGGTTTCTTCTCCCTTAGTTTGGTGTGGAAAAAGCGCCACATGTTTCAACCGGATGGGCAAAAAATGGAGATCGCTTTTTCAGGAGCCCTGCATCATATCTCACAAACATTTCTCCGACGGGGGCCCGGACATTGGGACTCCAGCGGAACTGCTCGCCCATCTCCTGCAACGATCCGAACCAACGCCCCCATCGCCCGCGAGCGGGGCGAGCGGGGCTGGCTCGCGCAGGTGGTGGTGGGGGGGAAAGGAAACAAATTCAGCGGTTTCTGACAATGATTTGGACCCCCCAAAAACAAGTGCGGCTTCCGCTTGTCCTGTAAGAAAAACAAAAACAGCTAAACCGCAAAAGAAGACGGCCAGCTCAAACTGCAAAAGCGCTCCTTTGGCTCCGTCTTGCCGCTTGAACAAAAATAGGAACTAGGTCCTCCAGTAGAGAGGTTGGAATAAGGGTACCAACTTTTTCTGTAGTCTATTTTAGTAGGGGAACCCTCCCCCAAACAAGGGTAAAAGGGCACTGGGGGACCTAGGGAAGCTACCCGAAAGGATAGCGGTTGCTCAGAACCGCGCACCTGCTCCCCAAACCTGCGTGCAGGGTTGTTTATCTGTCTCCGCCCCTCACAAAGAAATGGCCAACCACTTGGCCGAACATCCAATGTGGGTGTTCAAAAAAGGGGGAGCCGGGCAACTGGATCAAGGGCTTTCTGTGCTACTCCTCACATCCCCGCTAGAGCAAACTCGCTTGGCACAGTGGCCCAGAACGTGGCCAAAACAGGCAAGCGCGCCAATCTGGCGTACTTGATGGGTCCAGTAAATCCAGTTACTTTTGGGTAACCACAGCCCATCATGCCGCACCTGGCAAATTCCTAGCTACCTGCTGCAAGGAACTTCTCCTTGGACAGCGGAAGATGGAACTGGGCGCTTCCCTGCAAATTAAAGGGCTCTCCAAGAGTCTACAAACCGGGGTCTTCTGGGTTCTATGTGTTTAGCTAGGGGTCTGAAAACACTGTGCTACTTGGCGCGGGAAGAGAGAGGCATACGTCAAAACATAGGCACGAGTCAAAAGGGTGGATTCCACTGAACTACTCCCAGAGGGTCCAAGTAAACTCTGTGTGGGGCTGACTGCTTTCATTGGTTTGCTTGTGGGGGGGGGGTGACCTTGCCACCAAACTCAAAGGCGAAACGGATGCCACTGAATGCCGGCATGTCGTTACCTTTTGTATTAGAACAGAAGCAAAAACACACACACACACCGCCGGACCTGTCCCTGCCTCTAAGTGCAAAGCTGACGCGGGCTCATCGGGGCATGGATGCAGTTTCGCGGATGCACATTGAGATGAGGTGAGCTGCTATTTTTTGTATTCGCAGTCGATCAACAAGTGCCACCGTATTGTTGCTGCAAATGTGCTCCAAAGAATTGCCAAACAGCAACTTTAGAAGCGTCTTGCCAAAACTGGGCGCTTCAAGGCTCATGCGTGCGATGATTGTTGCTCGACAACCTGTCTTTTTCCTCTGCGGGCTCGGCTTCTCTACAACAGATTCCGTGTATTCCGCGCTTCTCATGTTCTATGGCTGGAAGCTTGCGCGGAAGCCTTGCAGGCCATGTCATGACGAAGCTTCGCTTGGACTATTGGACGTTTTTTGTGAGAAATCCCTGGGCAACTCCGTGATTCGGCTTGGATTGGCCTTCTAAACCCATTGAGGCTCAGGGCCACTTGTGGGCAACCCCCCCTTGCGCAAATGTTTGCCCTTACTTTTTGTAAAGAAGCCGTCTTAAAATTGAAGGTTAGGGGCGTTTTTTTGCCCGAATGTTTTCCCGGCATTTGGTCCAGCAAAAAACATGCCACAATTGAGGACCCCAAAACAGTCACAGGCTCCTGAATTGCGAAGCCAAAATGCTATGATACAGGGTACTACTGTGGATGGTCGAAATCCTGCACCCCTTTGAACCATGGGAAACCATAATAGGTTGGTATTTGCAGGGGAATCATCATTCCAATGTTTCTCAGGTGGTGCGAAATGGATTTCGCAGCCATCCACAGTATTAATAAAGGAGGTGTAACATTCAGAGGGGGTGGTGGCCTTCCAATTGGCGAATCCAGCAACCCTCGTTCTCACGGGCTTGGTGGTTTCTTAATGGTCACCCCATGTAAAGGGCCCTTTGAACAACCCCCATTTCGAGACAGACCCATATGCAACAAGGTGAGCCTAGACGTGTGCAAGAGACAACGCGCAATCGATTTTCTGCAAGTGTCGGGATTTGCCCAGCTCCCCCCCCCCTTTCACTCTTCGGTTGACAACTATCGGACTCAGCGTGGAATTGGAAAAAGGGGAAACACAAAAAAGGACCCGATTCGATCCGATTCCTGCTTTTCAGAGCTTTTCCTGCAAGGGGCAGCAAAGAAACGCCCGCCGCACGGTGTCCTGCTCTCAGCCCCCCGGCTACTTGGGCCTTTTGGATTGAGCCCGTCTAACTTGGGATCGTTTGTCTCAATTCAGTGACCCGGGAAAAAAAGGGAACCAATTCTTTTTGGGCGGAAAGCGCTGCAAATCCAGGACAAGTCAGTCGATCTTCCATGAGTCGCAATCAAAACAAAAATGCTCGGTACTGAAGTGGACGATGCCCAGAACCATGCTTCAAGAATTCGGAAGGCGCCATTTATGCTTGGGACTCTCCCCAACCTTCATCTACCCGGACGTTGATTCTGGCTCAAACGGTGAAAGTGCAACCACTGAGGCGAGCTTCTCCCAGTTCTTTTTGCTCGCGTGCACGAGGCCGGACAGCCTGTACCCTTGTCCGAAGCTTGCCAGCATGCCTCAAAGTGGCAATACTACGCCCAATGCCATCCTATGGTTCCATTCGCCAGTACTATAACTAGACCCAGACCCACCCTGTAAACAGCAAAGAGCAAGGATCAGGTCGTCTCTTGATTATGGTGGTAGCGGGGATCCACTGGATGCCAATTCTTTTGTGCGTCCTTCCACAGTGTGTAGAGCTCTCGTATGTCTTCAATCAGGATCAGGACTGCCATTGATGTTCATAGGACCCCCAGTCTGAGCAAATGATGTTATCTCATGCAAACATATGTGCAAACTGCCTAACTCGATGCTCAATGCAGACTGCCGTGAGGGACTAGCGCAAATGTCAATAGGTTTACTGGAAGCTCCCAGGCAAAGATGACAGCCGCCCACTCAGGTAGCGGAAGGCTTGTATTTCAAGCCCTCGAGTGCGGACAGCGCGTCCGCAGCATGCCCATGCGCAGAGCTCATAGCCTCGTCCTTGTCTTACCGCAGAAGCCAGCCAAATCGCATATACTAGGACCTCCAGTAAAGAGGTTGAATAAGGGTACCCTTTTTTCTGTAGTCTGTTTTAGTAGGGGAACCTCCCAACCACAAAAAGTTGGTCAAAGGGCACTACTGGGGGACCTAGGCATACAATTTCCATACTGATTCAGACCCATAGCTCTTGCTGAGCCATTGGAAGCTCATGGCTGTTGAGGTCCTTAAGGCTGAGTGACTAGAAGTTGCTGCAATAGCACCCTTTGCTACGACTCTGAACCAGTTTGGTAGTATCACTCTGGGCAAATTAATCCCCAGGGAACTTTATCCTCCTTGTTTAACCCCCGCATCGCCGCTGGGATCGCTCGTAATCTGCCCGGATTGGCTGTATTCTGTATTCTTCCATCTGCTCAAGCCCCTGAAAAGGACAAACATCCAGTTCAGCAGCGATAGATTCCTTTTAAAACCAACAGCTTAGACCAAAACGAAACATAAGCAACTTGCAGTATTTGTCCAGGGGTGCTTGTGCATACACTTTTTACATACCCCTTGGGGCAAATGAACACAAGAGACCTGCTCATGTTCAGACCCCTCTCCCTAAAAGGGGTAAATACTTTGTTTAAGTGGGTTGGAAACCAGAGAAGCCAAGGGGTATGAACGAGGGCTATGCCGCACTACGGCAGCATCACCACTTCATGCTCCCCGAAGCTCTGGGTGTAACTCCGACCTGCCGACTTTTTCGGTAAAGCCCGGTAAAACCCAAGGCTCCCAAATCCTCGGACGGCTGGGCTTGTCTTTTGCGAGTCAAAGGAACCAACGAAGCCATTGATCCTGTGGACGGCATTTCCTGCCATTGAAAAGGAACACAAACAAAAAAAACAGGACACCAATTTGTGGCTGCAACTAAAATGGTTTTCTCCAAAGGTTTAAAGTCCATAAAACAAGGGACACAAGGGGAACTCTGAATGGCTCATCACATTGTCTATCAGAGGAATCTGAGCCCTCATAATGGTTGGCGTTCCTTTTGGCTTCCCTTTAAACCAGAGTCTTGTATGAAAGGGTACCCAGGGTTAAAACAAGCCGGGTTTTAACATGCCAACCTCCAAGCGCCCCCAACAAATAAGACAATGACCTGTTTGCTCACTTCCTTGCTGTTCCTTTAAATGATCGCCACCCAAACTGCTTGAATTCCGATCGGAACCTGGCCATCAAGAATGCACAATACCCATTCACTATGTTTCTGTGCAACTAGAACGGCCCAAACCCAAAAGTTGAAGAACAAAAAAGAAAAGCTACAAGTCCCAAAAGGAACTCAGGGAGTGAGTTTGGGTTTCTGAACCCATGGATCTAAGGATATGACCACTTGTATGGACTCCTGGACTGCATGTTGCCCAGCTTGTATTAGGTGCCTCCCCTCCAAAACCCCCTAGGTCCTCCAGTAGACAGGCTAGAAAAAGGGCACCAACACTTTTTTTCTGTAGTCCATTTTAGTAGGGGAACCCTCCCACCCAAAAAAGAAACGGTGAGAAAGGGCACCCTTTCGCTGGGGGACCTAGCCCCTCTCTCTGAATCACTGAACATGCCCAAGGGCCCCAGGGTTGAGACTCCAAGCTATGAGGCTCCTTTCAGCCTCCCTGGTATTTGGTGATTGGTGGTTTTCCATTGGCCCTCTGCAAGAACCTGGGGTTCTTTCGGTTTACACCAAAAAAATGCCCCTGTTCGTAACAGAGTTGTCCGGTTATGAACACCGTCGCCGTTGCGGTTTATCGCTTTTCTTTCCCGCTGCTCAATAATTTTGCAGATATGTCTGTCTGGGGTGCTTAAAAGGGCTCAACGTAACTCCCTGGATCTTCCTCCATTTGCTTAAGCCCCCTGGAAAAAATATATGCTTTTTCAGCAGTGATAGATTACCCAACATTTTGGGGTCGAGGACGCTATCGAACCAGCATGTTACCTATGGCAACTGGCCGCTAAAATTCTGCAGCGTTTCTGCGCCTCCGAACTGGTAGTGAATCTCCAGCACGGCAGCATCTCCAGCCTGCGAAGTTGTGGAGGGGGACTCGCCATTGCTTTTCCCCTTTTCGTTTGCGCAGCTGACAGTGACAAAGAGACTCTGCAAAAAAAGACCCCCACCTAGCTCCTCCAGTAGAGAGGTTAGACTAAGGGTACCAATTATTTTTTCTGCAGTCTATTTTAGTAGGGGAACCCTCCCAACCAAAAAAGGGGAGAGAACGGGCACCCTTTCGCTGGGGGTCCTAGCCACCCTATTTCAGCTGAAGCTTCTTGGAGAGAGGGGGGGGATTGAGGGAACCAGGAGCAGACAGTGAAACTTCGGCCACCGACCTTGGACGCAATTCATGTACCGACCTATGGACTTTGTCTCAAGGGGGAACCCAGACGGGTGTTCTCGCGTTGGCTTCCCTTGAAAACAGCCCCAAAAAAGCACCAACTCCAAACTCACTTTTCCAAGAGGACCTGGAAATAAAAGGTGATCACCTTCTGGGACCTTTACCAAAGCTCGGTTGCTTTCTGCTCCCCTGCTAAAAGTTTAACTTTTAGCGGTTTAATACGGAAAACCCAACTAAGTTGGCAAAAAGTTAAAGTCCTAACATCCCTTGGCAAAATGCACCAAAGAAAAATGGGAATCCACATCTGCGAATCCAAAAGGCTAAACGCTCAGCTTTGGAAAAGTGAGCCAAAAGACACACACGCACACACACACACACCGCACAGATTCCACAGGCCTGGGCACAACAAAAAGCGCCGCTGGTCAGAGAGAATGGGTTTTTCCCTACGGATCTAGCGCAGTGCTACAAAGTCGGGGTCCCTGCCTGTGCCCCCAAAGGCTTTTTGGTTGGCGCGGCATTGGACGCTTGAAGCGAAGTATGTTGTCTGAACTCATCCAAGCGAAAGGCGTGACAAATCACCTTGGAAGATCCACGTATTTGGGTGTCTGTCTCTTTTCTAGGCGACACCCAAATTGTGGTTTTCCTTTTGGTTTCCCTTTCAAACCACCAACAACAAAAAAACAGGTACCTTGACAAAAACGCACACACACACACACACACACACACGCACATGCAGTTACACACACAAACACACCCTTTCCCAGCCCACTTAAGCCACAATCAACACCCGGGTAAGTGAAGATTAGTATGGGACGATCCCCTTGCCATAAATCGCTGCTGATCTCCGCGTTAGTTCTTGAAGCATGGTTCTGGGTCGACCATTGTTGTACCGAGTTTTGATTGTGACTCACTTGTCCGCCCCTCGGTCTCCGAACCCCCCTCCGCGACCCACCTCTGTGGGCCCAAACCCGAGTAGCCGCGACTTGGGGGCATCCTCACGGAGCTCAGACGCCCGTGATGGGACCGCAAAAATGGTGGTACACACACAAAAAAGAGGTCCCGAGTGTCTCCATGACCCTTTAAAAATGGGGTCATTACCTAAATTAATGGGGTCATGGACCTATCTTTAAAGAGTGGTTCAACAAAACACTCGCAAAAAAACAAAAACAAGGTGTACCTGGAGTCTCCTTCTGACCCTTCAAAAATTGGTGAATGACCCCAAGATTTTGGGTAATTTATGGAGACTCACTGAAAAAGACACACCCACATTGGGTTCAGATTGCTTCGGGTCGGAACACCCATCAGCAGGGTTCTCATTTGTGCATCAGATTGGTAGGTTCAGACGCCCATGTGGCCAGGGTAAACATTCATCATTTAAGTCACAATCAACACCCGGAGCCCAAATCCCCAATGGCCATCAACTGGCTTCCTGGACACTTCATGGATCTCTTTTTTCTGCCTTTGACCAGTAAACAAGTTGTAAGGCACAACGAAAGGAATCGGTCCACAAGGGAGGTCCAGGTTGTCAAGTGACCTCGAGTCCTGGTTCAGGGCAAATTGGAGACTCCAACGCCCTTCAACCCTCTCCGTCCCTGCATCCTTGGGCAAAACCCCTTCAAAAAACCATGAGCCAAATTTGGGAGAAACACATAGAACACCTCCCCCCCCAAAAAAAACAGTGGGCTACAAATTCTAAAAGACACAACAAACTAAAACAAAACAAAAAATAAGCTGAATCCAAAGACACAAAAAACGACTAAAAACAAAGACAACATGAAACCTGAACTGACTACCAAATTCCAAAAGACACACAAAAAAACAAAAACTATCAAGCTGAAACCCGAACTGCACAAGGAAACACCACCCCAAAGACAATCTCACACGGCCGGAGTTGAATTCTTCCGCCGGGCGGCGCTGAGCTGCAGCGAGGAGTTTTTCACCCGCGCCATCAAGCAGGGCGTCACGTCCTCGGCCCAAGTGGGGCGCTCGGCGCCAGCCGTGGGAGGGTCCAAGCTCTGGGTTGTGGACCTTCCCTGACTTGGGAAACCATGTTCTCTCTTGCATCAGAAGGAACAAAACACAAATTTAGGGTTTCCGTACAAGCTTGTGTTTGTTTTTGTTTGTGTTTTGTTGTTTTTTGTGTCTTTTTCTTACCAAAAGGAAACAGACAAATTTAGGGGCACATGGGTGGCTTGCAATTGATCATTCCCTGGCAAGCTTGGCCTTCAACCTTTCTGGGAAGATCATTTTAGTGGTGCCAGACTTGTTCTGATCAATCCACTCAGGAAACGACTGGGTTAGTTTGTATTTGGGTGTTCGGCCAAGTCAGTAAGTTGCCAGGGACCTATGTTATAACCGGGCTGCAAGGCCGGTGCAATTGATTTTGTTGTTAGTCACTTCCCCACTTGGGCGAACGGCCCGTAGGCCCTCACTTCCGATCGACCCGCTGGATGGCCCTAGAAGGCCACCGAGCTGTCGGTCGCCAACGTGGTCCAGACCAAAACTTGCCACGGGGCCCATCCCCAACCCAAGGCTTCCTGAGTTGATTGGCCGAAAAAAAATCAAACTTTTTGTTTGCCACCAAAATGGTCCAGACCCAAAAAGTATAAAGTCCATGAACTCAGGGAGTGAGCAACCCAAGGGGTCCCAACCCAAAAAAAGCCACATGGTCTCTACAGCCACTCGGTTCATGACCATGCGTCCTTCATTGTACAGGGCTTGTTGCCGCACGGGAAAAATGGAAATTTACACCGTGTCTGCCCGCCCAAGGCGGTGGCGTTGCAAAAAAAATCATGATCATCCCTAACCCAAGGGGCCCTTTGAACTTGCAAAACTGAGAACGGCTGGAGCCAACTGGGGCCCCAAGGCTCCAAAGCCGAGCTTTCCCGAATCCTGTTTTGAGAAACATTCATCTGGAGCGTTCGGGACGCACTTCTGAGGTCGCTTTCTGCCCAAAGCCATCCCCGCCCGGAACTGCTAAAAACACTGTGTATAATTTATGGTAAACAAGTTTTTGAAAGACCCCCAGTGGCCATGGGGAAAACGTTTCTTTGTAGGTGTTTGCATGCGTTTTGCAGAGGGGCCCACCCTGGGTGTTGGAAGAGACCGCAAATGAAACATATATGAGTGTGTCGCCTTTTGGGCAGAAGCTTGGTCCATTCGAGTTCTAAAAAAAAGCACCCAGGGCCCCGATACATTATTGGGGGAATTATAGCCCAAATAAGGTCACTTTGCAAAAACATGTTTGATGGCCGGTGGGTCTGCTTTGATTCTGCTTCATTGTTCGTCTACGCCATATACAAATATCAAGTTCAGATCCAATATCTAAATATCTCCTCGAGAAACCCCAGGAACCGCCTTTGGAGGAACCCTTGAATGTTCAGCCAAGTTAGTGGTTCCCACTTTTGGAGGACGTATAAGCGGGTTAGAACCTAGGCTACCCACAACTTGATATCTTGGCCGAACACCCAAGTAATGTTGCCCCCCAATAATCAACCCCTGTGTATGAATAGGGGGGTGTCCCTGGGTGAAATTTGGGGGCTGTCCCTGGGTTTTGTTGGTTTCTAGGTCCCAAGTAGAGAGCTTGGAATAAGGGTACCAACTTTTTTCGCTGGTCTAGTAGGGGAACCCTCTGGGAGAACCAGGTTTGGGGCTGTCCCGGGTGAAATGTGGGGCTTTAGGGGGGTGCCCCTGGGTTTAGTAATTGAACCTCCCTGGGGCACAGGCCACGCGCTTGCCGACCCCGTCGGATCGCCTGCGGTGGCGCCAAAAGGCCGGCCCCGCGTCTGGTCAGCCCGTATCCCACGCCGTGGATGACCCCAAATGGCCGTGGCTCAAAAATATGTACCCACAGGGCACCTTGGCAAATGGAAAAGACCAAAACTTGCATAACCCGAGCTCTTTAATTTTGAGCCACACCCATATTGCAGGTAAACTAAGCTGCAAAACCATGGTGAATTACAGTGAACCATCCGTGCCCAGCCACAAAACCCGGGGAGTTCTGGTGAACCAAGCATACCCAACCACAAAGCCGTGCGGTAAATCCACCGTACCCAAACACAAAACGCATGGTCAGTTGCGGAAACATTCAGTGCAACGGATACCCCAGGCCCCATTCAGGGTGATCCATTCAGGACTAGGGTCCTGATGAAAATTGGGGCTTCAGAATAGATCCTTTTTAGGTCCTCCAGTAGAGAGGTTAGAATACGGGTACCAATTCTTTTTTTGCTGTAGTGTATGTAAGCTAACCAAACGGCACCAGGCCACAGGGGGGTCTGCCACCAGGGGAAGTGAGTCACCCACCGGCTCCGGTCACGGGAGCATGGGTGGGCCCACGCTAAGATCAAATGCATCTCCATTCAGGAGACGCGGGAGAAAAATGAACTCCTCGCAGAGTTCCTGTTTAGGAACTCTGTGCAAAGGGTCGAACCCAGAGAAATCTGGGTGCGTCAGCTCATCGGCCCACTGGTTGAATTCCCGGGGCACGTGGTTGGCCGCCAGCGAGCAGCCATGGGTGTGGAGCAGGAAGACCAGCTCCATCAGGATAGCCGCGGTGTAGGGCTTCTTGGATCCAAGGTTGAGCATCGCCATGACGTTGCCCTGATTGTCACTGCCCACCGGGAGTCGGACCCGGGAGGACAGAGGGCCTTGGTGCGTGAGGATCATGTTACAGAGGAAGAGCGTGCCCAGCATTTCCAGAGCCGCAATCCTCCGCTTGGGATCCCCATTCTTGAATGCCCACGGGTACTCCTCCACGTGGATCTGCTCGTGGAACCAGTACACCTCCTTCTTCTCCGGCTCCACTTTGTTGGCGCACCAGCCTCCCACAAATGCCAGTCCTTCATCCGAGGCGCTAGCATCGCTGCAACCCCACCAAGAGGACTTCGGCAAGTAAGGGGAGTACTGGACGAAGGGCGTGTTGAAGAGGAACCGCAGCATGAACGCCAGCATCCTGACCACCTTAGGGGGTTTCCCCACCGTGGTGGTGGCCATTTTCCAGGCCCACAGTGGCTGAAGCATCGACTTCGCCAGCGGACATGCAGCAGTTGCCCATTGGATGCGGCCCAAACCCTTCTCGATGTCCTTTGAGTGCATCGCCTGCCCTTCCACCATGATCTGCAAGACCTCCATCACCAGGATGTGTTTGTTGGCGGCCATGAGAACCTGCGGGATGTTCGGGTGGACCACGAAGCCCAGCCACGTGTTGACCTCCGCCAAATGTGTCTTCTTCCAGCTAAGCGGGGTGCCTCCTGACTCCCGGCTTGGGTGCCCCTGGCCCCGCCGAGGAGGGCGACAGGGACATGGGGTATGCGGACGGCACGGAGCGGGCCACACCACCGGAGGAGGCGCAGACGCCACCCACGAAGAGACTGAAGGGCTTTGTGGCGGCTTCTCAGAAGGCTACGTCTCAGGCCAACAAACCTGTCACCTTGGTGCCGGTGGACGGAAAACCTGGGTACTTCAAGCTGGTGGACCTCCCGGACTTGTTTCCAGTCCTTCCAGCGTCGGCGGCCACCTTGCTGAGAGACATCACGGTGGAGGAGGCGGTCTCCCAACAAACTTGTAAAACAGGGAGACCGCCTCCTCCGCCGTGATGTCTCTCAGCAAGGTGGCCGCCGACGCTGGAAGGACTGGAAACAAGTCCGGGAGGTCCACCAGCTTGAAGTACCCAGGTTTTCCGTCCACCGGCACCAAGGTGACAGGTTTGTTGGCCTGAGACGTAGCCTTCTGAGAAGCCGCCACCAAGCCCTTCAGTCTCTTCGTGGGTGGCGTCTGCGCCTCCTCCGGTGGTGTGGCCCGCTCCGTGCCGTCCGCATCCCCCATGTCCCTGTCGCCCTCCTCGGCGGGGCCAGGGGCACCCAAGCCGGGAGTCGGTGTGGCAAATGCCACTTGGAGACGCTCCAGTGCGCTGGAGAGGTCATTCATCACATCGGTCGCCGAAGCTGACGGGGGGGCCTCGGGCTCGTCCAAAACCAAGCCGGCCGCCACTGCCGCCTCCCGTGTGCGAATGTCCTGGGCCTCCTGGCTGGCCATTTCAACCTCCTCCACGGTGAGTGTCTGGTCCTCAATCAACTCAAAGGAAGTTGCCGAGGTTGCCGAGGAAGCCATTGCTTGGTCGGGGTTAAGTTCGAAAATGCAAAAGATCAAAGTTTTTCAATCAGCTTGGGTTCCAGGAACCCAGAACAATGCTTGAGCCAAAATGGCACATGCCATTATGGTCAAGCATTCCACACACAGTTCATGTTTCCACATGCGTTTCAACATTAACAAAGTCTATTTTAGTAGGGGAACCCTCCCCCAAAAAAGGGTAAAAGGGGACTACTCGGAAACCTAGCTTTTGACCAACCCGGTTCTCACACCAAACCGCACGACCCTTAGGGCGGACATGATTCTGCCTGGATCCCGTGTAAACTCTTGATCAGGCTGGGGCATACACGCTTGCCTTCAAGGCTCTGACACGGGGTCCTGTCACAATCTGCTGTGGCTTTGGGCTTGGGCTGGCGACAACCATCTGGCGGCAATGCAGAGGACAGTGAGGAAGACACGGGACATCAGCCAGGTTGGCTGGCGTGATGACTTCGTCCAGCGCTACGGCTTCAAGGTTCACTCTCGAGTGCCGGTTTTTCTTCGGCTGCTTCCACACTGTGGATGGACGAATCCTGCACCACCTCAGAGACCCTGGAAGGATGATTCCCTGTTACAAACGGTGGTTTCAAAGTGGTGCGAAACGATTTCGTCCATCCACAGTATGTGGCCATCAGGTGCTGCTCCGGCTTCCTCTAGAGTGCATTGGGGGATATCCTTAGGGCCCTACGAATGACCGAGGAGCCTTCACCGGGAGCGCGGTTGCCTACGACATGACCTCGTTGTCTTTGCGGTTTTCCGGAAAGAGGAGCATCCCCAAAAAGAAGGGGGAAGCCCCTCCGGAGCAATTCCGCATCGATCCGGTTCGTACCCGGTACCCGTACCCCGCCTTCCGAGCGCCTCTGCCGGAGTTTGGATCGCAGCGCCATAGGTCGCGGAAAGGATCATCAGGCCATTGACCGCCTGCGCCGAACTTCGCAATCGGAAGGCCTTTGTTCAGCTCCACTCCTTGCTATTTGCACGTAGCCAAGGAAGCAGCCTTACAATGAAGTTGACCATAGGTATCCCGTCGCCATGTCTCCTTTTGAACTTGTAAGGCTTACAAGGTCAAAAACAAAATGGCGAGGGGATACCTATAGTCAGCTTCCCTCTCGGTTTGGGTTGGTGGTTGGAGCAATAAAAGTATCAGAAGTTCCAATCCAAATCCAAACCAATCCAAAACTCATTTCAGATCGAGTGTGTTGGCCAAGAACCAAACCTTATATGTACCACAAAAAAATGATCCAAACCCAGAAAGTTTTAACTCCATGACCTCGGGAAGTGAGAAAGCAATAATTCAAAATTACAAAATGTGTTTTTGTTGTGGACACAAGCGACCCTGTCTAGCGAGCCCTCATACTCAAAACCTGCTGAAAAATGTGGGCGGGCACATTGTGATAATTCGTCTGAAAACAATTCCCACAAGAGTCATATTGATCATGGGTGTTTGGATGAGCCCGGTGGCTAAGATTCTATGCCAAAAAAGTGGATTGCAATACATACAATAGCCGCACATGTCATACCGTTGCATTGTGTCTTTGAACATATTCCTTTCAAGGGAAATCCGGAAAGCAAAGCTACCCCGCTCCTTCTGACTTGTTTGGGTCCCTGTCTGGCAGGTTCACTCGTGCGATTCTGCACCCCCAACTGGTTGAATATGGCAATGCTCCGCCCGAACCAGTGGAATCACGATGCTCTGCTGCCACTACTCCCCTGCAGTTGAAAATGGATCCCAAAAAACAAATATCATGTGTCAGTATCTGGAGTCTCCATGACCCTTTGAACATGGGTCAATGACCCCATTTTGGGTAATGACCCCATTTTGGGTAATGACCAACCATTTTTCAAGGGTCATGGAGACACAAGGAGTAGAGAAGCTCATGGCGGGGTACCCTTTTGCGTTCCGTGTTGCAGGGGAGTAGTACCGTCATCATTTGTCATCAGGCGAGTCATAATCAAAACCCAGTATCAAAATGGTCGACCCAGAACCATGTAAAGAATTAAGAAGGCGGATATCCGCAGGTATTAATGGTTGCGATTGTCGCTTCCTAGCCTTCATCTACCCGGGTGTTGACTGTGGCTCAGGTACGGACAGTCTCATTTTCCACCTCGCTAAGGTAAGGGCCCCTCGAAAAACCAAGCTACCAAGAAGTTTGGTCGCTGAACCAGCTCTTTTTGACTCCACTCTGTAGCCTCCCTTCAAGGAGGGGGGGGGGCTGGCTGGCTGGCTGGGGGGCTGCCCAAAGTCCATAAGAGGTGAAACCCTCGGATTCAGGCAGGCTACCATTAAAACCATGGGTTCATAAACCATGGGCTAGTTCACCTAGGATAGTCGTCATCATGTAAGTTGGGTCCCTGCCATCGTTTTTATGAGGGTTGAGCCCTAGAAAACATGAACTAGGAGTGAAATTCCAAGGACGCCCCCTTCCCAATTGCCACCTGATGGTGACGCACCTTAGCAGGAACAAAGGGCCCAAAGCCCTGGTGGCCATGCAAAAACGAGCACCCCTGTGTTTGCTGCCTCCAATAGACGCTCCCTTAAACATAGAAGTTTAACCCCATGGATTACGGCAAATTGGAGGGTTTCTTAGTTTCCTTCCTTGCAATATTTATCAGCTCCAAGTCAGTTGCAAGTGAAGCCAGCGTGGCATCTTCAATCGCATCAAATTCCGGCTGGTAGGCTCGAATACGCAATATGTAGGGTAGCCACCACCTTCGCGCGCAAGCCCGCAAGCCCATCTCGAGTGGCGCGGCGACTCAGTCACACCAAGCAGCAACTGAATTAACTTCCTGGGTTTGGGTTGGACAAACCCACCATTTTGACACATACGCCTTAAAACAAGTGACACTCAGGTTGTTTTTTCTCGCAATTTTCAGGGAACCTCCATTCTTTGGGTTGGAAAAACCTATGTTGCCGTGGTCCCCTACCGTACCCCTACCCCTTAAAACAAGTGACGGGAGCCTCCATTTTTTGGGTTGGAAACAAAAAACAACCATTTTTTTGGGGCGGGGAAAAACCGTCCCCGCCCCAAAACGGAGCGCTTTCCCCGCGTCCTGCGTCCTTCGGCCCCCGCCGCCTCCTCCTCCTTGCGCCTGCGCGCGGCCTCCTCCGCCAGCAGGGCGCGCTGCCCGGCGGCCTCCTAGGACTCGCCGCGGCTCGCGGCGCGCGGCGCGCGGGAGGCTTGGAAGAAGCCACCGGACTTGGATGGAACGAAGCAGCCGGTAGTAAAGTGGTCCTAATCCCAGAGCCATGTATAAAAGAAGCAAGGAGGCGGCCGCCACGAGTTCTGTATTAAGAAGAGGCACACTAGGACCTCCAGTAGAGGTTGGTTAGAATCAGTTGGGGGGCAGAAAGGGGTGAGAAAGGGCACGACTGGGGGACCTAGTCAAAGTGGGAAACAAGACAACTTCAATAAAGCACAACAAACAAATCCGAGTTGGATGGGGACCCAACAAGAAATCGACTTGGATGAAGGGGTCGAACAAGAACCTGATTGGGATCAAGGCCAAGAGATCGAAGTGGGAAACCAAACGGCTTGGATGAGGCCAAGGGGTCCTCCGATTTGGAGGCCCCACAAAAAAAGAGAGATTTGGGGGCCCCCGAACAGAACCTGATTTGCAAGGCCCAACACAATGGATCGGGCCCAACATAAAGAGACTCGGATAGGGGCCCCTAACAAAGACCCTGATTTGGATGGGCTTGGAGGCACATCAAACAAACAAAAAGCCAACAAAAAGAAAGAGTTGGATGGGGCCGCCATGCCCTCTGATTGAGCTTCCATCCTTTGAGAATGGTTCGGTGAATATGACCATTGTTCACTTTCAGAATGGTCAACAAAATCCTTACATTCTACACCTGAACATTGCCACTTGTAAATGCTGGTTTCCAACTATACTTTGGTGTTGAAAAAGCCGGCAACATGTTTCAAACGGTGACGCAAAATGGCTTGATCTTTTCAGGAGCCCTGGTCAACATTGGGTCTTGACAAAAAGCCTTTTAAAGCAGGCTGTACCCAACCAGGGGATGAAGATCGCAAATACGAGTGGGCCACGTCTCAAGCTTATTGCCATTCTTTTCAGGGATCCTTTTCAAAAACATGGCCAACCTCTGGCATGACTAAGCTAGGCCCAGCTATAGATTTGAAATTATTTGCTTCACTTTGAGTCACTGGTAAGATGCAAAATGTATCAACATGTCCCCTAAGTCTACCACAGCTGGGGAGAAATGTGGAACTTCTGAAAAGAACCATGGGTTTTGCCAGAATGGGATCCGAATGCCAGGTTGCTCCTTTTGCCCCCGCCCCCCCCCCCCCCCACCCGAACGCGCAGAAGGTCTAGTCTAAAACTTTTGTTTTGGAAAGGCATTCATAAACCAAGGCCTTTGCGGCCCTTGCGATCTGTGACACCTACAAAGGTCCTTTTCCTCCATTTGCTTGAATCCCTTGAAAATCAATCATGCTTCCAGAAGTGAGAGACTCCTTTAAAAAACCACCAGGTCTTAAGCAAATGGACGTTTTGGCGCCTTCTTCGGTCACTCTTCAGATGGACCGAATCGCTGGCGACTCGCCCCCCGCGACTCGGACGACTCGGACGACTCGGACGACTCGGACGACTCGGACGACTCGGACGGCTCGGACGGCTCGCCTGCTGTACAGCCAGGTCGTCCTTCGCGTCTTTGGCAGAGCTATCTGAGCCCTGATCCTCGGAGCGCGAGATGCGCTCGAGGCGAAGGGGAGGTACCTCAAGGGGCGATCAGGTAAGCGGTGAGCAAGCCTTGTTGTAACCCACTAAACAGAGACTTACATGGTATGTAAGTGGGTTATAAACATGGTTATTGCCCACTTACTAGGTTGTGCAATGCCCGTTTAAGTACTTGTCCGACCTGAGATAGAATTTCCTGCTCATTTTTGACCCAAGCCTTGGGTGCCACCATCAAAGTACCCTTACCCTATGCTTCCAAAGCCTATTTAAAAAATAGTCGTTGTGACAACCCCGGACTTTTGATAAAGACTATTTTTTTGATGACGAGCGGCAGCCTCCGTTTTGGACTGGAACAGGGACTAGGAAAGACTTGACGCTAAGGCCGCCTCATAGGATCCCAAAGCCGAATATGTATTTTCATATGCAGCAATATGTGTTACAATCTTGAAGGCTAGTTGCTTGGATTTTTTGCTTGGTTTCTTAACATGGCCATGTAACGCGTGAGGGTGAATCCTCTTCTGACCGTTTCTGCCCTTCTTTTGCCCCACCTTCTTAGCCAAACCAAACAAAACGGGACAGCAAAAATCTTTACCCATCGCAGCAACCATTCCAGGATGAGAATGTTGATCTTCTGGGTCCCCTGCAAAATTTGCCCATTCTACGCCAAAAAATAGTGGTTCTACGCCAAAAAATAGTGGTTCTACGCCAAAAAATAGTGGTTCTACGCCAAACAATGGTGTTTCTACGGTTTTTCTACGCTTTGTCTACGGTTTGTCTACGCTCACGTCGTTTTTGGAGCTGTGTGAAAATTGGAGCGGAAAAAACTAGCACAAAATTGCTTGTTGTTCGTGCCACCTGCGCAAATTGCAGAGGACAATTCTAGAATTTGCTAGAATGAAGGCTCCGTCTACGCAAGACTGTCAGCAGGTGTATTGCGCAAACACGAAAGGGCGCCGAGGACCCTATCAATAAATAGTAATCTACTGACTCCCAAGGCTTCTTAAGAGGTTGCAATAGCAGGTGTAATTTCGGTAAAACAAAGTAACAACCCAAAATGGACCCCAAAGGCCAATGTCAAAAAATAGGGGTTGTCAATGCAAAAAAATAGGGGTTGAACAACCCCTATTTAAAAAATAGTCGAGGAAGCATAGGGCTTAACCAATTGCTGACATGTACCAATGCGTGTGCGGCGAAATATCGCGTCTTTTGGGGTAAATTTCAACCACGCGTTTCGCGGGGCGGGGCGGTGCTGGCAAATCGATTTTGCAGAAAATAATTAGACCTTTTGAGGATGTACTCGTTTCGGGGAAGGAGTCAACGTTAGATGCTCACATGTTGCTGGTGCCTTTTAGCCTCTTGCCTCTTTAGGCCTCATACCAGTATCTCGGTTGATCCGTCCAATTTTGAAGTCCCCCTTCTGCACAAGGAACATTGAACACCGCCTGCGTCCATCCAAAAGAACACCAAACAGACGGCATCTCAAGGCGTGCGCTCAGTAACCGCGCCCCAATCTTGAAACCAAATGATAATGGAACCACGGGTCCCTTTGCATTCCAATGGTCCAAGCATTTTTCCATCACCGTGCAACCCACTACAAGGCCCCTTTTGCAGCGAACTAGTCCAAACCAGGACTCAGGATCCATGCGCTCCCCACACGTCTGAGGCTCGACCCCTGTCTGAGGAGCAGGCGCTGTTGAGGTTGGATAAGAAGAGCCAGCCTTGTCGAAGCAGCGAAATCACAAAGGGCGCTGCCTCAGTCATTGCGTCGAGCGCAGCACGGCGGGCGACCGTTTTGTTTTTTCCCCGTTTCCGAACCGGTGCCAAAGATTGACCCACCTAGAGTCCATGACCCTTAAAAAATCGTTGGTCATTACCCAAACTGTTGGGGTCATTGACCCATTTTCAAAGGGTCATGGACACTCCAGGCAGAAATGAAGGCAACCCCTCCAAGAGGCTTCCGCACCAGAAAGGCAACCGGTCACTGGATATAAACAAAGCAAGAGTCTAAAGCTCTCAACGTGCATCGGGCGCCCGACTTCCATTACGTCCACTGGACGTAATAAAAAAAAAAAAAAAAAAAACATGTTTCTAGCAGTGATAGATTCCATTTATACAAATGACAGTTGTTCCTTTGCTTAACTCAATTGAAAGGGCCCCAGAAACCAAAAGGTCATCACGAATGGTTGCCAACAAGCGAAAACCAAAAGGTCAACAGGTTGGACTTCCCGAATGGGTGGTGTTCCTGTTGGTTTCCCTTTAAAACCACCAAAAGGGGGTATACCTCAAACAAAAATCATACCCAAATATTCATTGCAGCAAACTTATCTTTGCCCAAGGTGCCTGAAAAAAACATGTGTCAAGAGTGATAGTGTCCCTTAACTCCAAAAAGGAACAATACAACATATTATTAAGCAATCCTGTTAACTCAGCTGAAAGGGAGGTCATCCCCTCTTGGGAAGACTGAACAGTGACCAACATGGGCAAGAGAGGTTAGAACAAGGGTACCAACTTTTTTCTGTAGTCTATTTTAGTCGGGGATCCCTTCCCCAAAAAAAGGACCGTAAAAGGGCACCCTTCCGCTGGGGACCTGGGCAGAGTGGTCGGGCCCGGCGACGAGTGAGCGAAGCCAAATGGATCAAAGCGACAGCCTTGGGTCCCGGGCCGCCCAAAGGGTCGCCGCCATGGCCAGCTCTGAGGCCGGCAGAGGGCCATCCGACTCAGAGGCGTCCGAGGTGTGCGATCCGTGGGATGGATGGATCCGTGGCAGGGAGATGGGGGGGGGGTGCTGGAGGGGGGGGGGAGAGGTGGGGGTGGGGGAGGGGTGCAGTGGGGTGTGTAGGGGTGGGGGCAGATGGGCCCCCTTTGGATCTGTCTTTGACCCAAAAATAAGGTGTACAAGGGCAGAACAAAGCTCTCCTTTTGGGTTGGGGGTTCAGAAGAAGTCCAAGTCCCAGTTTGGGATGGATGTGCTTACCGCCCGAGTTTTGGGAACTCAAAGGCCTTTTGGTAGGTTCAAGACACAATGCAGATCCATTTCCCCTTTCAATGCTTTCTGATGCCTAGGGCAGGTCAAAACAAAGCGGGAAAAGCTGGAAAGCTTGGTTGCTCGAGGACCGGGTGAAGGACACAAGTAGGTGAGCATATATAGTGACACGTCTATAGGTCTGTGGATATATGTAGGTATATAAGCATAGATCAGATCGGATCCCCAACCAAAGCCCGGACCCTTCTCAACTATATAACGGGAATCTCGGATCAACAATCACCAGGGTTGATATTTGCGTCAGCTTTGGGCTTACTTGCGACTAGTGAAGGCCTATGGAAAGCAAGGGACGCTTTTGGGTGGTTGAGCTTGGGAAACTCTGTGAAACCCAAACCAGACCCAGAACCTAGCAGCCACTTGCCGAAAGAAAGAATCGCTATGTCATCCCGATTTGGTTGTGTCCAAAAATTGGGGACCCCCGGTTGTCCCAGTATTTTGTTGCAACCAAGCCCACGAAGACCTAAAAACAGACCCATGTTTGCCCCCCGGGCAACGCTTTGTTGCTTTAATAGGACAAAAGTAAATGGGTTTGTCTGCGCGGGGAACTCCGGTAAGCAAAACCCTCTGGTTGCCAAAGGAAAAGAACACAAGCCTTATCCAGGGCGAGTCACACAACACAATAAGACAGACACACGCCCACCCTAAGAACTTGAAACTGTTTGTTCTGTACGTGCCACAAGAAAGAAGCAAGCCCGCAAAGATGTTTCTTGCCAATACTCCTTTCCCTTCCCTAAAACAACAAACCTATACATGGGTTTGTGTCAAAGGACGGAACCCGTAGACAGGCCTGTGTCCTTTCCTCCCTGTTCCTGGACGCTATACTTCTTCGAGAAGAGCATGTTTATAAAAACACAAATCACAAATCCACTCATGCTGGCCTAAGTTTTTTACCATCAAAATCGCCCGCTAAGTGAAAATTGGTAGGTTAAAGGGACGCAACCCCCCAATTTATGTGTAACTTTGATAACCCCTAACAGTCAAAACAATGACCCATCTAAGGTTCTAAGAATCGTTTTCGGGTGTTGGAGGTTTCAGTGTCTAACGTTGACCCCTCCCGGACACGGTCAAAATCATGACCGGAAGCACCCCCCCCACAAATTGTGCAACTTTGATACCCCCTAGAAACAATGAAAACAATGACCCCGTTAAGAACCCTTCTAAGGTTCTATCAATCAAATTGGGTGTCAAACTAATGACCCCACTCATGTCGGCGACAACTTGCCACCGCCTCCGCCCAAATCTCCAGCGGGAGCACGAAGCGCAGGCCACACCTTTGGACCGAAGAAGCGGCGGTGGACTTCTGGGGCGCTTGGGGCGATCGATTCGGGACGTCAGGTAGGTGGGCAATAACCACTAGGTCCTCCAAGAGGTTAGAATAAGTTAGTACCATTTCTGTTTTCTGTGGTCTATGTATCTATTTTACAAGGGGAACCCTCCCCGCAAAAAAGGGTAAAAGGGCACTACAGGGGGATCTAGACCATGGTCCCCCCACAGAAGCCATTGTTGGAAGTCTCCGTTCAGTACTGGATTATAACCAGGCGTACTAACCGCTTAGGTGTGGCACCCCATCGCCCCTTTAAGTGCGTCATAATAGCTACAATCGGTATTAAAATGGTTTACCCCAATCCATATAAGGAAATTAAAGGCGGCTGCACGTCTTTTCTGGCTGGGAACACAAAAAGGAATGGCAAGGTATCCTGCTCTTTTCTCTTTACAATCCACCAAAAGTGGACCCCCCCAAAAAAAAACAGGTCCGGCGGGCGGGGGTGGTCCGATTCGGAAGGTACCGAACCACTTTAGGGGGGTCGGGTTCAAATGAGCCACAATCAAGACCCCTGGTCGATGAAGGTTAGACAAGCCACAAGGAATGCCCCCTCTCCCCATGGGGTCAATGACTTTTTCATTTGACATGGATCAGATACCGAATGGAATACCCTTTTTGGGGGAGTCGGTAAAGGGAAACCTCGCACCGAACGGACTCACTCGCTCCGCTCGCTCCGCTTTTTGCCAAAGTTCGGCGCCTGCAGATGGTGAGCCGCAGCCCTAATCCTCGTAGTCGCACCTCAGCACGGGTTCGCCCACCCCTTTGGCCGCAGATCTGTAATTCTCACCACACGAGCAATTCTTGTTTTTGTTGCAAGGAGCCACTTGTGTTTCTTGTGTGTGTGTGTGTTTTTTTTGGGGGGGGGTGGTGGTCCTTTTGTTGGGAGTGGCTTCAAAGGGGAACTGCTGAGAGGATCCCCTTTTTCAGACACACCCGCATCGCCTAATTCAAGGGATCCTCAAGTAAAGGACCTACATGGTGACAGAAAAACGAAGACCGGGGGATATGGGCGGGGGCGTTTTGAGGGTACCCAGTTTTGTTTCATGACCCTTTAAAAATAGGTCCATTACCTTCTTTTAAAGGTAATGACCCCTTTTTTCAAGGGTCATGGAGACTCTAGGTAGCCTTTTCGGGTAAGGGAAGCCAAGAGGAGACAAAGGCCAGTTGCATGTGTTGTTTTCTCCGTTGCCCCAGAGACGCAGAATAAAGAGGTCAACCTGTTCGGGGTCCATGACGAAACATGGATGCCAAAAAGGAAAGCCCAAAAGGTCAAGAGATCGATTCGCTTTGGGCAAGTGTTGCCTCTCGTTGGGGGCTGCTCCTTTAAGTCACGGCAAATGACTTCTGGTTCGGGGGCCGACGACCAGCTCTTTGGGGTTCCTTACCTCATTCTGCAACGAGGCCCCCCCCAGTCAACTGAAGATTTCTTAAGGATGTTCAAAGAGACCCTGCAAAAGGAAGTGCCGAAACCAATGTAAAGAATCAAAAGGGGCCGGCTAACCTTCACTTTCATTCACTTTCTCTGGCTGCTGACAGGACGGTGGAAGACTACTTTCTTTTCGGGGAACCTCCCAATCGTTGGAACAAGGGTGTCATCAGCCGAGGAAAAACATGGCCATGAAGTTTACCTTCACGTGCCGAGCAACCTTCATAGCTTAACAAGGACTTATTTAGGATTTTTGGGCTCCTTCTCCCTCCCCCTCCCCCCGGCCCCCCATGAGCTACAGCCTTTAAAGGCAGAAAACCGAATCGGTACATTGGGGGTCCAGGCAGCACAAACTTGCCGGCTTCTGCGCGTCAGTAGCTCGGGGTCCCAGGACTGGCATGACTCTATGGCACCGTCCACTACCCCCAATTGACTTTTGGTCCCGGTGGGTCCCGGAAAAGTGGGGGGGAGGGGGAGGGGGGGAGGGGGCAACCAGACAATTACAAACATTATACCATGATCATGAGAAAAGTTTGTCTATCAGTACCCCACAACTGACAACCTTCCATTTGCTTAAGGCCCTTGGAAACAAAACATTCGGTAGCGATATATTTTTGTATAAACCAACAGGGGCGATAAAACATATATTAATTTCAGCAAATGGAATCCGATTAGTTAGGACGATAAAGCACATATCAATTTCACCAAATGGAAATAATCCCAGTCCAACTAGCTGAGCTCTTACTGGATCTCTTAAAATTGGCATTTTGCGGCATCCTCTACAGTACTTTTGTGTGGATGGACCTTTTTGAGGATGCCACTTAGGCGTGTCTCTTTCAATTCAGGTTGGACCCCGCAAATCCTTTTGGTGTCCATTTTACCCCTTTTTGCTTTCCGTTTTTGGGTGTTTATTTGGTTTCCCTTCAAAGCCCCAAGAAAACCGGGTACCCTCAAAAACGCCACACTTGCAGCGACTCTGCTGGGACGGGCGCATTCAGGGCCCAGTGCAGCTTGGTCAAGCCGTCCCTGCTCGCCTGCGTTCGTCTCAACGCGTCTCTCTGAATTTTATAGTTGGCTGTGGGTCAAAAATACATACCCAAAATGGAACCCTGTTAAATGGAAGCAAGGACCAAAACCTGCCGTCCCCTGGTGCTTTAAATTTGACCCATACCCAGTTGGAGGAAGGAGACATGGGCGCGGCCTTGTTTGAAGTTGGTACCCCCTTTGTTTAGCGGTTTGAAAGGGCAAACCAAAAAGGAACCAAGGTAGATGCAAACAAAAGAACAACTATGGGCGTGTCCTTGTCTGACTTTCGTGCTGCTACTACCCCTTTTTTGGTCGGTTTCAAAGGACATATGTTCGGCGAACCCGCCCTGTTGTGGGTCCTATTTTGAGACAAACCCACATTGACTACAGCAACCCCCAATATTGGCGGCTGCAATTCCCTAAATTGAATTGCTGCTGTATCAAGTGAAGGCACCACGCGGGCAGGGAAAACTTCTCGCGTGTTACCTTTCGCACAAAGTTCCTAAAGGCAGGCGACAACAGAGCCCTTTTACTTCCATTTGCGTTTGCGCCCCCTGGAAAAAAAACATATTTGAAGTAGTGATCGATTCCCTCTAAAACCCAACAGGGGAAATAAACGAATGGAAGGTTGGGAGTTATACTACAGGTGGCCTTTGCCCCTTCGTAACTCAACGAAGACCCAAGATCTTTGGCAGGAATGTTGTCTGTTGCCCTGCGAAAAGTTTGACTTTTAGTTGTTTCATTCGGGGAAAAAAACATTAGTTGGCAAAACAAGTTAAAGTCCTAACATCCCAATTCCCACTACAATAGGTTCTAAAATGGGTGGTGAACTCACCTACCAACCAGAATGGGATCCCAAAACGGTTTGGACCACCGCAGCCAGATCTCCTATCAACCCAAGTGCAGCTTTGAAGATTCTTGGAAGAAACCAAAATGGGATCCCATTGGTTTGGTACCAAAACGGTTTTGACCTGCAGCCAGATCTGCTCTCGCCTTGCTGCAAGTCATCTGCAAGCCCGGGCCCTGCCGCGCCACTGTGGGCGACAGCTTCAAGGAGAAGCCTCCGCTTCGGCTCGAGACCCGCGCCGATTGTGGGGGGGGGGGGGGGATTGGTTCTGCAGCCAACTTAGTAGCTTGATGACCAGGGTTATCTATATATATATAATATATAGCGCCACAGGGTAACTGAGGTTGGTCCCCCTCATGATTATAATCTAAACTTAGCACATCGGTTGCAACTCTGACTATATTGTACCTATAGTATTTGAGCTGGTCCCCTTGTAACGATGGCTATAACCTACTTACTAAGCTGATCATGTTTCCTGCCTTCTCCAGCTGTTCTGAGCTGAAACGAGATGTTCGTCGAAAGCCGTTCACATCTACAAAATCTGCACTCTCCAGTGCAGTTTTGTCGATGTGGGCAACCAGACTGGGACAATACAACTCCAGCAATGTGAGGAGACACGCATGTGGGTCGAAATTCGCCTCGGCCCCAAAGAGGCCAAGGGCGCTCAGATCTCTTCTCCGAAGAGAATCTTCGCTTTTCCCCTCCCCCAACCCTCCCCCAAAATTTTGCCGGCCCGCCCCATTCCTCGGATGCTTTTTTGTCCTGAAAAGCATGACCTCCTGGTGGCCAGGCCTGTCTGACGTGTCTGAGACGAGGCTCAGGCCCAGCCCAACCAGCAACCCGCCTGCTGGCCAGGCCTGTCAGCCCAGCCCAGCCTCAGGCCCAAGCCTGGAAACAGGCCTGGCGCATCAAGCATGCCAGCCACTAGGCCGGCCCCCAGCTCCCAGCCCACCAGTCTAACGTGTCTGAGACTGGCCTCAGGCCAACGACCAGTCTACGTGTCTGAAACTGGTCTCAAGCTATGCCAGCTACTAAGCCTGTCTGACGTGCCCCAGCCCCTCAGTCCGGCTGCCCAAGCAACTAGCCCAGGCTGGCCAGTCTGGCCCCAAGTCATCCAGCAGGCCCGCCCCTTTGGCGCAGTCTGAGACTGGTCTCAAAGTATGCCAGTCGCCTGTTGGCGTGTCTTACGTGTCTGCGACTGGCCTCAGGCCCAGCCCAGCCAGCAACTCGCCACCCAGCCTCAGGCCCAAGTGTGTATGAAACAGCCAGCAACCCGCCCACACAGCTCAGCCCAGCCCTGCTCAGCCCAAGTTCCAGGCGTCCGGCTGCCCGGCCAGTGGCTGAGACTAGCTTCAGGCCCAGCCCAAAGCCTGCCCAGCCCAGGCCCCGGCAGCGCATGCCAGCCAGCTCAGCCCAGCGTGCCAAGGTGGCCTCAGACTGGTCTCAAGCAAGCTATGCCAGCTTCTGAGCAGCCCAGGCTGACCAGGCCCCTTCGGCGCAGTCTGAGACTGGTCTCAAGGTATGCCAGCCTGAGACTAGCCTCAGGCCCAGTCCCCGCCTGCTGGCGTGTCTTACGTATCTGCGACTGGCCTCAGGCCCAGCCCAGCCAGCAACGCCCAAGTGTGTAGCCCAGCGTGCCAAGGTCAGGTTGCGCCGAAAAAGGGGCCTACCAGTCTCAGACACGTGAGACTGGTCGTTGGCCTGAGGCCAGTCTCAGACACGTTAGACAAGTCTGAGACTGGTCTCAAGGTATGCCAGCCTGAGACTAGCCTCAGGCCCAGTCCCTCAGCCCGCCTGCTGGCGTGTCTTACGTGTCTGCAACTGGCCTCAGGCCCAGCCCAGCCAGCAACTCGCTACCCAGCCTCAGCCCATCCAGCGACCCGCCCAAGCACAGCTCAACCCAGCCCGCTCAGCCGAAGCTCCAGGCGCAACCAACAGCGTAGTCCGGCTGCCCAGCAGCCAGCAACCCACCCATGGCTTCGCAGCCTCGTGGCTGAGACTAGCTTCAGGCCCAGCCCAACCAGCAACCCGCCTAAGCCAACCCCAACCAAGCCCACCCTGTTTGAGACTCGCAGGCCTCAGCTATCTAGCGCCGAGACTGGGCCACCAGCCTGGGCTCAACTAGCGTCTAGCCCAGCCCAGTCCGCCTGCTGGCCAGGCCTGTCTGACGTGTCTGAAACTGGCCTCAGGCCCAGCCCAGCCATAGCCCAGCCCCCTCAGTGCGGCTGCCCAGCCCGCCGTAAACTAGCTTCAGCTCAACCAACAACCCACGCAAGCAAGGTCCAGCCAAGCTGCCCGAGACTAGCTTCAGGCCCAGCGCAGGCTTATCTGATGTGTCTGAGACTAGCCTGTGGCCCAGCCCAACCAGGCGAGGCCGGCTTGTCTGACTTGTCTGGAGCCAGCTTCAGGTATTCGGACCTTCCCAACACTGGATTTCGGTGTTCCTGACCCTTCCCTCAAACTATAGGCTGGGCCGAGGCGGGCAACGCGAAGCGTTTACAATTAAACCATCAGGGGACCGCAAATATTGGTCCATGTTTCCACTTACCAGGGTTCCATTTTGGGTACCTATTTTTCACCCACAGCCACATGGCTTTGCGGCAAAAGAACGCACTTTCTCCCAGGTCATTGGATTCTGGTCGCAAGCATCCCGATCTTGGCTTCCAGCATGATCCTCTTGTGCGAGGTCAGCTGACAAGATCGATAACAGGGCTCCGGAGTCCATGCCTTTTCCAGAGTACTCCCTGTGCACTGCCAACAACGGTTCTCTGATTGAGTCTGTTGCTCAGGTTGAACATAACCAGGGTTCTATCTTTAGGGCAACTGAGGTTGGTCCCCTTCATAGTTATAATCTACTTACCTGACGTTGCTGGAACATCTAGGTTGGGCGTGGTTTTTGTTGAACTCGGCGCACTTGCTTGTGTCTGGTGCTTTGGGGGAGCCCAACAATTTGGCTGGCGTTCAAGGGATGCCAAAAGGAAACCAACCATTTCGGGGAGCCCCGAGTTTGCGACCAGACCCAAATCATGCTTTAGTTTCCCAACGAAACCAAAAGGGGATGTGTATGTGTGTGAAACTGTCAAAGGGTCCAAGTAAGGGTGTACTTTGACCCATGTTGACCTCCGTAAGCACATCCCTATAGGGTATCAAGGGGCCCTTGGTGTTTTTCACACCCCCTATCCCTCTCCATGTGGAATACATGACGAAAAGAAAGGATTTGTTTGGGTTGCAGCATGCTTCCGATGCTTCTAGGGTCTCCCAATTTATTTTACATTTTGGAGTAGACTGAATATAAAGCGGAGTCTGAACATATCCCTTTTGGCGGGCCCTGTTGTCGCATCAACATACGGGAACCCCAACAAGTGGCTTTCCCGCAGTGTTGGTTTCCCTTCAAACCAACCTGTACAAGGACCACCAATCCAAAAACACCCAAAATCCCAGCAAGCAACGCGTGGGTTTTCTTCCCCTTTTGCTTGCTCTTTGCAACAACCGACACCTGGCTCCACATCAATCCTCGCAAAATCGCGGCCTTCAGTTTGTTTTGGGTTGCCTGTAGGTACTGAAGGGTATAGCAACCCCGGATGGTAGATTGATACTATGGATGGACGAAATCCATTTGGCACAGTTTGAAACCATGGGAAACCACGAGTTGGTATTTGCAGGGCAATCGAATCATTCCGGGGTTGCATAGGTGCTGCAAAATATCTTCCATCCACAGCAACGTGTCCCCTTTTAGTGGGGGTGAAGACCACTGTTGGAGGAAACCTTTCAGGGCTGGTTTATTCACCCACATTCAACAATCTGTCTCAAAAGAGATCCTTCCTGCCCCTCGAACTCAAAAAAGTCCAAGTTTTCAACACAGGGCTGCAACAGAAACACCCCAAAAAAGTATCCACCGGTCATGCATCTACTGGGGCATAACCCGCCAATAAGAAGGTCAACATCCAATTGGAGGGGTTATGGCTTAGGTTACTAGCAACTTACTAGCTTGGCGATTCGAACACCCAAAGTAGGTCAAGAAATCGTCCGACTGGTCGATCTGCAAACTTTGGGGATGTGAGAAGGAAACGAAGCACTTCGCATTTAAGGAGCCCTCATCCCTTCATCTCTCCTATCAACCCAAGTGCAGCTTTGAAGGTTCTTGGAAGGAACTGACCCTATCGACCCAAGTACATCTTTCAAGGTAGTTGGAGGGAATCCCAGTGCAGCCTTGAAGGTTCTTGGAAGAAACAGACCTCCTATTGACCCAAGTACATCTTTGCAGCTACTTGGAAGGAACTGACCTCCTATTGACCCAAGTACATCTTTGCAGCTACTTGGAGGGAATTGATGAAGCGCATTGTCTTGAAAGCGCTCGCAAGATCGACCCGCCTTTCACCGGCTTGTACTTGAATCTAAAGCCTCGGGTACAGCCAGCGCATAGATCGAGCAACATCTAGGTCCTCCAGTAGGGAGGAGTTGGAATGAGGGTACCCCCACTTTTTTCAGGACGTCTATTTTAGTAGGGGAACCCTCCCCCAAAAAAGGGGAGAGAAGGGCACTACTGGGGGACCTAGACATATATCTTGGAAGCACGAGCTACTATCACTCCGGCAGCAGGCAGATGGCACGCACCCTAAGCTTGCGAGCTTCCGGGTGAACTTTCTCACTTGCCCAGAGAAACTGGAAATAAATGTTAGTCTTCTGGGACCGTTACTGAAAGTTGACCAAACATTGGACAACCAAAAAAGGTCAAAAGGTCGGTCTTGAACAACTGAGGTTTATTCCCCTTAGCGAATCCAACAAATTTCGCCGCCAAGGTGCTCATGCATACAATTTGGCACTGCCCTGCACGCAAATATACACGCCGACCCTGGCACAAAGACCTCGAAAACAAAAGCTTCGCCGATCGGAACCGTAAGCAAACCCAGACCATTCACAAAGCAAAAGCTCCAAAGGTGGATTCGCTTGGGCAAGCCGGGCACCCTTTGGAGTAGCTTAAAACGGAAGCCAAGAGGAACTCCAAACATGTTGCAAGTAACGGGAACAAGGAAGCCCTCCAAATTGCCGTACATTCTGGCATTGCTCTGTGCTTTTGTTGGATGGTGGGTGTAAAAGGCAGTCACGTGGATTGATAACCCAATTTGTTCAAGTGTTTCTTGGAGGCACTACAAGGGGTGCACGTGTTTTGTTCTTCCAAAGGCGGCTTTGGGGTACCGGTGCCTTTTCGGTTAAGGTGGCGAGCGTTACCATTCTCAGGCACTTGAACTCTCTAAGCCCAGTGGATCCCAATTACCAGTATGGTAGGTAGATAACCATATTCCGTTTTTGAAGCGTGGTTCCCTTGGTTGCCTACTGTGTGGGTATAATGGAATCACTGGGAAAGCTTAGCCACAAGATCTGTTTTCCGATCCCAAATTAATTGGTTTCCGTTTAATCCAACAAAAGGGTCGACCTGCCCTTTGGTTTAGCTAACGCAACGCAAACACATGTTCTTTTCTTTTGGCTGGTTACCTGTCAACACAACCAATAACCAAAAACGACACCATACAGCAGCCGACGGGCTTCCATGCGAGACCCAAGGTATTCAGATTCCGTTTGGAGGTTGCCCTACACCTTTCAAGGCTTCAAATCCACATCCGAGCCACCAAGCAGAGGGAAATCTAACATATGGAACCCTCCAAAAGACAGGCCTCCGCTTTCAGAACTCCTGTCGCGCCGCTTCAGCGCCCCGGCCGACTTCGCCGACCCCGGGCTGCAGGTCCGTGAAGAAGCGAACCTGGCGGACCCGTCCGACTGGTCATGCAGAGGACTCTGTCTGTGGTCAGTTTGGGCAAAAGTTGCCTTGCCGGTCTTGATTCCGAACGCTCCTGTTGGCAACAACATATTGAGAAAAACTCCTGGCGCCAAGCCGCAGTTGATTTGCTCGGAAACAACCAGAAGCAAGGGTTTTCCGAAGTCTTGGAACCTTCCAACGCTGTACTTGGGCAGTCAGCATGAGCATGGGTGAGTGCGTATGCCGCTACGAGCAACTTGGCCGGCAGAGGGCTGCAAATGATGAGCCAGTCGGAAGGGCTGGTAGGGATTCAAAGCAAGGCTTGTAGAATGAGAACCTGCATGCAAGCTGGCGACACACATTGCAAAACAAGAAACCGGTGAAGCAGAACATATCAATGACATAAAACAACATATAGTTACATAAAACATGTAGAACAAACACATCCACCAACTGTTGGTCACCAACCGATGTCTGCGTGACTCACTCGCCACGCGCCGAATTCAGTGGAGCCGTTCCGCCCCACGTCGAGTCAAGTCGAGTCGAGCGGCCATGGGGCCCCGGACGCTGTGCCCGCAGGAGAGGCTCGTCTTATTCAAGAAGAAGCTCAAGCTCGGACTCAGCACGGGCTTGGAGCATTGAGCGCTCCAAGGCGCGTGTTTTGCCCAAAGAAACTCAACTCAGTTGCCCCTTGACCCCTGAAATGGTACTTATCACCAAGTGCAAACCTCCCCCGCCCAACACTCCCCCCCAAGAAGTTAAGATCATGTTGGGGCTGGCAAAAGTAGTTGCACCAAAGTGAGCCTCATTGAGCCTAATTAAGCCTAATTAAGCTTAATTAAGCTTAATCAAGCCTAGGTCAGCAAATCTGAATGTTGCTTAATTAGGCTTAATTAGGCTTAATTAAGCTTTGTTGAGCCTGCCCAGCCCAAGCAACTGTGACATGCGCTGGTTTCGAGGGCAGTCAGACCTTGCAGGTGAAGGAAAAGATTCAATCAATTGACGTCAATTCCAGGCAATCCGAGCTCTTAGGCTCAATTGAGCTTAACCTGCCTTAACTTTGGGGGGGGGGTGCGTTCTAAGCGACCCCTCTCAGCTTAGAACACTCAGCCAAAACGGCGTAATCCGGCTTGTCCGCAGGCCTCACTACAGCTTCTGTCGCTAATTGCTGAGCCCTGCTGTGGGTGCAATGCCTCATTTGAGCCCCCAGTTTGGCCCCGAATATGCTCAGCAAGACAGAGACTGCCTTATGATTTTTTTGGGGGGAGTCTTGCACTTGGTGAACTTAAGATTTGACAGTACCGTTTGAAGATGCGATGCCGGGGGCGTCATGTGAGACAACTATCAGTTGCCCAAAAAACCTGGGCAACTAAGAGAAAGCAGCCTTCCCGAAGGGCCCGAAAACACCGAACATCATGCTCGGACTTGAGCTGACTTCTACCTGGACCCTCAAAAATCACCCTGGCCCAAAGGGAAGCCATGGCCAAAAAACGGAAACCTTCGGTCGTGAGGGCCCGGGATGGCAGGTCTCAGCATTGAGCTCTGTGGGAGTTTTTGTTTTTAGGGCATAATGTCAACCCCGGATTAAGCAGAACCCCTGGTTGATTAATAGGGGGGTGTCCCCTTTTAGTGGGGATTCATCACTTTTGGAGGGAACACCCCCCTAATAATAATGGGCCGGGTTTATTAATCCTGGGTCAACATTACCCCATTGTTTTTCAGGCTGGCAACTGAATCCGTGAGTCAAAAAAAGGTCGGGGTTCCGAGTTGTTTGGGAGAAGTCTAAAATGGGCGTCGGTGTTCTTTTGCGTTTCCCTTTGAGACCAACCAAAAGAGGGGCCCTAAAAGACGAGCCGATATCTCGATGCATCCCTACGGGGCAAGCGCCCTCCAAAAAGCCTCGGCTGGTCCCAGCAAAAGAACAACAACATGGGTGTGGCTCCAAATTAAACGATCGGAGAGCAAACCGCAGGTTTTGGGGAACCCATATTTCCACTTACCAGGGTTCCCTTTTGGTACCGGTTTTTTGAGCCTTCAGATGCGTATTCGCAAGCTCTGCATTCAAACGCCTAGCTGGAACTCTGGCCCCAGAGTAACTCACCCCCAGCGAAGGTCACTCAACGGCTTACATCAGAAAACCATTTGATCGCCGGGCCGGGTCCCGGGGTCTCCCGGGGCTTCCTTTCGTTTTGACATGCCCCATACCTCAGCTCCTCGCTCGCCCGAGAAGTTCCAAGTGAGGCCTGCGAGTGACGAGGGCCTCTTTCCTTGGGCCAAAAAGTAGCTCAGGTAGGGTCCCAAACGCACCAAACCAAGTTTCGGGTTTGGTGCTTGGATGTTTAGTGCCAAGTTAGTGTAGCCACCTGGGTTACAACCCATTTGCTTATAGTGGATTAACTTCACTTCGGGGACCTGTATACAAATATACACATATGTATATGAGAGGTTATAACTTGATTTACTAACAACTTACTTACAACTTACTTACTTGGCGATCATGAGCTACTTGGACCAACCCACAGCCGAACCGAACCGCTCCGGCGCCTATCTGGGCCGAGACCCCAAAGCTTTCAGCTCGGGAAATCCCAAAGCTTCGGCCAAACAGACACACGAAGCACCGGAACACAGGCAGGACGCTTGGCTTTGGCTGGAAATCGGGTTGAAACCGCTGCCAGGTCCGGACTCAGAATTGAAGAGGTCAGCTCGTCAGGTTTCGGGCTGCTTCCTTCCTTGCTTTCTTGCTTGCTTTGGTTGGTTGGTTGGGCCACTTGGAACATGGAGTCTCCTTCTGTCCCTTCAATCATGGGTTGAATGACCCCCCACATACATGTATATATATATGGTACAGCGTTGCCGCAACACGGAACACAGTACCATACATACATACATACATTACATTACATTACATTACATTACATACATACATTAATTACATTACATTACATTACATTACATTACATTACATTACATTACAATACATTACATTACATACATACATACATACATTACATTACATTACATTACATTACATCACATTACATTACATACATACATTACATACATACATACATACATACATACATACATACATACATACATACATACATACATACATACATACATACATACATACATACATACATACATACATACATACATACATACATACATACATACATACATACATACATACATACATACATACATACATACATACATACATACATACATACATACATACATACATACATACATACATACATACATACATACATACATACATTACATACATACATACATACATACATACATACATACATACATACATTACATTACATTACATTACATTACATTACATTACATTACATTACATTACATTACATTACATTACATTACATTACATTACATTACATTACATTACATTACATTACATTACATTACATTACATACATACATACATACATTACATTACATTACATACATACATACATACATACATACATACATACATACATACATACATACATACATACATACATACATACATACATACATACATACATACATACATACATACATACATACATACATACATACATACATACATACATACATACATACATACATACATACATACATACATACATACATACATACATACATACATACATACATACATACATACATACATACATACATACATACATACATACATACATACATACATACATACATACATACATACATACATACATACATACATACATACATACATTACATACATACATACATACATACATACATACATACATACATACATACATACATACATACATACATACATACATACATACATTACATTACATTACATTACATTACATTACATTACATACATTACATTACATTACATTACATTACATACATTACATACATACATACATACATACATACATACATACATACATACATACATACATACATACATACATACATACATTACATTACATTACATACATTACATTACATACATACATACATACATACATACATACATACATTACATACATACATACATACATTACATACATACATACATACATACATACATACATACATACATACATTACATTACATACATACATTACATACATTACATACATACATACATACATACATACATACATACATACATACATACATACATACATACATACATACATACATACATACATACATACATACATACATACATACATACATACATACATACATACATACATACATACATACATACATACATACATACATACATACATACATTACATTACATTACATTACATTACATTACATTACATTACATGCATTAGGTCACATTACATTACATTACATTGCATTACATTACATACATACATTACATACATACATACATACATACATACATTACATACATACATACATACAGTACATACATACATACATACATACATACATACATACATACATACATACATACATACATACATACATACATACATACATACATACATACATACATACATACATACATACATACATACATACATACATACATACATACATACATACATACATACATACATACATACATTACATTACATACATTACATACATACATACATTACATACATACATACATACATACATACATACATACATACATACATACATACATACATACATACATACATACATACATACATACATACATACATACATACATACATACATACATACATACATACATACATACATACATACATACATACATACATACATACATACATACATACATACATACATACATACATACATACATACATACATACATACATACATACATACATACATACATACATACATACATACATACATACATACATACATACATACATACATACATACATTACATACATACATACATACATACATACATACATACATACATACATACATACATACATACATACATACATACATACATACATACATACATACATACATACATACATACATACATACATACATACATACATACATACATACATACATACATACATACATACATACATACATACATACATACATACATACATACATACATACATACATACATACATACATACATACATACATACATACATACATACATACATACATACATACATACATACATACATACATACATACATACATACATACATACATACATACATACATACATACATACATACATACATACATACATACATACATACATACATACATACATACATACATACATACATACATACATACATACATACATACATACATACATACATACATACATACATACATACATACATACATACATACATACATACATACATACATACATACATACATACATACATACATACATACATACATACATACATACATACATACATACATACATACATACATACATACATACATACATACATACATACATACATACATACATACATACATACATACATACATACATACATACATACATACATACATACATACATACATACATACATACATACATACATACATACATACATACATACATACATACATACATACATACATACATACATACATACATACATACATACATACATTACATACATACATACATACATACATACATACATACATACATACATACATACATACATACATACATACATACATACATACATACATACATACATACATACATACATACATACATACATACATACATACATACATACATACATACATACATACATACATACATACATACATACATACATACATACATACATACATACATACATACATACATACATACATACATACATACATACATACATACATACATACATACATACATACATACATACATACATACATACATTACATACATACATACATACATTACATACATACATACATACATACATACATACATTACATAATATACATAATATATGTGGAATAAACAGTCAATGCTGTACAGCCACGGGAATGTGGCAAGTGAGTACAACCCTCCTCCCCATTTTCTGGTAGTAGTTTGCTCAGCGTGCCCAATATCGTCTTCTTACTACGTCAAATGCCAGTGAATATTGACCATTGCACATGTGCGTGTTTAAGAACAGGCAAGAAACCCGGGTGTCAACAAACTGGCCACTCTCATGACAATGAGAAACACAACATGATTCCCCCAAAACCCCCAATGTTGGTAAAGTCCTTCTGAACACCCTACAACTTTGGATGGACCCGCACATTTCAGATTAAGGTAGTCTAAAACGGCCATGAAACAAACAACCCTGAAACCACCCAACTGCAGCGCAAAAGTCCTCATGCGGTCTGCAGGAGCTTTGTGCAACCAATTGGGAGCACATGTGGCAGTGCGTCAAAATAAGGGTGCCCCCCAAAAAAAAACAAGTTTTCCTTTTGGTATCCCTCCAAACCATTCCAAAAAGGGTACCCCAAGAAGCAGAAGGCCAAGTGTGATTGGGTTGCCGTAGCAATTAGACTTGTCATGCTTCAGAACCGCGCCACAGAACGGGTTATAGTTCCTTTCAAACATTTAACCACAAACGTCTCAAAGGGTACTTGGACCCTCATCCACCCAACAAAAAAATGGACACAAGGACCCTGGTGTTTTTGATAGTGGAATTCAAGTGCAACCCCTCCTTCCAAGGAGACACAACAGTACCACCAGTTGCTGGCACCTCTCTACCACTCCGTTCCCGCTGATCACATCGGCACAAACCAATCGAGTCGTGCCTCCTCGCAAAGTACCTGCGATAGGAAGGAAGCAGCCCGAAGTCGGTCACAAAAGTGGCTGAATTCCCTTCACTCAATGGGTGTGTTTGTGTGTGTTTGTGCATGAGCCACGATCCTTCCAAAAGCACACGCCGTCACCTGTACATGGGACTCGAACATCTTGAACATCTTTGGCTACAACCCGAATTTCACCAGCCCGACACGTTTCGCTGCACGTGGGGCCTGTGCCGACCGGAGAAACAAACGCAGAGATCCCTTGCCCTCACCCCCCGCCCCCCTCAAAGAACATGGGTTGTTGCGGGCAAGGGTGCTCGAGCGCGGCCACACCCCGGGGCAAAGCGTTGTAAATTGTAACCCCTTTCTGGGCGGGTTGATCCCACGTGTAGCCCTGGGTCCCTAATGGTAATTCGCCCCCAAACCATCCGCCGAGGGACCCATCTGTAGTCCTCAGAGGTCATACCCTCCCACCAGCTAGCCTGGAAGTGCACAGACTCCTGTAGAAAGACTACTTTTGTCTTGGAAAGGGCCTTTTTGCACTTCCATGTTAGTTGGTGAGAGGCTAACACCCACGCACCCCAGAAGCCGTCAGATGGCGCCAAGGCATCATATAGCCACGAAACGGAGGTTGGTCTTTGCCTACACCTCCAAAACCCCATGGGAGTGGATTGGGTTCACCGGCCAACTTGTTTCAACCCAACAGGTCCACCTGACGGTTTTTTTGGGTTTAAATGTCCACCATCTGATGGCTTGGGACTTGCATTAAGTCGTGATTGGACTTGGGCCCAGTTTCGGAATAGTTTATGGTTTGCTTTACCTTGAGTCACTAACATGTAACATGTATCAGTCTACCCCAAGCCTTACCTTAACTGCCCTCAGATCCCCTGCTAAAAGTTTAACTTCTAGTGGGTTAAATTCGGAAATCCAACCACTCAACCCTAAAAAGATCTAAAAGGCTAAGGAACCGGATGGCTGGGAGCCTCCGAGAAATGTATCCTCAGACCCCAAGCCTTACCTTAAGAGACCCAGAAAGGGAACAATTTGTCCAAACCCAGCAGGGATCCTTACATTATACACCTGAACATTCCCTTGTAAATGGTGGTTTCCCTTTATGTTGGCACTACAAATAGGTCCATGACCAACCATGATTTTAGGAAATAGCCCCCATGTTTAAAGGGTCAGAAGGAGACTCCAGGTATAAATCCCCTCTTTTCTTGGTACCTGCGAGCTACAGACAACAAAGCTACTGGGGCGCTACTGGGGGACTGGGATTGGTAGCTCAACCACCTGCTAAGACCCTTTCAAGCCCACTTTTCTTTTGTCCAACTTTTTTTTGCTGTCTATTTTTTTCCCAACTTTTCTGTACCAACTTTTTTGCTAGTCCATTTTAGTAGGGGAATCGCCTCCCAACCAAAAAAGAGACACGGGTGAGAGGTCGGGCACCGAGGGACCGAGACGAACTGAGACCCTTTGGAACCGGACGCTTCGGGACCCACAAAGTCCGACGAGTCGACAACGAGTCGACCGGCGCACGGGAGAGCCAAGGGCTGAGCTGCAGGGAGAAGTGGCGGCCGTCGCGGGAGAAGCCCAGCTTCTGCTGGACCTAAGCTCAAGCGGGAGACTGAAAGGGGCACGGTACCTAGTAAGAGGTTAGGAAGCCTGGTTATAACCCACGGAAGGGAGACTTAGAACCATGATAAGTGGGTTGTAACCATGGAAATTACCCACTTACTAAGTGTCCTGCCCCCTTAAGCAGGTAGCCTATGCACATGGGGTAGCTTCTGCTTTCCCTTTCAAACCTACCGAGGGGTTCCGCCAAAAACAGACATACACATATGGTCAGTATGGCTTCATCCCTAGGGTTTCGTACCCGTCTCCTAAACGCTACCCCATCTGGGTGGATCGTCTTTTTGTAAGGATACCCGTTAGACACAACTTGTTTGGTTTCCCAGAGCTAGGTCCTCCAGTAGAGAGTTCTGTATTGTAGTTTAGTAGGGGAACAGGGTAAAGGGCCACTACTGGGGGACCTAGCAAGAGGCACTACATAGATAAGTAGCCGGTTTCTAGGGGTTGATTCCTTTTCCATTATTTTCAACCATCCTTCTTTTCAGAAACCAGCTGTTTCCCCAGGGTTTTAGGTGGGTTTTTACAAAGAAGGATGCCTGGAAAATAGATGGTCCTGGTAAATGGAATAAAACTCATCTATATAAACCAGTGGAACCCATGTATCTTCAACGAAACTAACCTGAAAAGGGCACCTATTGCGGGACACAATTCTGGGTTTCCCAGAGCTAGGTCCTCCAGATTTGAGAGGAGTTAGAATACGGGTACCGACTTGTTTTCTGTATTCTATTTTAGTAGGAAAACAGGGTAAAAGGGCACTACTGGGGGGCCTTGCCAGAGGATCCCGAAAAATAGATGGCCCTGGTAAATGGAATCAGACTCATCTAAACCAGTGCCATCTGCTTAAGCAAACAAACCTGAAAAGGGCACCTATGGCGGGACACGTTGTTGGTTTCGCAGAGGCTCCCAAACGCTACCCGGTACCTCATCTGGGTGGATCGTCTTTTTGTGAGCATACCCGTTCGTTTTGGGGGGTGGTTTTAAAGGGAAACCAAAGGAGCAACCACAATTGTGTGAGTTCCTTAGGTCCTATTTAAGGGCATAATCCATCTTTACGGGTTTGGGCTTGGTTCTTTCCAGGGAATTCGTCAAATCTCAGATTCAAATCTCAACGCCAAACATGATTTCGGTACCAAGGGACCCCTTAGGCTTGATGTTGAGTCTTGGCTTTGATTCGAATCCCCGAAGCTCGGTTGGCCCAAAGGCTCGCTTGCTGCCTAAGGATGTACAAACTGACCCACGTGCTCCCATGTTAACCCCCTGCAAATTGAAGCTGGCCTCATTTATGATCAAAATCAGCCCCAAAGTGGTGGGTTAAAGGGAGCCAACCGATTCCATTTTCTGACTAACCCCCAGAAACCCTCAAAATAATGACAACAGTTACATACTGCTAGTTTCCCTTGATTTCCCCTGAATACCCCTGCCTGGAGTCTACATGACCCTTGTAAAATGGTTGGTCATTACCCAAAATTATGGTTGGTCATTGACTCATTACCCAGTGAAGACTCCTTGGGTTTCCGCCGGCCGAGCCGAGGTGCCCCCGAATGGCCAACCAACTTCGCGCCCTGCGATGTCTTCGCGACGCGCGATTCGCGACGCGGGACGCGGCCCGGGGGCGAGTTCTGCGCTGCCGGGCGGTGCAGTTGGGCGAAAGGGATCGCAGCACTGACAGCTCCGCTTCAGGCGAGGAGCCTGTGACCTCACGCAGGACACAGATTCAGATGGGTGCGTCTTGGTTTAGCTCCCAAAACGGCGGTTTTCCGCGTGGTTTTCCTGTATCACCTCCCAAAAGGATATAAAATAAATAAATAATATATATATATATATATAGAGAGACCCAGATGGGTGTGAGTTTTAAGAGTTGGAGCCATTGTAAATTGGGTGGACGTCACCGTATAGGAGCCAGCAAGCCACCCAGCAAGAGAAAACTGTCAACAGGACATAGGACCAATTCAGGTCCCGTGAACATGTGCTGGATTGCTGATTTCTTAGACTTCGCGCGACCCCCTCCTAAGCACGCATATGCACGCCCACGTGGGGAAGACTAACTTAGACCAAGCCTGGCGATGTGTTGGGTAGCAGCTTTACTTGCTGTGTCTGGTCGTCGAACACTTTTGTTTTGTTTGTTGCAGCCCTCTATATACTGCACATGAACAGAACCAAACAACCTAAAGATCAAACAACATGATCCAACAACGCGTAAAGATTCAGGAATTATCATTCGGTTTGCCAAGATGAGTGTAAAGTTGCTGGGCTGCGATCACTCACAGAGGGGCCCGGCCTGGTGCCTTCGCGAAAACACTGAAGAATCATAGACTGACACCCCCGAGAAACCATCAACACTGTGCCAAGAATCGGAGAAAGCGACGTACTCTGGGCAAATGTTGGGCAAGCGGTTGAATCAAAAGCCAGAATCAGTGGTTGCATCGATGGCTGAAGCCATCAAACAATCCCAACTCTTTTGGCTGGTTACTTTGGGCAATACTGGATCTGCAAAGGTAAGTCTAATCTACCGAATGCTGGTTGACAGGTGGTTCCCTAAATATTACAAGTACACTCAGGACGTGTATTGGTTCGTGGAAGTAGCAGGAAAACCACTGTGGAACAGTAAGTCAACGCTTGATGAGATTGAAGAGGGCCCAACCCCAATAGTGATTCTTATTTGTAGAACTCGATTCCACATCCTTCAACATCATCATGGCTGCTTCAATTCTAGGGGACACCCGCAAAAGAGGTGGTTGTTCCTTTGGCTTGCCTGTAAAACCACAAAACGCCCACAACCCACATTGATGATGTTAAAACCGAAGCTGTGCAAAAGGACGGCCTCTTTGGTTGCTCCAAGCCCCCTGAGCAAAAAGGCTTACTGGAAAAGCAATTCACCCCAAAGGTCGCTTTGCCCGACTCGGTCTGATGTTGTGTGGGCCCAACACAGGGCTGTGGGAAATGCCCACTTCTGTGATACAACCCTAAAGTGCTTCCCAAAGACTAACCTTTATATAAGGAATACTTTTTTTGTGTCACAGAAGTGGGGGATAAACCCCTTGACCCCACAACCCCGGCCCAACAAAAACCCATGGGTTTCAGTCCACCACAGCGTGCAGGGGCCCCGCTTCACACTCGACTCAGGCGCCAGCATTCAGCATGGTGCGCACATTTGTCCCCGGCACCACCTGAGCTCGGAATCGAATCCGTGGCGAGGTGTGCCGGGTCTGAGCGTCCCATTTAACCCTCGGAGCCAGCAAGCCAAACCAATGGCTGCTAACCTGAGATTTCATCCAAATGTCAAATAGCTTGGGAGGGAGGGTGTTCTTTTGCGGTTTTTCTCAGTCCCTTTATTCCCACGCCGCCAATCCTAACAGTCAAGAACCTGAGGCGATGTGTTGACACCGAAACCAAAACCAATGCGGTTGGTTCTGCCCACCCGCAGGCGTACGACAAAACATTTTTGAGACTCACCTTTTGGTTTCCTTGGTTTGCTTGGTTTCCTTTTGAACCCATCCAAAAAGGCTTCCCCTATTTTGAGACTCACCCTTCCAAGAACAACACACACACACAAACCTGGAATCAGCACGCTGTACGCACAAGATTGCTTTCCATATAGAGTAGTCTGTGGGCACATGGCAAGAAGCCTGATGGAATTTATGCACAGCCCAAATGAGTCGCAATCAAAACCCGCTACAACAATGGTGTACCCAAGAACCATGCAAAGGATTAAGAAGGTGGAGATCTGCAGCTATTTATGGTCGGGATTATCCCTTACTAACTTTCATCTACCCAGGTTTTGATGGTTGCTCAACCAACAACCTGCAGTCTCCATGACCCTTTACAAATAGGTCCATGACCCCATTATTTTGGGTAATGACCAAACATTGTTAAAGTGTCATGGAGACTCTAGGTGCTGTATTTTCTTCAGGGGACTTCAACAAAAAGGGAGAGGGGGGGTTCGAGCTGACATGGCTTTTGGGGCCCAAATGAGACTCGAAAAAAGAAAGACTCCAGCCCAACCCGTTTGACCCGATGACCGCCCGCGTTCGAACCTTCGAAGGCCCCGGACGCTGGTGTTGGCCGCCAGCATCAGCTTCGCGGCTCCCGAGCCGCTGCTGGACTGCACGTGCGACGCCTCAACCGGCCGCGGAGCTGCGTCTCGACGCCGGCCGGAAGCTTCCGGCCGAGTTGGTGTTCCGAGTCGAAAAACCTGAGGTGCGCGTTCCAGGATGTGAAATTCTGGTTCCAGAGGGCAAATGGGGAAAAAAAGACACCAAGCGCCAAATAATCTAGGGGTTGGTTCCTTTTCCGTTCTTTCCAACCATCGTTGTTTTCAAACACCAGCTAGTTTCCCGGGGTGTTTGGAGGTTTTCTGGAAAGAAGGATGCCTGGAAAGAATGGGGGAAGGTACCCCTAGAGAGATGGGCGTTTACCTACCCCAAAAAGCATAGCCCAGAGAAACATGGGACACCCTTTCTTGAGCTGGACAACTTTACCACTAAAATGGTCCAGACCCAGAAAGTCCCTCCCACCCCATGAGTTGTCTTGGAATGTCCCCCACGCTCACGGCAATTTGGGTGGACTTCCATGGGCAAAAACGCAGCCTCGGTGCTTTGCTGGGAATTGAAGGTTTCCTTTGTTAGGGGACCCCTCCAAAACAGTGTTTTGTTCCTTTTGGTTTCCGTTTAAAGCCTACCAAAAACACGTACCATCAAAACAAGAACAGACCCATGTGCAGCCAGGCCATCTTGTGTACAGGGTACGTACCCTGTTTTCCCCGCTAGTGGTGTGAGGGATGTGTGGGGGTGGAAAAGCAGTTGTACACAAGGCCTTCACACATTCCACAGGTCATAGAATATTATCCTGCAAATGAACGTGACAAAGCCGTCCAGTTTCGGAGAATCTCTTTTTTGGGAATCCCGCCGGTCGTTGCGGAATGTAGCCGACGGTTCAAATTGTGTGCCTTGTGCCACGCAGGTGACTTGTTTCAGGTCGGACCCCAACATGGCGTTGGTTTTCGTTTTGGCGTCCCTTTAAAACCAACAAAAAGGGGTACCCTCAAACAAGGGACACACCACAATAGTTTGGTGTTCCCGGTTTGTTGACTACCAACAAAAAGTAGCGCCCCGAAAAAAAGAGATGGGAAACCAAGAAACGCCTTGAAATTAAGCCGACTACCAAACAACATGAGCACCCCGGAAAAAAGGAAAAGAAAGAACACACAAAACGGAGTTCCCTCAAGCTCCAAAAAGGCAAAAGCATGGCCAAAAAGATTGGCACATCCGCCCCATGCTCCGAGGCGGTGGCACAGCCGATGGACACCTTGAACCGCTCCTGAGCGGTTCATCACGCGCGAGGAATTGCCGAAGACTGCGATGAAAGCGCGAAGGGGTGGTTTTGAGCTACCTCGGTGTGTCTCTGTTTTGGTCGGAGCCCCCAAAACATGTGTGTTGTTTCCTTTGGGTTGCTCATCGAAACCTACCAAAAAAAGACGGTACTAACTCCAAAAAAGACAAGCCACCTGAAGGTTGGTTCGACCGGGTTGCAGAAAGGCCGCATAGGGTTTCTGCGATACACGTGTGGGAATCACCATTACAACAAGGGGGGTTCATTTTTTCCACCGCTGTTTACCTATCCGTATGGGAGTCGGTTGAGCCCCATCGCTTGGGGAACGCAAAAGACATTTTTTGGGCACCGCACGACGAATGAAGTGAGTCCCCATGCCATGTGATTTTTTAGAGAACTTCCCCTGCGTGTGCCCCCCCGAACCAACCCCTTTTGAAACAAAATACAAAAATATATATATGCCATTTAGTGGCTATAGACTACCATGTTCTTGTTTGACCGATCCTCATCTGAGCAGCCAAAACCTGTTGACGTTTGGTTGTATCATGGCTGAAGTCGTGTCTATGGGTTTTACTATGAGCCGAGAAACACGGGGAAGAACCACACCACATGTTTTTGTTCACATTTAACCAGGTAGCAACCAAACCACATGATCGGGGAACCCTGCACAAACAAAACCATCGTTATTGTTGACCGGAGATGCTGCTGCCATGATACAGCAAACATCACCCCTACCTCAAAGGTAACGGGGGCGTCGGGTCTAGGTTCCATGTCTTCCCCAAGAAAGTTGGAACATGAGCAAACAACTGAAGATCTCCAGCAAGTTCCCTCCGCCAATTCCATTTTGTGCCTGGGGATCACTCGGGAGTAGATTGACCATGATTACAAGGGGACCAACCCCAGTTGCCCTGCCAGGTTACAACCATCATGAGAACCTACTTTCCCGACGTTGGTCGAACCTCCGAGAACCAACTCATTCTGAGCTCCCGGCGGAAAGTTGCACTTGGACCGCATAGGAGAGGGCGGAGTAGTGCAAGCGAAAACGGCCTCGAGCCGTGTCTCGCTTCCCACGCGGACGTTCGGTTGGCGGGGGGTTGGGGGGGGGGGGGAAATTTGGGGGGGGATTGTGGCGGGGAGGGGGGAGGGGATTGTGGCCACCTGCCGCCATTCGACCTAGTTTTGTCGTGGTTAGTTTGTGCCAAAGGGTCCTTATGTACCAGATGTTTGCGGATCTGAGCCTTTTGGGTCTTGGCCCCGTGCAAAGTTAGGCTTTCAGACTTTGTCTAGGTCCTCCAGTAGAGAGGGTAGAAATAAGGGTACCCTTTTTGCTGTAGTCTATTTTGGTAGGGGAACCCTCCCCCAACAAAGGGCAAAAGGGCACTACTGGTTGACCTGGTTGTCATGTGGCCGCAACACCAGAAGAGCTCCCCACTGCACCCGAAAACTGCATCGGATCGGCATCGCCCGCTCCGAGTAGCGCGCGGTTGAAGATTGAGGCTGGTGTGGCCGGCGTGGCTGCCGAGGACAGCAGGAAAGAGCCTGAGGGGCAATGTCAGGTTCTGCATACAGGATATATCTGCAACAAAAAAAGTAAGCTCACCGGGGGGTAAAACAAGCTCACCATGGTAAAGTAGACATCCTTTACTTGACAAGCCCTTGCTTCAGGTTGGAATTATTGTAGAATTTGCAGATAGATTACACAAAACATATGCATGAAATTGTGAGTGCATCAAGAAAACAAATACGGGCTGTTTGCAGCCAAAGCGAAGAGCTTGTGTCAATGCAATATGGGCATGGCCCAAAATGGAACAGACTTGAATCGGGTTAAAGCGAAAGTAATCTTGGGATTGAATTGTGGCCTCCCCAAACTGCAATTGTCCATCAAGTACGTCAATTTATAGGTAATGTTTGCTGGGAAAACGACGAAACAACCATTTGCAAACAGTTGTTTCGGCTTCCAGGTAAAACCCAGTGGATGTGCATGAGATTGAAGAGCACCTTTTTAGGTCTGGTTACGGAAACTTGTGCCATCTACTTTCACGAATAGGGTGCTGGATCCTGAACTTGCGGACACCACATTTGCGGATTTGCGGAATCTGTACTTGGATGTTCGCTGCCAAGTTAGTAAGTGGTTAACCGCCTGTGTAATACCCCGCTAATAACAAGCTTAACTCTACTGAACGGCGGACTCGTAAACGGGTTGTAGCTGGGGGTAACAACTTACTCACTCGGTGGGTAAGTAAACCCCAGTACTTTACGAGCTCCCAAAAGTGCGCTTGGCCCAGAAATGCAAGTAACTCCCTTCCAATCAAGCGAATTGCCGAACAACTGTCTGAACTTCTTATGTATCACTCAAACGCTCCAAAACCCAACAAGTGACCAAAGTGCAACTCGCTGGTGCAAATTACCAACACATACCAAGTCCAATGCCACTCACTTCCGATGTGGATTGGCCAAACACGAGTCCTGAAACTTTCTATCAACCAAATTGGTCTTTAAAAAGTTAAAGGTCCAACTCAGGAAGTGAGGTATGGCTAGGTCCTCCAGTACAGTAGCTTAGAATAAGGGTACCAACTTTTTTCTGCCTCATTTAGTAGGGGAACCCCCCCCCAAGAAAGAAACGGGTGAGAAGGGCACCTAGCTGGACCATGACTGGAGTCACAATCCAAACCCAGTACTAAAATGGTCTACCCAGAACCATGCTTCAAGAATTAAGAAGGCGGATATCCGCAGCTATTTATGGCAAGGGGATTGTCCCTTAACCTTCCTCTACCCGAATCGGCTTTGAGCAAGTGGCTCACTGGGATCCCACGACCGGCCGGCGAGCGGCGACGCTCCGCGCGGAGTTCAGTCGCCCGCCGTTGAGGCCCAGGAGCCGCTGTGCTCTGAGCTCCTGCGGTCCCGTCAGGCGTGCCGTTGGAAAACCCCCGGCCGAAAGGGGGAACTTTGAAAAAACTTATAGACAACTGGGAAACCTTAGGAAACCTGGAAAACCTTAGAAAAACCTTAAGAAAACCTTTAGGAAGCCTGTAGGAAGCCATTAGGAAACCTGTAGGAAACCATCAAAAACCTGATGAAAACCTGTAGGAACTCTTTAGGAAACCTTTAAAGAACCTTAGAAAACCTGGGAAAACCTGTAGGAAACGTGTAGGACACCTTTAGGAAACTTTAGAAAACATTGAGCACCTAGGAAAACCTGTAGGAAACCTGTAGGTAGGAAAACCTCAGGAAACCTTTAGGAAACCCAGATAAAAGAAGAGGAACCTCAAACAAAATCTTGAGGGTACCTGTTTTGGATGGAACCAGGAGAACCTTCGAAAACCCTTGAGACACCCTGCCGAAACAGGAGCAAACAAACTGCACCAGAGTCACAGGCGTCAAAGTACCTGGAGTTTCCACGACCCGAATCAAAAATGGGTTTAACCGACCCCACTCTTTTGGGCCATGACCCCATTTAAGGGTCATGGAGGAGACTCCAGGTATGCGCTTGACCACCTGTGACGTGGCCAGCCCGAAGTGAGCGTCCAAAATCGTTCCTCATGGTTTCGAAGGGAACCCAAGAGGGGAGGGCGATCATCATTTTTTTGCACACTGCGATCATCTAACAGCAAAGCGAAACATCCTAGCCGGACGTACCTCCTGATTCTGTTCACGAATCCTTCTGATGGAGAAAAACATGCCCAAAACTCTGAGGGAAGTGGGTGGTTTCTAAACGAAAGTGCCAGAACTGAGGGGATGCGCGGCTGGTCTGCGATTCACAAAACCGCCAGCCGGCAGTCGCGACAATCCCCGTCCTCGTGCTTGCGGACCAGGCGCCGCACACGGGATTCCAGGTCCTAACGCCGAAAAAAACGCGTTTCGGTGGGTGTGCAACTTCTCCGCTTCGTTCGGACCCAGAAACTCATCTGAGTCACAATTAAAACCCGGTATTAAAATGGTCTACCCAGAACCATGCTTCAAGAGTTAAAGCGGAGATCCGCAGCTATCTATGGGATTGTCCCTTGCTAACCTTCATCTACCCGAATCAATTGAGCAAGTCGCTCATTTCTTGAGTGGATTGGCCGGGAAAAGTCGGAAGTTGTTGTTTACCACCAGAATGGTCCAGAACCAAAAAGGATCAAGTCCAGGAACTCATGTGAGCAGAAATTTCACCAAAAGGGGAACAACGAAAAGCCCGCTTCAGGTCACTTCGCTTTGGGCAACTGAACAAATACATATATATGTATAAATGTATTTATTTATAATATATATATATATATGCGTTTGTATTTTTTTACGGGGGCCGGGCAGGAAGGTTTGAGTACGGGGTATGATTCGCAGGTATGATTCGCGGGTATGATTCGGGGTATGATTCGGGGGTATGATTCGTGGAAGCAGCAGCAGCTGCAGCAGCAGTAGTAGTAGCAGCAGTAGTCGTCAAAGTAGTAGTACTAGTAGTAATATTGTAGTAGTAACAGTAGTAGTAGTAGTAGTGGTAGTAGTAGTAGTGGTAGTAGTAGTGGTAGTAGTCGTAGCAGTAGCAGTAGCAGTAGCAGTAGCAGTAGTAGTAGTAGTAGTAGTAGTAATAGTAGTAGTGGTAGTAGTAGTAGTGTTAGTAGTAGTAGTAGTAGCAGCAGTAGTCGTCGAAGTAGTAGTAGTAGTAGTAGTAGTAGTAATATTGTAGTAATAACAATAGTAGTAGTAGTAGCAGCAGCAGTAGTCGTCGAAGTAGTAGCAGTAGTAATAGTAATACTGTAGTAGTAACAATAGTACTAGTAGTAGTAGTAGTAGTAGTAGTAGTAATAGTTAGTAGTAGTAGATAGTAGATAGTAGATAGTAGTAGTAGTAGTAGTAGTAGTAGTAGTAGTAGTAGTAGTAGTAGTAGTAGTAGTAGTAGTAGTAGTGGTGGTAGTGGTAGTGGTAGTGGTAGTAGTAGTAGTAGCAGCAGTAGTGGTAGTAGTAGGAACAGTAGAAGCAGCGACTGTAGTGGCGCGGAAGCTTTGAAAAGACTTGGCGCTGGCCTTGGCAAGGTTCATTGCGCGGGTATGATTCGGGTATGATTCGCGGGTATGATTCGGCTAGGTGCAAAACGGCACTGATTACAAACTCAGAATGATGAATGTAGTAGTAGCTGCAGTAGTAGTGGTATTAGTAGCAGTAGTAGTGGTAGTAGTAGTAGTAGCAGTTGCAGAAGTAGTGGTAGCAGCTGTAGCAAAAGCAGCAGCGGCTGTAGTGGTGCGGACGCTTTGAAAAGGACGTGGCACTAGCCTTGGCAGGGGAAGCTCATTGTCCGGGTATGGTTCGCGGGTATGATTCGGCTAGGTGAAAAACGGCACTGATTACAGACTCAGAATGATGTATGTAGTAGTAGTGAGTAGTAGCAGCAGCAGCAGGAATAGTAGTAGTAGAAGTAGTAGTAGTAGTAGTAGTAAAGGTTGTAGTTGTAGTAGTAATAGTAATAAAGGTAGTAGTCGTAGTATTAGTAGTAGTAGCAGTACTAGTAGTAATAGTAGTGGTAGTAGTAGTGGTAGTAGTAGTAGTAGTAGTAGTAGTGGTAGTAGCAGTAGTAGTAGTAGTAGTAGTAGTAGTAGTAGTAGTAGTAATGGTAGTGGTAGTATTGGGTAGCGCTGGTGGTGGTTGTTGTGGAGGCAGTGAACAACACAAAACGGTAGAAGACCAGTAGCATTTTGCAGCGTACGTTTTAAGGGGTATGATTCGGGGGTATGATTCGGGGGTATGATTCGGGGAGGTCCCACCTTCTGCCTTTTGAAGCAACTCAACACATCAACAAAGGACAAACCCAGATATACGTATCAATATATATGTATATATATATGCATATGTCTGTATGTATATATGTACACACTATATATATGTACACACTATATAACATATATATATATATATGTTTATATTACATGTGTATATATATATATATATATATATATGTATGCGTGTCTCTTGTCAAAACACCAGGACCCAAAATGGCTTCGAGCTTCCTAGTGGTTTTTCCCTTTAAAACCACCCGAAAAGAGACTCAAGCCACCCAAGAAAGCTCATTTTACATTGGCAAAAGGCAACTTTTGGATCCTAAAACCTGGGATTGAAACCACCATTGAAATAATGGTTCGGTTCACCATCGTTTCAGGATTGTAATCATCTAAATTGGGCCAACTATTCTCTATTGGGGTTTAACCCTAGCCTGGAAAGCGGGGCAGCAAACAAGCGGTACATCAGTAGATCAGGTCAATGTGATCGTGAAACAGGTCCTGTTTGTCGCAAGCCCGACCATGCAAGAGCTTGGCAAGGTTGATGATGTCACGCTGAGGCTCCCCCACCACGAGACAGGGCTCGAAATCTTCGTCATGGCGTAGGCGCCAGCACTTGGCGCTGCCCTTGGGAGTGTCTGCGACCGTTTGCAACCGGAGGTCTGACCAAGTTTCGCAGTACAGCCTCTGGAGCTGCTTGCGCTACCCTTAGAAATTGTCCGTCGCGTGGAAGGCCGGCACACTTTCTTCTAGGCAGCCTGCAGCCGATCCGTCCGAAAAGCAAAAAAGTGAGTCCAAATCCTTGCAAGTGACCTAGAAGCTCCCTTGCTACCTTCGTGTGGGGCTGTCTTTGGGCTTCCTTTCAATTCCTTCCCCAACTTCCACAACCCCATGTTGGTCAATCCTGCCCTTGCTTGGTACCTTGCAAGGATGTACGACCACCAGCAAATCCGTGCAAAAATACTAAGGGACCCTCAAGCAATAGACTGCGACTATGGAGTTCCACCAGAAGTCTGAGCCTCTCGCTAGCCCCACACCCACCCCACCCACCCCAGACCCCAAACATCCGAGCAGAACGCTCCGTCCTTGACCCGATCGTCGTTGAGCGCCACTTGTCCTGCAAGTCTGCCACCCTGAGAGTCCCTTCGAAGTCCAACACTTGGCCATGTGGTGTACTCCTTAGGCTCTTAAGCAATGGACATCTGGGGTGCTCCTTAGAAATAACAGGCGGGATCTATGGGTCACAAACCCCGTTTAGAATGGACCTGGACCATTCAAGCTGGGTAATCCAGAGATCTCATGTATGCCTCAACATAGAGGACCACCCAAGGCCCAAAATGGTGCCTTGGCGGTTGATGTCCCTTTAAACCATCCCCAACATGGAACCCTAAAAAACACACACACACAGACTTGTTCCGTGACACTCTGACAGAAAAGCATTCAGGGCAAAAAGGACATCATTTCGCTCGAAAAGCGTTGGTTTTGCTCAGCGTGCGGACAATGTGTTGAACAGGGCTGTGCGTCAAGCAGCAGGGAACCTTCTCATTTGTTGTCATGACCTATCGAAGTGGAACATGCCAGTGTTTGTGGAGGAACATTCCAACATTCCAACCCACATTGTTGCTTCCAGTGATCATCACAAGTTTGTTATCATTGGACCTCCTTTGCACTCACCAGCACTGGCACCCTGGTTAAATGCTGTAGGCCTGTTCTAAATGGTGAAGAGACTCACAATGGGTATGTGTCGCTATAGAGGGGCCTCTACAATTACGGCTTTCCAGTTGGCTTCCCTTTAAACCAACTTCAAACGGGCACATGGAGGTTCGGCCAAGTTAGTAAGTAGCTAGCCACCTGGGGTATAACCCGCAAACAACAAGGATAACTCTACTGAACGCAGGGGCTCAGGAAACACTCCTCTACACAAGGCAGCCTGTTTTCTCCGTTGAGGACAAGCAAGTACCAAGTTGCCGGTAACCAGGGCCCCAGGGCCTCTCACCCTTTAAACACCAAATGAACAATGGCTGGTTACCTACTTCTATTCGGCTATGGGCTGGGATCCACTGGGAATTGATGACCAAGTGCCCAGGAACCCACGAGGAGGAGGAGCTGGTTTCCTACACTGGCTTGCAGTGCATCCACTTACCGGGACACGCAAACAAGGGCTACGGGTCCGAGGTGTGTCTCGAGACGCGCAGGGTGGAACTGGATTTCCCTCGGAAAACAACGCGCAGCCGCTTTCGATCGTTGACCTTGACAGGGGCCCAACCCCGAAGGGAGAGCACAAGAGGGAAGCACCGGTCGGACCTTGGAAACTTGGAAGGTACCTTTGGGGAGCCTTAAGGGAGTGAATGTTGGTGGCCAAGCTTGTAAAGTGGTTAGAAACCTGAGTTACAACCCAGCGGTAGCAAGGCCGAGTACACTTGGGGAGCTTGTAATCGGGTTATAACTTGGGTTACCAACAACATACTGACTTGGCCGAACACCCATATATAGTTGATCACCCTCTGTCTGAAGAGGAACCATAGGATAACCCGACACAGGGTGCCAGCTCGGCTTCGCTCCTTCCGCCCCGTCGTCTGAGGCCATCTCGGCCAAACGGACTCCGGGCAAGCCATACTTCTCCTAAGCATGCGAAAGCAGGGTGCCACATCCATTTTTTGCCCCCTGCCTTTGTTTAATTTATATATATATATATATACATAATCTATGTGGTCTTATACTCAAGGCGTGCATAAAGCGTCAAAAACTGGTTTGGTCGGAACAATGGGGCCTGCGACAGCAGTGGACCTACCCTTAGGTTGGGGTCTTTAGAACATGTGCCTACAGCTCTGACACGCTTGAAGGTAGCATACAAGGCATAGCAAAACCACCAAACCACTTTCCTGCCGGGAAAATATAGTGGCTATGTAGCGGCGGTATATCCCATTAACCCCCATCGGGGTAGAGGTTTGGGGGTAGTGGAAACCATCTTAGAGTGTTCGTGGCCAAGTTAGTAAGTTGTGAGCGTAGCCCAAATAGAACACGTTTGTAATCCCCCCGTTCAGTGGAGTTAACCTTGTTAGCGGTCATAACACAGGTGGCTAACCGCTTAACTTGGCAACGAAGATCAAAGTTGGCATGCTGCAGGATGGCTACATGCCTTGCAAAGGGCCCCTTAGTATCTTTGAATCCTGGAATGTTTGGGGAGTCTTCAGTTGCGCTTGAAAAGAGATGTACCTCCTCTAGGATTTTTAGGGCCAACAAAAAGCTCAGTTCGACATCCATTACCCAAAGTGAAACTGATCCTTTCAGAGGAAACCAACAGGAAAACCACCAATTTGGAGGTCCCCTAAAAAAAGAAACGTGTTGAGTCGGCAAGTACCAATTCTCAGCCGGGTTTGCGTCTCATGGGGGGAAACCTCACGTGTGTTTTCTCTTTGGTTTGACTTTAACACACCCAGCAGGCACCCAGCGTCCCGCATTCCTTCAAGTGGGTCTCCTTGGGCAAGAGATCAAAAGGCAGCAACATCTCGCTGCCAAAACAAGGAGAAGCTCTTCTGAAGGTCTTACCCCCCTTTGAAACATCCTCAAAAGGAAGGTGTTCACCACTGAGCTACTTTTCGCAAAAGGTCGTGATCAACCTTTTGTAGCTGAAATGGAAGAGTAAATTGTTTCCCTAGAGTCTCCATGACCCTTTAAAAATGGTTGATCATACCTAAAATAATGGTTGGTCATGTTACCCTATTCTTAAAGGGTCAGAAGGAGACTCCAGGTCCAAAGGGTCTAGTGACTAGTGGACTAAGGCCAAACCAATTTCAGCCATGTCCCAGCCCCAAGCATCCGTCGAATGGCTCGCTGCGAGGCTCGGCTGAGTGCCGAGCGTAGAAGCCGCGATACGTCTGCGAGCGGGGCGCCGGGTGAGGATTGGTAGCGGATCCTAGGGGGTCCCTGGGCACCTCCAAAAAGATATACTCTAACACATAGAAGGGACGTCTCAAGCAAGCGGGAGGGGGTACATACATGTGCACATACATATATATATATATATATACATAAATTGGAATATAAATACAATGTACATCAATATATATATATATATATGTATGGGCCCATGTAAGCAGCTGCTTTTGTACCTGAAGTATAAGGCTAACCACGTTCTAACCTGGCTGAACATCCAAGAAAGGAGCCTTTGGGTGAGGGGCGTCCTCTCATTGCGGGCGTCAAAATCACGAAGGCAATAGTGTTGGACTCCTTGGGACAGTGGCTTGTGACAAAACCATGGCGTCAACCTCCATTTGGGTTGGTGTTTTGTGGGGACACCTAGAATGGTGCTTGTCCTTTCCCAAAACGGGTTCCTCAAAAAAAGACACGCCGGGTTCATGGAAGAAACCCAAAAGGGCACAAAGGAAACCCAAACGAGCCCAGGAACCCCCAACGGCTATCAAATGGTTTGTGATTTGACTCTTTTCGGGTTTTTAGGTTGCCATTTGGCAGAAATCCATTGCGAGGTGCTACTCCAAGGGGCGATCGGGTACTTAGTAAGTGGGAAATAACCATGGTGAGATCACCCACAAAAGCCATGTTTGTAAGTCTCCGTTCAGGTTATCTCACGTCTGGTTGTTACCCACTTGCCTGACGTACCCGATCGCTCCTTTCAGTAATGACTCTTACAAAAATTCGCTGGCTACTACGTACCCTGCCCCTCAAAGGCAGAAATAAGGAATCGGTCCTTTGGGGGTCCTTTGGGGGTCCTTTGGGGGTCCTTTGGGGGTCCTTTGAGGCCTCTGGGGATGTCTCAAGATTCATCCGACCGCATCCCTTGCGATTCATCGCCGCATCCGCGCCTCGTTGCTGAGGACCTGATAGGCCCGGTGCACCTGAGTGCGGAGCGCAGGACTGGCAGAGGGAAAACCAGAAAACACAATAAACGAACCAGACATAGTCGAAGAAAACAAAAGAAAGAGAGAAAGAGAGAAAGAGAGAAACAGAGAAAGATTCATAGAGAGAATACACAACCAACCAAGCATGCAAGCAAGCAAGCAAGCAAGCGAGCGAGCAAGCGAGCAAGCAAACGAGCAAGCAAACGAGCAAGCAAACAAGCCCACGACCAAACCAAGCCAAACAATGCAATCAAACCACGTAATAAACAAGCAAACCAAGACACACACAAACCACCAGCCCGAAGAATTTATTGGTATCTTCTGAGGATCTAGGTCAACATCCTCAGGTATGAAGGGGTTTTTTGGGCAGCAAAACTGCCATTTCACCAACGGAGCAATCAACTAATCAAGTCATCACCCAGACCAGCCAGAGCCAACCCACACAACTCCAAGGATTGTTTCCCAATTCTCTTCACCCATCAACCCTGGTAAGTGGAAACATGGACCAAAACCTGCGTAACCCCTCCTGTTTAATTTTGAGCCACAGCCTGCTCTCGACTCGGACGCCACTCCTGGGTGTCCGGGCCCTTCGAAAGGCAGCCTCGCCTGCGAAGGGATCGATCCCGGGCGCCGAGTTTTGAGTGGAGTGGCCAGGAGCTCAGGGAGTGAGCGAGGCAAAATTCGGTAATTGGGAAAGAAGAAGAAACACAAATTCTTAGTTACAGTTAAACAAAGAGATGGAACAATACCTCGTATACAATTGATCAATTAATTAGCTATTCCACGGCAGTTGTTTCACTGCAGCTGGAGTGGAGGGAGTGGGATCCCAAAATAGGCCTTGGAAAAGCTTAATAAGAGCCCTCCCTTCCCCCCCCCCCCCCCCCGCCGCGACGCCCTGGCACTTGTTACGAGTCCGCCAGAATCAGCTTGGGAACGGCACGCCGGCCCCGCCGCCAGTTTGTGTTTTGTAAAGGGAAGTCAACCGGATACCACCACTTCCAGAGGTCCAAATCCTAGCTAGGCGCAAGCTTTATACAATTCACCCGTTGGTGAAACACACGGCACATACTGTGGATGGTTGCACTTATCTTTTTTTGCACCACCAGTATGCTTCCCCTGTGAATACCAACCAACATTCTTATGGTTTTCAAGTGGTGAGACCCGGATTCGTCCATCCACGGTAGGCTACCCTTTTGGCTGGAGGGAAGTTAACAGGGTTCAACATGGGGAAACCAAAAGGTCAAAAGGTCGGGTTTTTGGGCAAGCGAGAACAGTTCAACTTGTGAAATGCCCAAGCACGAAAAGTCAGCCAAAAGAACTAAAAAGCCAACTCCTACCACTAAAAAGACAACTAAGACCACTAACAAGCCAACTGAGAAACCACGAAAAGCCAACTAAAACAACTCAACACCACCTACGCACCGGATGGGACCCGCCAAGTTCAACAGTCCCTACAGAGAGAAGACTCTTCAACTTGGGAACTGGAACCATGGCAACCCGGCAGCAACGTGGCAACGTGGATTTCAAATGGGGGTTCCCGCAGGAAAGGGAGAGGAAAGGTATAGGAAAGATTAGATCCCCACCTAAAAAAGGAACACACACTTCAAGCGGAAACAAAAAAATACTTGCTTGCTTCCGCCAAGTTACAAAGTGGAAAAAGCCACCAATAGCCAAAGGCGGAACCCAATTATATGCCCGGAGTCGGCCTTGTTAATACTGGGTTCTAACCCAGGCGGCCTTTTTCATATACTAACTCGGTGAATCGAACATCCAAGCAGGGAATTGCTTGCATTCTTACCAACCTACCGACCTACCATAACCTGCAAACCAACCGAAGTACATCCTGAGCGCTATCTCGCATTCCCAAAAAAAAACCAAGGAAATTTGAGGTTGCCTCTTTTGGGTGTAAGGAGGGTAAAGTACCAAGTTGCAGCTTGGTCCCTAGGTACCCCTCATTTACGTTTCTTGGGGTTGGTCCTTTCAGAAATTATCTAACCCTGAGGGTCTCGATTGTTTTTGGGCCTTCAAGGGCCCTTGAGACCCTCGGGGTTCTCCATTGGAGGGTCCGGAGGTGTGGAGGTGTCACGACCCTTAGGGAAGTACACTTTAACCAACAGAAACCCTCAACCGAGTACCTACCTTTATTCAGGCCACATTTTGCCTAACAGGTCTGTTCCATGGCCTCCGTTGGCTTGAGTTCCCGAGCCCCAGAGTGAAACTGATTGATGCCCAAGGCCAACAGGGGAAAATCAAGAATAAGAAAAAACAAACAAAAACAAGTACCTGGGGTCTCCATGACCCTTAAAAACGGAGATCATTATCCCAAGAACTTTGGGGTCATGGAGACTCCAGGAAACAGTATTCTCAAGCAAGTGTTTCAGGATCGTCTGACAACACCTCCTCCACCTTTTTGGGCGTCGTCTCTCGTGTTCCGCCTCCGGTGGCCGAGTTCTTGTCCGGGTGGTACACCTTGGACAGTTCCCGGAAGGCACGGCCCACCTAGCCGAAAAGCCGCCGGGCGTGGGAGTTTTTGAGAGGGTTACCTCCAATTTGCTGAAGTCGCCCGGAAACCAAAAAAAAGAGGAAAACAGAAGAAAATAAAAGGGTGTCAACCCCTTTTTGGTTGGTTGCTTGGTTGGTTGGGGTGGTGGGTGGCTGGTGGGTGGCTGGTGGGTGGCTGGTGGGTGGCTGGTGGTTGGTTGGATGCTTGCATTGATTGCCCAAAGGGGCTACTGCCTTCTCAGCATCACTTTAGCCCATTTCGACCCTGCGCTGCATTCTTAGAACGGTAGAAAGATGGGTCCAAGGCCCCCTTTTTGTTCTGACCGATTTCGTGTCCAAGAGATAACCCAACACCGTCAACTCGTGCGCTCTGGGTTCACCATGAAACGAGGGGCCTGCAAAGGCCCTGGCCACGCCAGGTTCGCCCGAAGCACGAAGTGGCTTTCTCACGGTCCCTCGCACCTGGAGTCTTCTTCTGACCCTGTAAAAACGGTTGGTCATTGCCCAAAATATTGGTTGGTCAGGATACCCTTGTTTTAGAGGCTCAGAAGGAGACTACCCAAATGGTTGGTCATTGAGCCATCAAAGTGTCATGGAGACTCCAGAGATGTAGCTCGCACCTCGGTTCGAAGCCGACATTCAATGAGACTCTGGGCTCTCAGCTTGTCACTGACCCAAGTTGACCCGTTCGACATGATCAACTTTACATCAAAGGTTACCCTCTAGACGTTGGCGAGGGAACCCGCCCAGAAGTAGCTTTGACGCCTAATGCAACTTTCAGGGCATATGAGATGTTTCGAGGCGGAAACAGCTCAAATTGGCTTCCTCACTTCCTGAGTGGATTGGCCAAACAGAATCTACAATTTGTTGGACCCCACCCAGAATGGTCTTCCCCAAAAGTGCCTACTGGAGCTCAGGGAGTGACTTTACCTCCCCTCCGAGAAAAAAAAAAAACACAACAAAACTCCCAAGTACCCTGGACGACGGCCGCTTCAGCCAGCCTGCCTCGTCCACAGAGGCCCCGGGCTGCAAGTTGAGAGTGTCCCAAAGGTCGTCGTCGCCATCGGCCATCGCGCTCGATTTGCCCAATCGATCGAAACGGGATCGAGTTGAGTTGGAAGGAAGCTGCCACTTCCCGTGTGGATGTCAGAAAAGAAGGGGCCAAGCTCATTTGGGCAAAAAAAAGTGCTCCTTTGCTCTTGAGGTGCCGGGGTCAGCCCCAGATCAGCAAACTTAAGTTGTTTACAACTAAAAAGCTCCAAAGCCCAAAAGTGACTAGGCTTCAGGACGGGAGTGAGGAAGCTTTAAGGTAAACACGCTCGCCCTTGGCGGGTGCTTCCTCTATGCAAAACAACCCGCCCGAAAAGGGAACTTTGTCAACGTTCAACCAGGTATACTTGGTTGACGTTGGAAGGGGAGCAATAATTTAAATTTTAGCAACTAAGTGGGATTTTCCCACTAAATCACAATAAGCCAACATGTAAAATATTTCCCAACAACAACCATGTATAGGCTCCAACCAGATTAAGCGTGTAAATGTGGTCTTGTTCATAATTCTGGTCAAGGGAAGAGGTAAAAGGTGTCCGAACATTGACCCAGAGAAAACGGAATCACGCACGAGCGCCGAAATGGTAAGGTAGAGTGCACAAAATTGATCCTTAAGTTGCAACTTCAAGAGGCCTCTTAAAGGGCTATGTTGGAAGAAATTAACAAATCCGAATCGATTGCATTCCTAGTGGTTTTTCTTCCAAATCCGAAGCAGAAGGGACCCTCACCATTGACGAGTTGTTTGCTCACTATTGGGGACTCTGGCTGGTTGCTCCCATCTGGTCCGTCAGATGCAAAGCAGCGCCCATACACAGAAGAGCACAGCTATGAGGCTATGGGGGCTGACAAAGCCGTTGTTGGGCTTCAACCTCGCTGACTCCAGGCATATCCAGCCCACCCTTCGCTTGTCTTATAAGCCTTGAGCCAGACCGAGCGAGGTCAACAACCGTTGCCACCAACGAGGTCAATCTGAAAGTTGCCATCTGATATGATTCAACACAGCGTAAGCATTTGCAAATGACCCCTCTAGGAATGTGTTACTAGCAAGAAAGCATAGATCCTACAATATCATATACTGAGAAACATACAACCCTAAGGGTCCTGGGGCTTGGTATGAAGAACCCTGAATTCCCTGCACCACAACCCGAGTTGATTGGGACCTATTTTGAGGCCCAAAATACCCATCAGGACTGTATGGGAATAACTACTCAGCAATGGTCTCGTCTGGTTGGGAAAAAAGAGGATTTGACTTGGTTACTTATCTGGACTTAGCAGCCGCAAAATCTTTGATTGCTCAGCCCGAAACTAGTTGAAAGCCAACCAGCTAATATATTGTCACACAATGGCTCTTTCCTAAATAGGAAAAAACAACAACAACAACAAATGGATGGTCCTTGGTTTCCCTCTGCAAACCATCTAAACAAGGTCTTTGTTATTTTTGTTGAGACAAACTAGTGCTCATGAGATTTGCCCGTGTTCTAAGCTCGCTTTGAACAATCAGCAGGATAAGCCGCAGAGCCGCATCTGGAACACGGGTACCCCTGTCGGTGATACCAAACTGTGGAGGTCCGTGCTCATGACTACTTTATCCGTTTAAAGGGGATCTCATGCGAATAGGCAACATGTTGCACCATTTGAGATGTGTAAAACCCTATGAATTGTGGGATGCAGACTGGTGCAGGTTCTTGACCATCCACACTTTGCAGCAGCAAGCTTTTTGTTCTGGATTCTGGCCCTGTCGCTCGACAAACCTCCGCGCCGAGCTCACAGGAACGCCGCGTTTCGTGAGCGCGCGATGGCGTGCCGACTTTGAGCACGGAGAAAAATATCCCCCGGAGCGTCCAAACAGGATTCGCCGTTGCCCCCTGACAGGCGTCGGATTCCTGATCGAACAGTTGCGTTCCACTGTAACTGCCACTTGTGAAGGCCGGCAAAAATCGAAACCGAGGGACCCTTGCCTGCTCGTTTTGGCCAAAAACATAGGGACCGTCAATTGTAGTCAGACTCTTGAAGCAATGTCCTTCTGTTCCTGTCCAATCCTACCCACCAAAAATACACAGAACCCAACAACTTAAACAACATGACTGATTGAGGTGGTTGGTTTCCTGATATCATGCCAAAAGGGGCCCCGAATTTCCCAAAGGGGGTCAACAGGTGAACCCTGCAATGAAATACCCCGCCTCTCAGCTGGGTTGAGTGACACGTCTGTGGTCTTGAACCAGAAATTCCTCCGGTTCGTATGCTGCCAAACAAGAGACTTAATGGATTCCAGGGTTATGAGTTATAACAAATGGGCATGGGTCAAAACATTCAAAGAAAAACCTCAGGTTTTAGTTTTGGGTTCCATTGACTGCCCAGTTTTGACCCCCCGGATGCCAACCGGTGTCAAGTACTCGTGGAACCCAACCGAAAGTCTTCTAGACCACATCCATGTGGGACCGCGATCCAAGAAATCGGGTCCGCCTAGCTGCCAGCAGGCGGCCATACTAGCCGAAGCGGCCAGATGGGCCCTCCGGGGTCGGAACTGTTGCAGTACTCCAAATACCCGTGGTATAGGGTAGTTTCGTGGCAAAGATGTGTCTTTTCCAAATTGTATGGGTGCTTTCTGGCAAAACATGAGCTTCTGCCGCTTTGTGTAGGGTAGTTTATGGAACATATGTGGTTTTTCCAGGGTACATTCCGATCCCATGTTAAATCAAGGGTGAACATCATACTCTATCATACCCTGAAAGGCGGGTATTTGGAGCAGGGGGTACTTTCAGGCAACCCGCGGAAGGGGTCTAAAAGTTTGTCTCTAGGGCGGGTTTGTGAGAGGTAGTGTTGACCCAGGATTTTTTGAACCCGTCCCATTCTTGGCGGGGTGTTCCCTGCAAAAGTGATGAATCCCCACTGAAAGGGGACACCCCCCCTATTAATCAACCAGGGAACCTGCTTAATCCGGGGTTCACATTACTGTCGACTCAGTACGAATCACTCAAAATGAAAGCAGGTTTAAAGGTCCAACAATCCGCGTACGAGACCCCCCCCCCCCGAGACCCGAGACCCGAGACGGGTTGACGGGTGGCCGGTCAGTCACTTCCTGCCCGCCAAATAGACCTGCGCAGCGAAGCTGCGAAGCTGGGACCAGCAAGAGGGTACCCGGATCCTCAAATCTTGCCCCAGCAAAACAAAATCTCTTCTTTGCCTGGCTAGTGGAAAACAAAGAAAAAAAAAAAAGGCTCAAAAAAGCAAAAAGGGGAGCTAATTCTGGGGAAGACATTTCCCTGTAAAAGTTGGCACTAACCTGGCACACAGAGGGTCCCTACAAGAGAAAAGTGATCTCCCAGGTACCCTCTCACAGGTGTCTTAGTGGAAGGGAGGGTAGTGCCCCAAAATTACGAGGTGAGTTCCCATTTTAGGGGGGTAGTTTGAGAGTCCATAAGCGGATAGCCACGTGGGTTGTAACCCACAAATAGCATGGCAACTCCATTTGAACTAACTATAGTTAACTTGGCTGAACACCCAAGTACCTCCTCAGGGACTTTGCCCCTTTAAACTTCAAACCCCTGAGAAACCGTCCTCGAAAAGAACTTGGACCCTCTCGGGGTGACATTGGGTTAGCAAAATGCAGAAGCCTGAGCTTTTGTAGGTTTCCCAAAAAACACATTCATGTCGCGTCCAAAGGTGGTTTGGATTAGTGGTTTGGATGAGTGGTTTCGATTGGTCGCTTGGATTGGTGGCTTGGGAGATTGAGCCTGCGTCTCTGTTTGTGTCCAACAACTACCAATCTGAACCACCAATAGTTCAGGAAGCCGACCAATGGCAATCCACGTTTGGGAAACCCCTTTTAACATGGAAGGTACAACACATTCCCGACTGAACACTGGCAAAACCAGCCGAGCGCAAAAGCCACAGTATATCTAGCAAGATCCCCAATGCGCCGCCCTGACACCAGGTAACCGCGGATGCTGGGGATGCGGCCGCCCAGCCAGCGGGCGGGGTTTTTGGTGGTGAAAGACTTCACCCAGCGCAGTGGGTTGCGGTGCCCTTGTTCAACTTGTTTTTTGCAGGGGGATAAAACCCGGAAGGGGTGTTTGCTTTACTAGCCACGGTTTGGGGCTTTGCCCTGGCCAGGGGACTGGTTGGCTGGTTGGTTGGTTGGGTGGTTGGTTGGTTGGTGGGTGGGTTGGTTGGTGGGTTGGTGGGTTGGTGGGTTGGTGGGTTGGTGGGTGGGTTGGTGGGTTGGTGGGTTGGTGGGTTGGTGGGTTGGTGCGTTGGTGGGTTGGTTGGTGGATTGGTGGGTGCTTTGCAGCGATGCGCGAGCGGAGCGCCTTGAGTGCCCTTGAAACCGCTTGGCCCACGAAGTCGTCGCGTCTGCGAGGCGCCACATGGGGTTGTCTCAAAATTGGGGTTCCCCCACCCACCCGAAAAGAAACAACTGAACCTTTCAAGCAACCAAACCAAATTATTTGTTTTTCTTCGGCGACCCCCCCACAATGAGAGACAATCATAATAACTGTAAATAATGACAATAATAATAAACCCACACCCACATGCGACTTGTGGCAAATGGTGGCGTTCCCTTGTTGTACTTAAAGGGGCATTGAACGTAGTAAGTGGAACATAACCATGGCGAGACAACCCACAAAAGGCATGGTTGTAAGTCTCCGTTCAGTGGGTTATAACCAGGCAAAGTAACCACTGACCTGACGCACCCTGCCCCTTTCAGTAGTGCTGTCCCACTAGGGATTAGGATTAACTTTGAACAGCGACTGGATCATTTGTCCCCCTCACGCGAGTGCCCGTTTCGCTTGTCCCGCGAGGCAAACCCAGGCCAGCCACGATGAAGCTTAGAGAAGCAATGCTGGGATAAAGGCTTGGTAAGTAGGGTACAACCATGGTAACTCACATGCCCAGTGGCCAAGGGGAACCCTTCCCCAAAAGGTTGAAAAGGGCACTACTGGGCAACTGAGATAAGGGGACCAACCCACTTACCCCAGTAACCATGATGATAACCTAAGCCGCTTGAACATCCGCACAGAGCACCTTCAATACCACATCACCCCGACCAGCACCCTCGCACGACAGGGTGTTCCTATGT